CCAATTTTGACGTGGTCAGTTGATTCTTTATTGAGCTTTCGATCAGTCAAAACGATGCTCAGGCAGGCATTTTGCTATACAACGTTTCTTTATACGTTGAATGCTGATAGCCTGAACGCAGGGATATATTTCCAATCCTTTTTTCCAATCCCACTCTGGGCAACATACCTCAGTCTTGCAGCCTGTTGCTCCGAGATAGTACAGAGTAAATTCATGTGGGGGGCGTTTCACAAAACTTGTCATCAGTGACAAATAACAATTTGTGTTATAAGCTACTGAAATCCTTGCTTCTGATTGGTTATCAGCAGATTTGTTACTGATTTTTGTGATTTGTCATTGAAAAAAGTGCTTTGTGAAACGCCCCCCTGGTGCGTGAAGAAGGCTGTAAGAGCTATATGTCAGTGGCAGTAAGGGCCTTCTTGCGAGCAGATGACAGTATTTTAGTGTTATCCTCATCACACACATAAGACCCTGTATTACATGTATTGCTCTTTCATAGGGATGAGTTAAACTGTTAATGCAGATTTGCAGATAGATCTTTTGAGTTTATGAGTGTCACTGTGGCTTACTGCATAAGTGTTAGAGTCATAAACATTTGCCTGAAAAGAGAGGGAAAATTTACTCACTTGAAAGAATGATTACTAATCAAAGTAATCCATTTTCACATCACTTTATGTATGATTAAAACATCGCCAAAAAAAAAAAATTACAATGCAATCACTGTCTGTATCGTGTCTGATTGAATTTTTTTTCAAAAGCTATGATGAACCTGTAATCCGTGGCTTAAAACCCGTCGAATGTGGAGATGTTTTCCTGCTTTTTGTCACTCCATTTGAACAAATCAAATCAAAGTTGACAACATGATTGCAATTCACACCTGACTCCATGATTAATCATGTACGGTATGAGTGCAAGAAAGGCAAGGTTCACACAGCAGTCAATTAAGGTCGTGGTTATCTTGTAGTTGGGGACCGTGGGGACACACGCAGTCATGGTTACTAAACTTTAGGTTAACTCAAAGTTACAAACCACAACAAATCTTAAAGCCCCACTGCACTACTTATAGCTACTTGCGGCCTCTATACAGCCAACCATGCCTAAACGGTACCCATTGGTCCCCCATGATCCTCCTTTTCTTAATGTTAATTGAGAGCTCATTTGATGAGATAACCACCTGTCATGCAGTGACCATGCAGGGAGGTCTAATCACTCCTGGCCAAACTAGTGCAGAGGGGCTTTAAGGTTAGCGCAGCAGCTAAGGGCGTCCTCACTCAAGTTAAGGGTGCATGCTTGTGGTTCGTTGTTTCTGACTTTGAGGTTTGTCCAACTCAAAGTTTAAATCACAATGGTCCCATGTGAACACAGCCAAAGTTACTGTGCATAACCCCCTAGATCATATGGATAAATGACACATGAAGATTAAACCTGATGCATGTAATGAGATCAATCTCTTTCTCCCATCTTAATCATCCTCACATTGTGATAGAAATGTACTTGGGACAAGCAATGCATGGAGGCAGTTTGACAAAATCTAACTCATTCTATCTGACAATATGTTTAAAATATTTTGTGAATTAATCAAAAATAATTATTGAATTTAATTTGATCAAATAGAACGATCATTTTTATCTTAAATCCATTTAGCAAAAGAATGCAATGCTCATATCTGTTGAAAAAAGTTTTCTTGAATGAAACATTATTTATTTCATAATTTTTTAATTTGCATTCCACTACTCTTTAAGTTGGTTTCTATGTCTTTATCAGTTTGTTAAAAAGTATATTATCATCTTAATCTGATGTGAACTAAGTGACTACTATTAAGGAAAATACAATAATTTTTGTTGACTCTTGTCGTAATAACCAAAGCACTATCGGCAGACACGTTTGTTGGTCAGTTATTATGAGATAGCTGTAGGGATTGACCAAGTTTAATAGCCAGCAGGAGAATAAGATTCATTTCTACAATATAGTTTGATATATAAAGCAAGGAGATGTCTATTTAGTAACTTCTTTATAAATATAAACATAATTTTTGCACTTAATCATGTTGCCATGGTTACAACATCCAGTTTTAGATGTTTGAATCATGGTTCCATCCAGGTCAGGCTGTATATATATATATATAGCAAAGTGTCTTTGAAAACATTACTTGTGGGTTTCTCCAATATGGTGATGAATGTTAGCTAGGTTCCTGCTTCATTTCCTTGTGCCATGTTGTGGTTTAGAAACCTCCTATATTCTTGAAGAAATGCACCATTTTAAGATTCAAAATGACATGATGTGATTGATTTCAGTCAGCAGAGTTTGTGGTGGAATTATGTGGGGAAAAAGGAATTAGATGCTTTACTTTGTAGATAATTGCTGTGATGACTTTTTAACAACCATTTCCAAAATTAAACATTGAATCAAGGTTTAACTGACAAGCCCAACTTAGATGAATCCAACTTAGATGAATCTTGACCATACTATGATAATCAGTTGCCATTAAACTTTCTAACATACTTAATTGCATTCTAGATTAGATATAACCAGAATTAGTAAAAATATAAAACAAGGTTTTTAAACATTGTAAACATGAATTGCACAAATGATGGAGAATTAATATTAAGCCTCTTAGTCTAAATGCTCATAGTACTTCGAGACAATAATCAGTTAACCTCACCCTACATATCGTCACTTGCATTAACAAGTTCACTTCCTAATCACTTGCAAAATTATGGCTATTTTTGACAATGTCATTACTATTTTCTTGGCACAGGGTTATGTGAACTAGAGTAGCTGGCCTTTTTTCTGCAATAGTACTTGATTACATTAATACAATGAGAAGGGAAAAAGCAAGCTGCTTGGATCTATTTCCGAATGTCCGGTCAATTTCCGTCGGTATAAATGGAATAGCCTGTGAATCACTGACAATTCACATCTTTTATCAAATGGGTGAAGTTTGTGAGAATATTGACATAGCATGTGGGTTTGTGAATAAATAAGATCATGACTGACTAAGAATAGATTTAGTAATGACTTTGGTCTGGTTGAAAATAAGGAGTTCTTGTTCATTTAAAGTTATAAATACCTAAATATTGACACATCTGTAGGTGTCCTCTAAAATAAAAAAAAGGGGTCACAGATATCAAAAGTGAATGTATTAAACTTACAAGCTTTTCTTAGAATTATAGGAGCATGTGAGTAAAAGTTTGAGCAAAGTTCGATTGAAATTAAGAAAGTTACCCATTTCTGCAGTTTTTATCAATCAAACACAAACTGGCAACACTGTGACGTATCTTGCGGGCTCCTCTCCAATTTGCTTTGTAGCTGTACAATTTCATAAACTTTCAGTTTCTTCATTATTGATGATGAAATAGATTTCTTTTCCATACAGGGTTTGAATAGAAACATATTTGCAATAATTATATCTATTCTTGAGGGGAAATAAACATTTTTACTTTTTGTTAACAGAACAAATGGGAGCTAGGGGAGCTTGCAAGAAACGTCATGGAGTTGCCAATTTGTGTTTCATTGATCTCAACTTGGAAATTCATAACTTTCTTATTTTTAATTGGAATTGGCTCAACCTTTCACTGACCTGTTCCTCTCGTTATTCAGCTTCTACTACTAATATCAGGGTGAACTTCCCCCTTAATTGCTAATGATGTTTCCCTGTAGGTCCAGTCTCCTGCATGGTGCCAGTCTGCCCTCAAGTCCAGGAACTTGTACCGATTCCCTGGACTCTCTTGACGTCTTTCATGTTGTAATGTCCTGAGGCCTGGTTTTTCGAAAGTTGTCACCCTCTAGGCTTTTCTGGAAGGAGGAAATAAGTTTTTGAGCAAGAAACCCCAGGGGCAGGTAGCCCGAGGGAGGATGACTTTATTGAGTAGAGATGCTTCCAGATTTTAAATTCATAAAAAATGTCTGTTTGCTAGGCAGAATGGAGCGAGCTTCCCTCGATATTTGTGGTTTTCAGGTTTTCATCTCGGAGTTCCTGTCCCAGGTCCTCCTAGGATTTCATACATCCTCTTCACCCTGGCCTAGATGACTCCAGTCTCTGTTTTCTAGTTTCTTCTACTTTAATAAGGAGGGGCTTTTGAAGTTCTAACATTTTACTCTAAAAAGAATGAGTTAACAGGAACTTCACAAAGGGTACCTCCTCATTAGCCCAGTAAGCTCGAGCTTTAGATATTAGACAGCTCATCAGCGCTTCTTGAAATAATAGCCTGAGTTTTAAGTTCCCTGTCTCCATTAAATCAAGTCAAGTGATTTGCAATCACTCAAGGAATTAGCTTGAGCTGCAGAGCATGTCACAGTTTAATTGTGTCTTCACAGGCAAATGTTTTCTATTTCATGAGCAAGGCCTAGTTTGCTCGGGATAATAGCTCGAGTACAACCATGCAATAGTCATCTACTTGTGTCTTCTGTCTGCAAAAGTATCTGAAGCTAGTTGTGTTTTGGCCAATTTACCTGCATCATAATCAGTGGGTTGTTTTGAAAACTTAGGCTTATATGAAGATGGGGGCAAATAGAAGCAGCTAGGCCTGGAAATGGTTCCCTTGTATGTTGCAGTTCGTCACATACCTAGCATCTTGTTTCATCATGAATCATTCCTCGTGGGGATGCTGTTTCCTATAAAATGTACCCTGTGTTTGTTGGCATCGTCTTGGTAACCTGTGCCTGGTCTTTCTTCCTTGGTGGCATACTCTAGTTTTGAGGTCATAGAAGGTCGGTGAAGGTCAGGAACGGTCTTCATGTGAGATTAGTGTCAGTAATGATCATAAATGTTATCAGATATAAAACGGAATGCATTATGATTTGTTTCTTTTATTGAAAGACACTAAAAAAAGGAATGGTCCCATGATTGTATTTTAATTCTTGATATATAGACAGTATATTTTATAATTGTAAATGCAGGGATTTTATTGGATTATTTTGCTCATTAAACACAATAGTGAAAAAGTAAATTGAATCATGTAATCAACTATTTTCTTTTTTTTTTAAATCCTTGTATTCAGTTACCAATCATCCCCAAATTTGAGGAGGACAAAGCAGCATCTCCAGGTAGCAACCAAGAGGGCGCCAGCACATCTGCAATCATGGAGGGAGCCGCTGCAGAGCCAGAAGTATACACCAACGGGACCGACACCCTGGACGTCGCGGATCACGACGACATCTTCGATGTAAATGGGAGCGCGGAGATCACGCAGACGGATGACGAGTTTGAGAACAACGAGCGGATGATGGAAGAAGAGGATGCAATTACAAAGAAAGAATTTGCCGAGGTGGAAGATATTTTTCAGAACGACAATCATGTGATTGACACCAATGTTATTGAAAATGAAAAGGTGAGCAAAGCGAAAGAAGAAGTGGAAGATATTTTTGGAGATGACCTCCACGTTGAAGAGGAGGAGGAGGAGGAGGAGGAGCACGATTATGAACCTATATTTACGGCAGACGCAAGAGAAGAAGAAACCGTCATAAAAATCACAGATGTAGATGCAGAGAGGTCAAATCCTGAGGTCACCTTGGAACCTGAGGGGACTTTGGACAATGAGGCAGATACGTCTGAGCATGATTTACCCTTTCCTGATATGCCCAGGAAAAGTGATATTTCCCTCAACTGGGAGGAAGTAGTGGAGGAGGAGCAGAAGAAGAAGCAGGACTCAGCTCCCACCCCACCACCCACAGACATTGATGCCCCTTCTTCCCTTGCTGCAGGGCAGGAAGAAGAAATAGACGAGGGTGAAGTGGCCAAATTCGTAGAGAAGATCTTGATCAGTTCAATGAATGAAGTGTCTAGCCAAGCGGAGGAGCAGGAAAGTGAAAGTCAAATTGAAAATGTTGTGGAGGTTCAAGTGAGTGAGCCCGCATTCGAAGCCCCTGAGACAACAGTTGAGTCAGACAATGTTCTGTCCCTGGAGATGGGGCCGGAGAAGGTTGATGTTGATGTTGTCGATGAGCCAGCTGAAAAAGAGGACTACTCAGTCAGCATCAAAGCTCCGGCCAGTGAACATGCTGACATCAATGGACTTGCAAAAGATCATAATGGTGATGATAGAGAAGTAGGAATCCACACTGCTGTTCCTGTGGGTGTAGTGGAGGTAGCAGCGGAAGTGGAGGATGTCGTTAAAGACAGTCAAGCAACAGATAATACGGACAGTCCAGCTGCAAGTTTTAAGGACACTCAAGGTGCAGATTTTAAGTACAGTCCTGCTGTAGAGGCATCAGCAACATTTGATAAGACTGAAGAGCCCAGGAAAACGCCCGACTACAATATTTCTGTAGAGAGCAAACCAGAGGTCGATGTCACCAAGAGCATGGAGTCGAGCGAGGGTCGACAACGCAAGATGTCTGTTCCCAGACCAAGGGATGTCAGGAAAGACCTCTCACAAGCCCGTCCAAGCTTCTTTGGCTCCAACACTTCAGGTCCAAAGCCCTTCATGTCCAATACCCTACCTAGGGTGAGTGTCCTTCCAAAGATCAGCACATCATACCAGCGCAAGTCACCAACATCACCCATGTCTCTATCTGGAGATTACTCCAGCTTTAACAAGGGTGCAGAAGAGCTTCCTACAGTGGCTGGACCAGATTTGAGTAAGGACGACAGTCCAGTCATCAATGAACTGGGTACCATTGAGCTTCCTCTTATTGAAACACTGTCCAAACCATCATCGCCGAAAGCAGCAACTGCGTCAATAGACATGGTAGATCATGACTATGTTGTCCCATCGGAGGAGACCAAGGTAGAGTCTGGTCCCATGGCACCTGTCTATGCTCACAAAGGTGTCGGAAAAGATCCTATCATCTTGGATGGCACAACTCCTGAAGAAATCGAATCCATGTTTGCCAAAGACCCAGAGGAGGAGGAGCCCAAAAAGAAGAGCATGGGGAAGGATGATGTCCTGGCATCAACACGAGTAAGGAAGGTCTCCAGACAAACATGGAAGGGCCAAGTTGAGTTCCAGAAGTCAGTGGACAAGTCTTCCGTTGTCCTTGATCAGTCGCAGGCTGCCAGCTTAAAGAGATATGAGGAACGAAAGAAGAATAGATTTGATACTTTTTCAGGAAAGTACAGAGCTCGTGAGGACTCTACGTCAGAGGCTGAATCTGAAGGAAGCCAGTCATCGCAGAGTGGACCCAAAATGCCAGATGTTGTCCAGTCGGGAGGAAAGGTCTCTAGTCATGCCCATCCAGATTCAGAAATAGTTGCGCCCAAGCTGAACATGAAATCTGTTCGCTCTCTCTGGGAGCAGAAGGCTGCTGAAGTAGAGCAACGCAGACGTTCCCTACAGACCAAGAGTCGGCCAGTGTCCCAAGGAGAGAGGGCTAGACCATCCCACTCAAAGGGTATCAACAAGTCTGTTGATGGCCTAGACAACTTAGATGACAGCATTGAAGGCAGCACAACTTACTCCTACGATGGAACATCCGATGATGGTTCTACCAAGAGGGAAAGTTTGATCGAGAGGGACATTCGCCTACAGAAAGAACGTACCCTGGAGATTTCAAAAGAAAGGGATCGTCTGCGATCGGAATCCACCTCCTCAAGAGATGAGAGTCAGCAGTCGGAGACGTCAGAGAGTCAGGATGACCAGCTTGTGGACATTGTCCGCGATACCGAGCTGAGAAGAGACTCGGACGACGGGAGATCGTCACCGAGTCAGAGCAGTGGGTATACGTCGGGTCGTTCCACACCGTCGACCCCCGCTGGGGATGACATCCTGAAGGTCAAGACTGGAAAGTCCTTGGGAAAGACACCTGAGCTGAAGATGTCGCTGTCACCCACTGACCCAGAGGCCAGCTCGATCAACTACAAGGAGTACCAGAAGGCACTCAAGGGATCCAAGGCTGATGGGAAGTTCTCCAAAAGTGCTACCTTCCCAAGAAGAATGGAAAACTATGACAAACAGGTACAGTACAATCTCCTGTCTTTGTAATTTGTGTTTCTTGCCTGTATTTCTCTATATACTTGAACATAATGTCCTTTATCCATGCCTGTGAAAAATATTGATGTTCATATATGCTGCATGTTTTCATTTGAGTGTTCAATTTGTTAGCATTGTTTATCCCTTGATACTTTTCAGCATAAATGTAATGATATAAATGGGATTTTCAAAACAATCACATTGTCATTAATCACTAACAAACATATACTTGTACTCTGCACTCTGTTGTTAATTTTTCATGCTTGTATTGTATGTATTACATCCATTGACCCGATTAGCCACTCACAAACATACCAGAATGGAAGAATGTCAAATTAAAAAGTATATTTCCAACGAAAAGTGAGGTGAGAACATAATTGCATTTTCTTTCCGGTTGATTATCCTTTGTTTTTATTTCTCAATCCAAAAGTCTTTCCCTTTAAGGTCTTTGTGTCAAATATTGGGTTGACAAAGTGATTCAGTGCTATCTTAGTCACCTTTCTCTTTGAGGTTCCCTTTGTAATTTTTCTTCTTTCTTTTTTCAAAAGTTTTCAGAAATTCTGCATGATCAAAATTGGTGGTGCCGATCGATTTTTCCACAAATATGTGGGCAAACAAAATATATTATTAGTTTATTTTAAAGTTTCCATACTTCCTTTAATAATGCATGGGTAATGGTTTTGCTATCATAATGTATACTTGATCATCAATGGGTTACTGTTAGCAGCCTTTACAGAGTTGAGTTCAGGGTTAAAAGTAAGGAATTTAGGTAGCTTAAAGAATTATTAAACAGACCACAAAGCAATTGTAGCAAGAGCATGTTGTGTCATGAATCTATTTTATCTCGCTATTTAAAGCTGCTTACCGACAGACAGGTGGCCAGATGAAGGGCCTCTCAAGCTTGGGATCGTATCACAAGTGGGAACGGGAAATGAAAACTGAATCCCCAATTTATCTCCTATCCTACAAAACTACGCAACGCTACCCCCCATCTCATCCTGCCCCCATATCCGACCGCACATCCCCCATCTCCTTTCCCCTCGCATGCCAATTGCTGCCATTTTGTTCAAAGTTATTTAAATCTTCTTTGAAAATGGGGCTTTCTTTGAATACATTTTACTTTTTGTAAAATATATTTACATTCCTTAAAAAGCAGGGAACATAAATGTTCGTGAATGAAATGACTTGAAAAGGCTACCCTGGTCGGCTGTCAAGAGAGCTTTTTGGGTGCAAAAAATGAATTGTATCAATACAAGTTACTTGATACATTCCAAGGGAGCAATGTTTTTACATTTATTAGAGCTTGTGGTTTAATTTACAGATAGATGCAGATCACTGGACGAGGTTCATTAATAAAAAAATATTTGAATGTGGTCCAGATTGCAAGGTGATTTAATCACAGCTTCATGATGATTTTTGCCTTTCTGGAAAATCTCTTGCAATGAACAAAGACAACATGAACAGTTTTTGACCATTTAGTGTTATAGCTTTAGAGTATAAAACTTAGGCATTGTGAAGTGAAGTTGTCTTTTCTCAAGTGCAATGTACTTAAAGGGATCCGGTAACTTTGTCTCAGATTCTTTAACAACCCTGGATTTAGCTTATGCTGCAATGCTAATTATAAATCAGTCAGGAACCCCATGACTTTTACAAGCTCATCGCCTGTCTGATTATAAAGATATTTATGATTGGAATTACAAATTTTACAGTCTATTGGGGAAAACGAGTATGGTAAAACCGGTCACTCAAAGATTTTCACTTTTTTGAGGCACTTCTTGATCATTTTGAAGCGCCCTTTTTTAGGGCTTCAATTTAACACCATATCACAGGCACTGATAACACATAGGGTCGTGCATCTTAGATTTAACATTATTTAACGATGCCTTTAACATCATTCGATCAATATGAACTTTCTACAGGCCGAATCTTCAGGTGTCTCGCCGACAAACAGCGTAGGAGACGTCCCTGACGTGATCATGGTGGACGGTAACAAGACGACCTCACCAACGGGAGACAAACCCAGGAAGGCCAGCATCGTCCAGCAGGGAATCAAACTCTCACAGAATCTGGAGAAGAAGAAGATTGGTTAGTTTTTATTTTCTGCTTATTTATTCCTTATATGAACCTTTATTCCTTATATGATCATTTATTCCTTACATGATCATTTTTTCCTTATATGATCATTTTTTGTCAATTCTGATCATTTCTTCCTTATATGATCATTTATTCCTTATATGATCATTTATTCCTTACGTGATCATCTTTTCCTTATATGACCATTTATTCCTTATATGACCATTTATTCCTTATATGATCAATTTTATCCTTATATGATAATTTTTTCCTTATATAATCATTTATTCCTTACATGATCATTTATTCCTCACATGATCATTTATTTCTTACATGATCATTTTTTCCTTATATGATCATTTATTCCTTACATGATCATTTATTCCTCACATGATCATTTATTTCTTACATGATCATTTTTTCCTTATATGATCATTTCTTCCTTATATGATCATTTCTTCCTTATATGATCATTTATTCCTTATATGATCACTTTTTCCTTATATGATCATTTATTCCTTATATGATCATTTATTCCTTATATGATCATTTATTCCTTATATGATCATCTTTTGGTCAATTCTGATCTCAGAAATGTGTATAAGTCGGCTTTTCAACAGTTTGATATTTTCAGGCTCTTGAATTTTCTAGAATCCTCAGGTTGAACCATATCATATTCCGTTCATATCTGAAAATTGGGGAGTCCCATTTTTAAAATCATATTTGTCAGTATTTTGTTTATCTTTCCAAAGTTTATTCCACAAATTTTCAACTTTGAGGAATACTACATGCTTACATGTCAGTCCAAGTCATTACTCTGCATATTGAGTCAGAACAAAAAAGGCCTTTTACTCCTTCAAGCACATGTTCATGTAAATAAAGTTTAAAGTTACGATGACCTAACTTTAAAAAAAATTGTATATATTAAATTTCTTTGAGCACCAAAATCAGTCAAGGTAATATGAGAGCTCCCTGAGTATCTTTCTTGTTCGACATGAGTGCTATACAAGTTTCCAGTAGTATTATTGATGTTAATCTTTTTACAACCACATCCGTTTAAAAAGAATGACTTGATTGACCTTCTTGTCTTGTAGATGTACACAGTACGATGAACACAATTATAGTCTCAAGTCCTGGATGACTTTCAAATTGAATCTTTTCCAGCTTTACGTCTGTACATTGTTAATCCATCAACTGTTATTCTCTCATACCCTTAGGCTTTTATGCAAGAGCCATGTTGTTCAAGTAGTCATTGGGTTAAAATGCTTTTTTTGTCAAATTGATCCCCCCTCCCCCTCCCCCTTGCAGTAAAACTAGAGAAGAAACCAAGACGCTCGTTGATGGAGCTGGAGATTGCAGCTCAGCGTGAGAAGGAGGAGGCGTTCCGCAAAGAGCAAAAAACCCGGAAGATGAGCACTTCCAAGTCCGTCGGCGACGAGGCCCAGCCCGACTCCTCCCCCGCGTCATCGACCACCTCTTCGCCCAATTCGTCGCCCAGGAAAACTTCAACATCAGTATCAGGTTCCTCAGCCAAGCAGGTTTATAAGGTGGGTGCATCTTTAACTCTCTGCTATCCTTAGTTGACGAGTGGAACAAACAGCCGATTGTCACAGTCAACTATTGTTACAACACACATATTGCATACATATACTCAAATAAAGTGGCAGTCTGGGGTTTTGATCTGGAATAAATTAGAGAGTTTAAAACAGATGCTTTGGTCCGAGTCATTTGGCTGGAGGCTTGCAAAGAAAATCTGTCGGCCTATCATTGACAAGGATTTTGCTTGAAGACCCAAAAGGGAATAGGCTTTTCTCTATCAGAATGGACACCGACATCCCATAATGGGTCTCTTGATTGACATGTACAGTTAACAACTTAATTATTCCCCCCCCCCCCCATGTAAATTTGATGCCCCCCCCTCCCTTCGTAACCCAAGAATGAAAGGTGGACTGGTTGAATACTTTTAGATGCAAGCTTTAATATGTAACATTCATAAGAAACATAAATTTGGGACAAATCCATTCTTTACATTCTTGAAAAATCACAAAACTTGGTAATGGCCGGTATGAATAGTTGAGTTATCAACTGATCTTGATTATGTAGAAGTCGAGGCTACGTCAGCTATGGCATGAACTACATTTTGTAGAAGGACTTAAAATTTACTTTTTGTGATGAATTCAGATAGCTGACTGGTGTATTTCTTTTTTGTTCATTATATTTTTTAAAATAAATTCATGCATTACATAAGAATTGCATTTGCACTCGGGGAAAAACCATTTAGCAGCAAAATCCTAAAATACATTTAGTAGAAGTAAAATCATCAAAGTCATTGCATTAAACATTGGCTCATTAGTGATACATTTTGTCAAGAATTAGATTTGTGGTCTTGGACTGGATTGCACAACTCTACGTTTTATACCCTAAGATCCACTCTAGGACAGGTACAGTTTCAAGTGACATACACGTATCTTGGGCTTCTTGCATAAACACTTGCGATTAAATGCAACTTTTAAATACATTCCATGCAATTAGATCTTCAATCAATCAAGATCGCATGTTTGGGACTAGCATTTGTATTTATTTTAATTGTGTGTAAATACAACTTTTTGTACAAGAACGTCCAGGATATACACACACCTTTGAAAATAAAGAATATGATGGTACCTAAAGTGATTAGAAACATCCCTGAGGGACACCATATATTTCAAGTTTGTTTTTTCTTGCTGCATGAAGAATTACGTTCCACGATAACTTGGACATGACCTTTGAAAGTATTATGCACATTCTTTTATCCCTGCAGTAAAGCAAACAGATGAAGGATTTTACAATGAACAGCATTAGTTCCAAGCAAGGACCAAGGCACGTACATCAATCGTGCTCACGTAACCCACAGATATATAGCATGACTAGAAGGCTCATTTGTATTTTTAAAAGTAGTGATGAGAACTGCCTTTGAGGCAGCCATTTGGAATAATACATGTTAATTGCAAATATTTTACGCAAGTCAATATCATCCTAAAAAGATCAAATTTGCAAACCATATATGAATTTCACTTTGTGCACATCCTATTTCTGTTTTTACACTCATGTCATAGAAATGACAATTTTTGTTGGTGATATATCAGTTATTCAAAATGGCTGCCATCTTGGCTTCAATGGAGGGAAATACAGTATAGTGAGCATTCTAGTGACTGTGTTATAGGTCCGTGGGGGACGATCATTGTGCCATTCATGTACATGTAGCTTTATATGTGACGATCAATATTAACATTCACCTCATCCAACATCTTAACATGATTTGTCATAACAATTCCTGAAAATCTGAACATTTTTAACTGGACATAAATTATTATAAAAGGGGGAACCTACATGTATCTGTATGCATATAAAGCATACATTTTCACTAGAATATTTATTTGTGATGTCATTGAGGACATTCTGTATCCATTTTACATTGCGCAAGCTGTCCATATATCTCCAGATTTATAAATATCTATTGAATAGAGGTACGTTTTCAAATGCGAAGTGGTAAGAATTGAGTTGGGGATACATTTTAACTTCAGAATTCTAAGTATTAATGGGATAGATTTTCTCTCAGTTTCCAAACGATTAACAGTATTGGTTCGAACCATCAGCATCGAATAGAAATAAGAATGTTTGAAATGAATATTGATCTTGTTCTTTCCAAAGTGAAGAAATTACATTATATTACATGTATTTAACATATCAATACATCCATATATATGTACACTCACCAGACATTTGATGAACATCGGTGTAACGGTATATGTGTTTATTATTTCTACCTTTCCTTTTTGTTGTGGTCTGCATGCAGAAATAATTCATTATTTGTCGCCATTGATAAGTCTTTGTATCCCTCCCAAGAATCTCTTTTATTTGCCTTTTTGTTTCAACTTGTGTGATACTGTGTTTCGATGTTGCCGCCTATACATGCATGCCATTCTGTGTATATTCATGTTTTATTTTTCCTTATAACTGTAAAGTAGGGGTTGTTCAGTAACCATGGTAACCTTGAATAATGAATTAATATATGGTAACCTTAAATAATGAATGAATATATGCATTACGTAATGGAACAGATTTTTATCTGTAGATTTTATACTGTTTAGACTGTTCAACAGGAATTGTGAACCAACTGCCTGAAGATAGTAAACTCATCAATTTGATAAACTACATGAAGCTGCGGTCATGCTTTTAAACAATCATTACAATATGAAACGTTGAGCCACTCCCGCCACCCATCCTCTCCAAGCGCTATAGTTCTCCTTAGAACTATAATCTAAGAATGATAACCAACGGTCTTTTTCAAGACTACACCAACAGTCCTTTCCAGGACTACACACCCTCAAGAAAGATTACAGAGAGTCCTTTTCAGGACTCCTCAATCCTCCCTCTCTCTCATGGTGCACCCGCAAGCCTATGAAAATTGTCCCACTGTTTACTAGATGCATGAAAAACATAGTCAAATTAAGGATATAAATCCAATTGTATACAATAAAATGTGTCATATGATAAAGTTGTCTGTTTGTGATGCATGCCATAATACTGTTTATTTTTTTCAATTTATTTATTTATTTATTCATAAATGTATAGTGTTGTCAATCATTACATAACATTCAATTTGCTATTATTGTGTATTAATACATTGTGACCCAGTTACATTTTATGTTGTACTGTAATCAGTATTACCATTGCAAACCTCAACTGGCAGTTTATCTTCATCAATTTAATGATACTTGTTACGAATAGTGTTTTGAGGGAGATAGTTGTCACATGCGTAAAAGACATACAATATCTATATGCGAGTGAACTATTCGGAACTCCATGATTTGACATGAGTGCGTGTGTCACAACTATTCCTCTTAATATGCTATGACTCGTTATAGTAAGTGCCACCTTGCGAGAGGAGATTTAAAAAAAGAAATATATTGTTGCTGCAAAAAATACTTCTAATGCAACCAAAATTTGTAAATACATCCTTTTTTTTTTTATAGGTTTAGCAAAATTACTGACAGATTTATTTATCCATTTATTTTTTTATTTTTGTTCAATGTCAATTCCATTGTTCAAGGAATCAAAGCTCAGTGCAAGCTCAGTGCAAGCTCAGATTAATATACACTGATATCATTCATTTAAAGTATATCATTATTTGTTATCTTTTCATCCATGAAGATATGAATAGTTCTTAATTTTGTACTTCTTTCTTTTCTTCCGTGTTGTATCTACGCAGGATCTGAATTACGCTCCCCACACGAACAAGAAGAAGCTGGCCCTCGCTGGGCATTGGGAACACAAGTGGAAGTGAATTATTCTGCGCATCGTTATGTCACTGTAACAGTAACGCTACACGAGGGGGCTATTCGTGCTATATCACTTCAAATGTGTGCTCCACCCGCTTGTGAGAGGCATTAGCTATCCTTTAAAAAAAAAAAAAGAAGACATTATTATAATACAGGTGGGACTGAGGATAGATGCAATGACAAGATAAAGGAGTTGGTGGTGGCGATGTGGGGTAGGCGTGCGCCCTTCCCCCCATGTACAGTATACGCTAATCGCGCGTTAAGAGTCTCACCATGCACATGGAGCAGAGCTGACAGAGAAATGAATGCGTGGGACTGATAGAGGCACTCCCCGCAGGAGATGAATATTGAGTTATGTATCGACAGAGGCCTGCAGGAGATAGCGTCTGACGTCTCCTTAATGTGCTGCTAAAAGAGAACATTATCGCCTGCTTCACATTGATTGCATGATATCATAGCACATTGAGCGATGTTGCAGCAGCTGCTCCGTGACTTAATTTCCGCCGACATTTCTCCTCCAAAAGTCCAAACCGTCAAACCTGTTTAGCATGTGCTTCCTCAGTGCACCCATCATAGAGCTAGAACTGCTGCAGTATATTTCATTTTCCGACATCTCAATCCCGATTCATCGAAACTCAGGACCAAATTATTTCTCTACCGGAGCATGCAGTGTGCTCATGTCATCATCTGTAACTGTTGTATTGTATCATCATCAGTATTGGTGTGCGTCCGTTTGTACAGAAAGATCACTCAGCACCTGCAGCTGTACAGTTTAATCAAAGAATGTTGTTTATCTTGCTTGTTTCTGTGTATATATTTCTTTGAGTTGAATGCCAACAAGTTTTATTGAGCAGTATTTCAAATAAAAAAAAATCGAAACAAATCTCAAAGAGCTTTAAAACAAAAGGCAACAGATACTGTACATATACTGTGATATATGCATGTATCTTCACATTGTCAGTTTTATCATTAAAAATCATGCCATGATTTAAACTCTTTAGATGTGAAAGCTTTTTTTTCCAAGCTGAAATGCATCTCTGTGGCTAATCGATTGCGTAACTCATCCACAGACAGAAAGGTGGAAGTTTGAAATGACTTCATTGTCTTTCTGGCTCTAAGACTTTTGATGTGTATATTTTCCTAAGCTAGTCTGTTGAGAGCCAGAAGGCGTTACATGTATGGCATATTTTGAAAGGTAATGACCAGTTATGGTCATGCGATTGCATTGTGAAAGAAACGTTGTGGAATCGATCAGAAAAGGTTGATCATCTAGCATCTAGCATCTGCAAGGTTCTGGAATCTTAAAAATGATAAGAAATTTGGCCCATTCTTCGTAAAGTTACAAGCACTATACACAGAAAGATGTATATGGGACTACCCTATATCTCTCACAGACCATGAGAGAAACAAATTTACCAAATATATGAATTAGTAGGTGGTTTCCCGGCAAATTTTTTATCATCATGTATTAGTCAAAACATATTCTTCCACATGATTGGTAATGAGAGCTTCCATTTCATTTTTTGAAATTGGGGCGTTTCCAATACTGGTCTTTACCTTTAAGTTATTTTTAAGGTATGCTTTATTTTTTTTGTCTGCATAGAAATGTGGTCTTCTGGCTCTCAACGGACAAAACAACGTAATAAACAACGTTATATATGAACAATGTACACAATGGCATTCTATTCTACATGTAGAAGTGCTATGAAGAAAGACTAGCATTAATCAAATTTACATGGGCCCTGAGCCTAAACTCCTGTGATACAATTTATGTACACAAATGAGACTGAAGTCCATGGAGTGTGGACAAAAATGGGACATTTGTGGGATTTCCTTGAAAAAAATATTTAATCTGCATAGTTGAAATGTTTTATTATCCAATTGAATGCAAGATGGGATGGTTTCTAAATAAGGTCCAGTAGGAAATGTATTTTGGGGGTTTCGAATCTAACATTTGATTCATATTTGTAAATAAATATCTTGTAATGCTACAATTGTATATTTTCCAAAGAAATATCTGTATAATACTTTTGTAGATATGCCAATGTTTGTAATTTAGTCTATACTGTATGTACTTGTATCAAAAGGGATGTATATTATCATGAATGAGATATATGATAATATAAGGAGACAGATTTGCAAGATTGATTTTGAATCATGTTAGATTGTATGGAATATTGAAACAATATTTTCTAAATATTTAATTTTAAAATTATTATTTCAACCTTTTGGTTGCTGAAAAGATTATGGATATATTGTGTGCATGTTGCTTTTGTAATATGTTAAAAAGTGAACATTCTATATGTGTTTGATGTATAAAAAGCGATCTTGTTTTGATAATTTTCTTTCTGAAGTTAATAGAAATAGAGATGTTTGACAGATGTACATGTATCTGATGTGTTTAATTTCAAATGTGTGCATTCGTACAGTTGTTATACGATAAGTGTGAAGTACATGTAAGTTTCAGCCATTATTGAATTCTTAATGATGCGTTCAAAATCCCAAGAAATACTTGTATATTTTTGTACACTGTGCTACTTGTAGAAAAACAGTATTTGCATGGCTGCACAAATATGTACAAACGTGTAATTCCACTGTAGAAAAATCACTGCAAATGTAAATGAAATTGAAGAATCTCCTCTTCTATTTCAAATGAATGATGTTACATGCGTTGAAGACTTATATAGCTTGAGATTGCCAATTTTAATTTCTCATTTCATTCATATAAAGAGTGCGGTTGAGACTAAATGCCATTCTTTTTTCTTTTTTCGTTGGAAATCATAATTATGTCAATTTAATGACTAAACTTTCATGCTTTGACATGTACATGTATATGCATGGTATCAAGGTGTTTTTCCTCTCTCACTAAACCCTTTCTTTGATGATGAAGGGTTATGAGAGCTGTGAAATCAATTATTTTCTTTTTTAATGATATGAATTTATTATGAAAGTCACAAACACAAAAATACCCAAGGACGCTTGCCAGTAACTCTTTTTCATGCAATGAATTTCTATTAAAAAATTGTCTTTGAATCTTAAATCTTTATTGTAATGATGCGTTTCTTTAAAAAAACAAGAAGAACATATATAACATTTACAGATCAAATGACCTGTCACAGTGATTGCCAATTTAATTAAATTACTCAAAAGAATGTTTATATCAAAAATTATATTATCGTAAAAAACAAATTATTTTGTAATCCCAGTGACTGCAATTTGAAAAAATTCTATTTGAAACAAATCACTTGTAATTAGAAGGGATTGTATAGAAAAAACCATTATCTGTTTGTATTCCATTGTAGTCGTGAAAATTTGTGTTTTGATGTGATGTGATGAAAATTCTTTCCTGTACAACGTTTGTTTTTTTGTTGTTTGCATTAAATTTATATCCTGCTTGGTTATTGTATCAAATGTGAGTTCTCACAAAATATATATTGTCACAGAGAAATAAGATATACTTGTTGTACCTGTGTTTTTATTTAGAAAAAGTGTACAAGAAGCACTTCCACAAAATCCCATCTGGTCCGTAACTCGCTGCTTCCCTATCGCACTGTTGGTTCTATAATTTACAGCCCCACTTTTGCACTTGAAGAGCTCTCAGAAACACTGCCGAGGTTTGTGATGTCATGTAAGGAACCAAATAAGCTTAAAGGTAAAGACCAGTATTGGAAACGCCCCAATTTCAAAAAATGAAATGGAAGCTCTTATTAACAATCATGTGAAAGAATATGTTTTGAATAATAGAAGTCTACATGCATGATGATAAAATTTTTGCTGGGAAACAGCCTACTTATTGATATATTTGGTAAATTAGTTTATCTATTGGCCTGTGAGAGATAAAAACGCACGTGTCGCGCACGTGTCCGTTGTCCCATATACATCTTTCTGTGTACAGTGCTTGTAACTTTATGAAGACTGGGCCAAATTTCTTATCATTTTGATGATTCCAGAACCTTGCAGTACATCTATGCTCTATGATCAACCTTTTCTGATCAATTTCACGTTTCTTTCAAAATGCAATCGCATGACCATAACTGGTCTTTATCTTTAAGCAGACAATGTCCCATAACAATGCACACATTTTCAGTGCCCGTTTCATCATCTTATTTCTCTAACTTCACCAGCATCATTCTCACTGTTTGATCTGCTGCCTCGTTCTAAATTTTGGACATGGTTTTATCTTTTCACTATACCATGGCTTGTCATTCAGCATCACTTCCCTTTTAAAATGGTGTGAAATAAGTTCGTTTCAAATCAATAGACTCTTTATTATTGAGAAATAATTGCACTGAAAATATGTTCATTCGTTTATAGAATGACAGGATGTAGTCTGGTCATGCAGGATTGGTCCTTGTGACGTCATCAAAACATCGCTAAATTTTTCTGGCGACGAGCTTACATATCCCAGATCCCAAGAGGTGCTATTATTTGTGTTCATTTGACCTAAAATTTGTATGATTGTCATCTGTAAGCTTCCTGGGGGGGGGGGGGGTGGTGTGTTTCACAAAGATCCCAAGTTGAACTTATCTCTAAGTTGGACTTTGGAGATTTCATGTTCTTGATGTGGAATTTATGAAAAGTCTAAAATATTTGAATTTTGAATTTTGTTTTGAATGAATTTCATTATAAGGCTACAAATGGCTCTCCATAATATTCAAGTCCAACTGAGAGATAAGTTCGACTTAAGAATATTTGTGAAATACCCCCCTGGTTTCTAGTAATGCATTATTGGCCATACTTGTGATTTTCTTTGAACATTATGCAAATGATATGCGTAAACATACAATTTTACTGTAACAGTTAACATCGTAACAAAAATCAGTTCAGAATATATTTCATTTTATTTCATCATTTCCAATAATTTTATAGCAAAAAACACTTTCAGTTAAAAAAATATGCTTCGGAAATGGTTTCCCCAATTGTCCTATATAATCAGAAGCTTGTTCATAATGTATAAACCATAATCTATTCATATCAAATATATGAATAGGTTCATTTCCAAAGTTAAATACAAGTAACAGAATGCATTGAGGGAACATAAAATGCAAATCCAGTCTGATATTAACTTTAAAAGAAGCAGAAAATAGCAGAACTGTGACAATTTGAGCAAAATCCAATTAAAAAAGGAAGTTTTCTTATACTTAAACCAACTTAAATAACACAGTATGGGATATATAATACACAACTACGTCTCTCTCGTGACATAAAACCTTTCATATCTCACCCCTAAAATATACCAGGCAAATTAAATCTAAGGTAGCCTTAATAGTGAAATGTAGTGACATGAAAAGAACCTGTCTACAACGCGAAAGGCAAAATAGTTGGTGATGTTTGTAAATTAAAAGTTCCTTCTCTGAAATATCTGAATGAAAGTTTAGGTAAACAGTAAGCCTAATCATCCATATATTTACTAGCTCCATATCCTAACGATGTGCTTTTACCTCTAGGTGATAAATGATTATGATTTCCAACAATTATGCTTTTTGCGTTGTGGATGTGTCTTTTTGTGTCACTTCAATTTGCTAAACTACCCAAGTTGCTTCAATGATCTTCCAGTTTATTGCAGTCATGAGATATTTGACCTTTAACCTCATGTATGCTCATATCAAGGGGGTGTTTCACAAAGATCCTCAGTCAAACTTATCTCTAAGTTGAACTTACACATTATGGAGAGCCATTTGTAGCCTTACAATAAAATATATTCAAAAGCAAAAGTTCAATTATTTTAGACTTTTCATATATTCCACATCAAGAACATGCAAAGTCCTTAATAATAGAAAATATGAATGACTTGGATCAACAATTTATGCCTCTTCAGGGTGCTACAAGAATTTTTTTCACCACTTGCCCTGTCGGGCAAGTGGGTTTTCAATTTACTTGCCCAAACAATATTTCCACTTGCCCAAAACTTTAAAGCGAAAAAGGACTCGAGGTTAAAGCATTTATTATCTCGTAATGATAAGTTAGTGTTTTAGATAGCAAATTAATGCACATACATGTACAGTGTAACTGTACTGAATAATAACCTAATATGTCAAAGAAAATGGTCAACAAAGGATGGTTGAAGGTTTAAAAAACGCATTTTATTGATTCTCCATAAATTGAAAACGAGACAAAAACATTCATCTGATTTATATGAGCAGCGAGTTTTAAATAATATGTTCACAATCATTAACAGTCATTATGAATAAATATCAAACATTTGACTTTTTGTACTTACTAGAAAATCCCTGTTGTTTATTCCATTCCGATTCGCACGTGTTCATTTCCCTAGAATAATGACGTCATATTTGGCGTGATTCAACCAATCGGCAATCAGAGAATAGCAAAGGCCTGTCGGTGCGGCCTGCAGAGCTAGAGAGAGAGAGCGCGAATAAGCTCGCAGCTGGTACGATCGCGCTAGCTGTCTCTAGCTAGCTCACGGCCGGCCGTGCGTGGAGGCGGAGCGGCATTCATGGCTTGAAGTGTCACTGTTGCATGCGCGCTGAGCTAGCTGAGCTGGCTAGCTGTCTGTGAAGTTTTTTCGAAATCGGAACGATCGCTTTTTTGCTTCTGGATTTTGACGACGGGTAAGAAGTTGACGGGTGAATGGTAGAGTTCTTGGACACTAGGAAATTACTGTAAAAGTATCACTTGCCCGAATCGGGCAAGTGATAATTTGATTTACTTGCCCGACGGTTCAATTTGGTTGCCCCGGGACGTCGGGCAAGCGGGTTTGTCGCGCCCTGCTCTTAAAATAACGTTTGAAAAATATTTTCAAAGATGCTAACGGCTTTCCATAATTGTTCAGTACAACTTAGAGATAACTTCAAGAGATATCTTTGTGAAACACCCCCCTGGTCGGTCCGCAAACTAAAATGCAAACATGTAAAATTGGAGCATGGAAGAAGTATGAACTGATGTATGCGAACGGCTCTAAGATCCACTCTGGTGCAATCTGAGCCGCATTTTGAAGCACTCTTAAATACATTTAATGACTTAATTTATTAATAATTTAGGTTGAGAATGCATAACAAATTTTATGATTACCTAACCTGTACAACAATAATTCACACCTGTCGCTGTTACACGTCTAAGCCCTTGTGGACCTACTTTCATGCAGGTTCGGTTAGAATCTGTTCGATGGTTCTTTAGTTGTCATGGTAACAAAAGTCTGGACAGCCAAGACAACTCTAAAACATTCCTTTACGCCGCCACCTGCAACAATTGTTGTGACCTTTAACATCTGACCTCTTTTCATTTAATCTTTTTACTCTTGCAAAGTCATCATAGTGATAGGATATTTTCTGGAATTCTTAATGATTTCATGACCTGTTTTGTTAAAATTACTTCAATGGTTTTAATTTTACATTATCACAGTAACAATACCAGTACATCTCGTCCCAAGAGTCGATCAATGAAATCGCCTTTTAATGTTTATACTCACTTCAGCCAAGTTTGATTTCAATTACTCAATTTCAGTTTATACAATTTATTGTGACACTATATCTGGTATATATCAACATTTTAATGGTTCTGACTTTTGACCTCTTAAAATCAAAACCTTTAAGTTCATCCTTGCATGCTCATACACTGTACATACATGCACTTGATCTAAGTTTGATTAAAATCTGTTTTGTTATCGGGTAACAAAAAGCCAAGGCGGACAAGCTGAAAACATAATGCCTCAGTTCCAACTTTGTTGGCGGAGGGCGGCATAAAAAAAAAAAAAATCTGAAAACCTTCTTTGAAGTACAGGAAGACATGAAATATGGCAAAATGGTATCATCAATATGCACACAAGTACTCAAATTTTAACGTCTCATCTGGCAGTTTTCACACACAAACTTAATAACCAATTTCAATCATTTCATCGCTTAGACTTATTGCAACAAAATACACTGTACATATACTGTACTTACAATATAAAACAACATACATGTATCATTGATACAAAACAGAATTTTTCAATTACAAAAAATACAAATTTCATCGCGAAGATCTGAAAGACCTGCAGATCTTAATATTTTGGTTATTCTAGATTTAATCAATAGAATGATCTACCTATTTGCCAATTCAGAAGATAAAAAATGGCTAATAGAGATGTTTATAAAGCAAATAGGCAAGAACTTAAATATATTTATCAGTCAAAGCACCATTGACCACTTAGTAGGTGCCTTGAGCATCCTCTGGGATAGATATGGGAGCAATATATCTAGCTTATATTATCATCAACATTTTAATGCTGTATAATTTCAATGCCTTTTCTTATCAGAAACTGCAAATTAAATTCCTTCAACAAGAAAGAAAAATCTATGCCACAATAAAGAGGGAAGAAAAAGAACCTTAGAGGCAAATGTTCTCATAGGCTTGATCAAATTCAATAATTTGTCGGGCTAGGCCCTTGCTTCCCTTTGGCAAGAAAATAACTGCCCTTTAATACACCAATGTGCCCTGGCTACGACTATTTGTTAATGTGCAAGGATATACTGAAAGACCTTGATAGGAGCTTTAGAAATGCATTACCACATGAAACAGAACAGGGTTGATTACACCCTCTTTATGCCTCTGGACCCAGTATCAGGCCTCTTGACTTGCTCAGAAGAATTTTATCCAGAGAAGAAAGCAAAATATTGCACTGACGATGCTCTCTGAGCTCCTGAGACTCTTTGTCCAAAGGTGATTGTCGTGTAGCAATCTGACAATACCTCACAAGACAGTGAAGATGTTCTTTGGTACTGTAGTTTCCGAGTCTCGGCAGAGAGGATGATTGTCCTATTGCCACCTTAACTCTTTTGTCCAGAGGTTGAACCCACCGATGACATTCTCTGTATGCTTCAAAGCCTTGGTGTCCAGCATCCATCCAGCTCAGAAGGAAGTTGTCCACGGATGATGGACAAGGTCTCTTCCAGCGACGGATGTTGCTGATAATAGCCTCTATTATGCTTCTGACGCTCAATGCCCAAGAACCGACTCACTCAGAAGACTGTTGTCCAAAGATGAAACTGACGCCAATGGCATTGATGATGTTCTCAATGTACTTCTGAGTCTCAATGTCCAAGATGATCGTCAAGTGGCCATCATCATCTGGTACAACGGTAGGACGCTCCTTGCTCCTCAGAAGACCATTATCCAAAGATGAAAGCCAATGGCGTTGGTAATGTTCTCAATGTCCAAGATGATCGTCATGTTGCCATCACCATCACCAACTCACTCAGAAGACTGTTGTCCACAGATGAAAGCCAATGGCGTTGATGATGTTCTCAATGCACTTCTGAATCTCAATGTCCAAGATGATCGTCATGTTGCCGTCACCGTCGGGTACCATGGCAGGACGTTCCTTGCTGATCATCTCCAACTCCTAATGAAATATATACAGAGAAAACAAAAGTGAAAAGGTACAAAGAAGGAAGTAAAACGAGGAGAAAGTAAGAGAGGGAACAGAGAGTGAAAGAGAGACAGGGAGGCAGAAACAGATGGCAGAAAATATGTTGAGAGAAAAAGATAATAGTAGTAGAATGAAAAGAGACAGAGAAAAGAAAGCCAAATAACGAGCAAGAGAGAACATCGAATGAGTACTGGTATGGAAGAATGACTCGTTGCCTTGTCAAGGAAATGCCAACTGAATACAGGATTTACAAGTTTCATCCAAATCATTCTTATTCACAAATACAAACAAGCTTCAGATTAATTTGACAGCATCTTGCAATTACTGAGAAAAATAAATTTGTATGCAATGATGCAAATAAAAATAATTAAAGAAAATGTTGAGTTCTGGAAAAGACAAGGAATTATTTGTGAGCTATTTCATTTCCTTTTTGTATGTTAGTGTGGAAGAGTATCATAAAAAATGTGCCCCCTGAAAAGGATGGAGCACACTTTCATGCCACATGTTTGTGTAGTCCTACATGCACATTTCTGTGTACAGAGCATGGTTGTTTATTTTGGCAAGACTGGGCCAATTTCTTATCATTTTGATGATTCCAAAACCTCACAGTATACACCATATGATCAATCTTTTCCAATCGGTTCCACAGTTTCTTTCACAATGCAATCCAACGACCAGGGACCCGTTTCACAAAGCCTTTTTTCAATGACAAATGACAAAACTCAGTGACAGATCTGCTGATAAGCAATCCGAAGATAGGATTTTAGTAGCTTATAACAAAAACCGTCATTTGTCACTGATAACAAATTTTGTGAAACACCCCCTAGATCTCGACTTCATCTTTGATTCATTGCTACGACAATAGATAATTCTCACCGCTGTGTTCTCGTCGATGGTGAAGAGAACCACCTGGTTACAGGAGTCGGCCAGGAGGAGCACCAGATGCTTGACCCTGCCGTCCTCACTGGTGACGTACCGGGTGATGATGGGGTACCGACTGGCCCTCAGGGCGCGGAACAGCTCCGTGTACCAGCTCGAGCTGTTGGTGAGGAGGGGCTTGAGGGAGGGGTCCAGGTTGGTGAGAGGGGTGTGGTGGACGCACCCTAGGAGGACCTTGAACTCTGGATAGGACATGGCGGTCTGGTCGCAAAGGGTTATGAAGAACAGATTTTTACTTTATTTTACACATCAATGGTGTTTTCAAGAGTCTTGCCCATACAATATGTCTTAGAAAAGACTGGAAGAAGTTACGTGTAGTTCATTATTTTTAAGCCAAAGAACAACAAAATTCAATCGGATCAATTTAATATTTTTTTCTCAATCAAACTAGGAATAAACGGACTGAAGCTTGTCCAAGTTTTCTTTTATCAGAGCAAATTTCTAATGGGGCAAGTTTTATGTTTTCTTTCTTCTTCATCAAACCAGCATTTAGTGTAAATGTGACCCCAGCTTGTAGAAAAAGGGAACCTTGGCAAATTTCAAGAAAATTTGAAAAACACAATTTTACACAAACTGTGAGGGATAGTTCATTTTGAGAAGAGAAAAAAAACTTCTTTAAAGAAAACTGCAAGGGGTTCATCTTTTGAGTAAGAATCCAAAACAATTTCAATTGGGCCTATTTTCAGGTATTTTTCATATTAGAATAAACTTTACCCCAGCTTGTCGAAAAAGGCAAATTTCATAAAATTGTGAAAAAAAAACAATTCATGACAGAAACAACAAAGGGTTTGATAGTTCTACATGTAAAAATCTACAATTTTTAATGGGGCCTATTTCAATGTTTTTCGTAAAACATCTCTTGCTACATTTCATCGCTAAAATGCTATGCAGTAATTTCCACAAGAAGAAACACAACACTTTGTATAGTCCGTCGATCCTCCTCACCTGTGAATCGTCCTCCTCTGCACTGTCCCTCTTCTTGCCCTTCTTGGTGGAGGTGGTTGCCACGGCGTCCATGTCTTCCATGTCCCACATCATGAGCTGGTCCCAGAGAGAGTCCCTCCTGCAGTTGATATCAGCACTGGTCAGCATGGCCAAGATGCGCTCCCGCTCCGCAAAGGCCTCCGTCTCCCCCAGCCTGCAGCGCTGGAGGAACGCCGATTTGGGCAGGAAGGGGTCGTCTGTTCTCTGTCGGATAGGAGGCCGGGATGATATCAATGAGAGGGGGTAATTTAGGGGAATTTATGATAGCATTGGAACAGACGATATTTCAATTAAATGACAATAACAACAATTATTGAAATTATTTTTTATCAACCATCAGCATCATGACAACATGACAAAAATGAAGAAAAAAAAAAGAGATTTCTTTTCCAAAGTATAAAGCTAAAATAAAGTGAAAGTTACAGTAACAAAGGATTTCTCACAAGAGGTATATTTATGTATTACACTGTCCTACAGCATTCAAGCTTTTTTTTTTCTTTCCAGAAATGTTGTCTTACATTCCCTTTCTCCCTATGCACCTTTATAAATACTGTAAAAGCACAAAAAATTGAACATTGGTCCTTACTACAGGCTTCACGGTCTTCTGTGGATAGATATCCTTGCGATTGGTCACGATGACGTAGAACTCTAGCTGCAGCATGTTCTTGTGGTAAACAGCCATACCCTCGCCCGACGACAGCGACCCTGTGGCTCCTCCCACGGCCGGTGAGTTGGGCCTCGTCTGGCAGCGGTACTCGGCCTCGTCCCACGCCACCACCACGCTGATGTCATCTGGGAAGCGGTTGCTCTGGCGATCCTGAAAGAGGGGATGGACGGTGCCGTGGATGCGGCACAGGGCGTGGTGCAGCTCCTGTCTGTCGCTGGGTGGTCCTCCTGCACACTCGGGCGTGGCGGTGGAGGAGGGGTGGACCATGACTAGCTTCCGCCAGCTGGCGGGTGGGTGGTTGACAAGGTATTCATACAGCTGAGGGGCTGGTGTGTTCAGGCTCAGGAACTGGATGGTGTCTTTGAAGAAAAAAACAAAAATTTAATACTACATGTACTTTTATAATGTGCATTTCCATCCCGGGACATGCTCTAGATGCCTAAAGAGTCCTGCTTCTGGTACTTTAAGTTGCTGTGTGGTGCCTCAAGCATGAAAGGAGTTAACAACACCTGAGTAGATAGTGACAAATGTAGATAAATGTCATGCATACCAAAGAACATTAGTGCCATGACTGGTACTTGAACTACATGGCCTGATAAACACATCAGAATAACTCTAGAAAATCAAATTCTATTACTAGAACTCAAATTTAGCTGTCATCATTAAAAACACTCTAAGTCAGTTGCAAACTGCAGCACTCTTATTTTCTATCTCACATGTAATGCTTCAAGGCCAAAGAAGGGACACACCCTCTTCAGGCAAATATGATCTTTCCACCACTGTTATCATCTCACCTTTCTTCATGTAGTTCTGCCTGGAGTGCAAGGGAGTGGAGAAGTACTTTGTAAAACTCCCCAGGTGTACATGTAATGATCATGGCACTAAATTCCTATGTCTTGATCGAAATGTACACCTTCAACAACGTACAAGTGACACATCCTATTAAAGCCTGTCTGTACTAGTTTGGCCATGGGGGATTAGACCTCCCTACAAGGTCACTGACAGGTGGTTATCTCATTCAATCAGCTCTCAATTAACATCATAAAAAGGGGACCATGGGGGACCAATGCCGGGTCACTGATTAGGCATAGTTTGCTCTATAGAGGGCGCAAGTAGCTATAAGTAGTCAGTGAGGCTTTAAAAGGAAGCAATACATGTATCTTGCCACCACTGCTATCGCCTTACCTTTCTTGATGTAGTTCTGCCTGGAGTGTGGGGGCATGGAGTAGTACTTTGTAACACTCCCCAGGAAGCTATAAACATGCATGTAATGATCATGGCACTGAATTCCTATGTCTAGATCGAAATGTAAACCTTCAAAAACTAACAATGTACAGGTCAGGTGACACATCCTGTTAAAGCCTCACTGACTACTTATAGCTACTTGCGCCCTCTATATAGCAAACAATGCCTGATCGGTGCCTGTTGGTCCCCCATGATCCCCTTTTTCTTATGTTTATTGAGAGCTGATTTGATGAGATACATGTAACCACCTGTCAGTGACCTTGCAGGGAGGTCTAATCCCCCTGGCCAAACTGGTACAGACAGGCTTTAAAAGAAAGTGATATCTTGCCACCACTGTACCTTTTTTGATGTAGTTCTGTCTGAAGTGTGGGGGCATCGAGTAGTACTTCATGAAACTCCCCAGGAAGCTGGAGACGTGATAATGGGACTGGAATCCCATGTCGGGATTGAAGAGATAGGACTGGATGGTGCGCAGGTGGAAGTCGTAGGCCGACGAGTGTAGGTGGATCAGATCCTTGTACTTGTCGCAGTCGTCGGTGAAGAGGGTCGCCAACTGAAAGGACACGATTAAACAAATTCAATTGATATCCGTTCAACAGTTATTCTGGTATCAAAGGGAGACAGAGAGAACAACAGACCCACAGACAATTCAATATTTCATTTTAAGTTTTACCTGAAGATTTTTTTTTTTTGAGGCCGCCATCCTAGTCAAGCTTCGCTTATGATTGCTGTCTCCTGCACTTTTTCAACTGATAGTTTGGATAATACTTTAAATTTATAATAATATGTTATAGAAATATTAAGTTTTGTAAAAAAAAACATTTTGACATGAAGTTATTATTGTTTGTATATTTTGTATTAGACATGTACCTTACGTTTATATGTTTTTTGTTATTCTGTTCTTATATTTGGAAAAATGCAGAAATAAAATAAAATCAATCAATGAGATAAATTTCTAGGGGATAGCATTTTTGGTGGGGGAGGCATGACGATAATAGCATTGACATAAAAGTATCTGTTAGATGGAATCAGGCGCGTACGCAGGGGGGGGGGGGGGGTGTTTGGGGGGTTAAACCCCCCCCTTTGGTATTTTTATGTGTGTAAACCCCCCTAAAAAATACCTAACCCCCCCCCCCCCCCCCCCCCCCCCCCCCCCCCCCCCCCCTTTGGATTTTTTTTTTTTTTTTTTTTTTTTTTTTTTAATTATTAAAAAAAAAAAAAAATTACCCCCATGGCGGACCTAAGAAAGGTGACCTTACCCCCCCCTAATAACTAAAAAGTGTGAGGGTAGTTATTATCGAGATAAAAAATTAGGCAGTCTCCCACAACACAAATCTAGTAACAATAATTGACATATTGAAGCTTCCAACATCACTGCATTCCACTGCCTGTCGGAAAATTGATTTTCAACAAGTCTTACGCCACATGGGGGGTGTTTCACAAAGCCTAAGATCGACTTTAAGTTTGACTTAACTATGGCAGGCCGTTCATGCCACTGTTTGCTCTCACCATTTACTGGCATCGGTCTCTCAATAGACGTAAAAGTCATGGTCACAAATCTACAGAATTTACATTATTGAAGGAAAAAATATTATCTAAAGATCATAATGGTGAGAGCAACCAGAGGCTCGAATGGCCTGCCATAGTCAAGTCCAACTTAAATTTAAAGTCGATCTTAGTCTTTGTGAAACACTCCCCTGGGATCTATCTACTTCACCTTTGACCTACCTCTTTGTTGATGGTCTTTCCTGCTGGTAGTCTGGAGCTCTCAAAGGCATACAGCTTCACACAGAAATAGATGTGCTAAGAGACAACAAAAAAGGAGCAACGCATCAGTCATATGTGTATGAACATGACAATATTTTCTCAAAAACTCTGGATAGCTGACTACAGCAATATACAAGTACCATAATTTGCCGGCATTAAGGCCACACCCTAGATTTGACATTTCGTAGACAAAACAAAAATGGAAGGAAACAAAACAAGGGAATACATGTAAGTGCAACGCTACACGACCAAACAAAATCATTGTTATTTTCTGGCAGAAAACTATTTTTTCTACGAACTGATTCTAAATTCATGAATATTCTGATAAAATTTTGAAGGAAATAACTACCGGAAAGTTTATAGTTGTATTTACCGCAAAAATGATTGTTGATTTCGTTGATTTTACCTTTACGCCAGCAAATACGGTACATAATCACAAATAAATTGTACACATGATTATTGTGACAAATATATGCATCTACATGTAAATCACATTCATATTGGAGGCACGATGGCTCAGTGGTAGAGCAGTGGTCTCATAAACAGGAGATCCCGGGTTTGAAACCAAGTCGATGCGCTAGTGCCCTTTGGTAAGGCATTGATCCTCATTACCAGGTCCCTCGGAGAGGACTTCAAACCGTTGGTCCTCTGATTGCTTGCTTACAAGCATACACATGTTTTCTAAGCAGTCAGGTAAAACCAACAATTCAATCAAATGTCTTACTTTTCAACATGGTTTTTGTTTTTTTCATAGTAATTTTTTTTTTCTTCTTCACTGTAGATGTGTTTACACTATCCTGACATGACCTTGAGTCAAGGTCAAGGTTAACACACCTTGAAGGAGAGCTCAATGAGAATGACACCCCCTGGCGAGGTGATCTGAAGGTGACCTTCTACTCCGGTCTCACTGGGGCGTTTCAGGCCGCTGAGACGTCTGGCGTGCTGCTGTTCAGAGCTACCTCGACTATGCAGAAGCTTGGGTCTATCGAGAACAAAAATTGAAAAAGAGTACAAAGCAAAAATGATGTAATCTGAATTCATCACATAATAAGCCCCCTAACATACTTAAAGGGGTAGTTGAGTTTTGTTGCAGAGGGCGCTGCGCAAATAATTTTTTTTTGTGAGATAATGAAAAACTGAGTGTCAATTTTGAAAGAATAGACAATTTAAATGATAAAATCATCCATAAATATAACCATTTCTAATATTTGTGGTGCCCCACAAATATTCGGTTATTTTGAACCGTTGAAAAACGAGACAGCGTCTTATACATTTTATTCTAGCCAATACCAATATTGGCTTTTTGTTGGCTTTTTTGTGTTGGCTATAATACACAAACCAAGACCCATGCAATCCGCAGTCCAGTGACTTATCCACAGGACCACAACACCTCCACAACCCTTTTCATTAAAAGAAGTCTTTGCAATGGGACCCCATTTTTCTTCCAAGTACATGTCTGAGTATAGGGGCAATTGACTTATTATACCAAACTATCTTTCCAATTACAAGCCCAACTCACCCTTGTCTAGCATGCATGGATGAGGTTAGTACAGTCATGAACCCTTGCCACTTCAAACATTTCCTATATTAGGACACCATGGTGTTCTTGTTCAAGATTTGTTGCATACATTTCAGCAACCAACCAGAGACATTCATGTGATTCAACAAAACCATCTTTCTAAACATCCCAACTCACACTTGTCGACTATGCGTTGGTGAAGTATGCACACTGATGAAGCCTTGCCACTTGAGGAAGTCCTTATACTGGGACACCATGTTGTTCTTGAGGTCGTTGTGCCAGGGAGCTTCATTGGTAGGTTTGTCCGGGTGGTCTTCCTGGGCCCCGCCCCTCATGTTGCACTTCATGTGGTCCCTCCAGTGGGGGTCAAGCAGGAGGGGCGTGGCACAGTAGTGGACGAGCCTTGACCGCTGTTTGAGCAGGTCCAGCATCAAGTCCTGAACAGATTTGGATGAATGTTACATTGTACATTTGGAGTTTTTGTTATTTACATAGAAGTTTTCATATGGGGCGTTGCAAGAAAGTTGCAATTGATTGGAGTGTTCCAAGAGGAGTGGAGAGTGTGCACCCTAAAGTGCAGTATCATAAATGAATCTCGTGACCAAGTAAAGGTACTGTACCGTACTGTAAGCGCTTTAGTCGGTTACGTATTCACAAATATATTAGTCTATTAATAATAATAATAATAATAATAGCCTAATAGTCCACTCCAAATTTTATTAAGCTGAAACGGAAATTCTTTTTGCCCAATTGATCGTGAGCCCGGCAGCCACTGAGCAGCGCCAGATCGACGTTGCTCTATCCCTTATTGTTGAACGCCAAACAAGGTAGCAACAATTCCCATCCTTTAACGTCTTTTGGTATGACGCGGCCGGGGTTCGAACCCACGACCTCCCGGTTGTGAGGCGGACGCTCTTCTGACTGAGCCAACACTCTGTCAGTAGGGAAATTATACAAATTCCCCATGCTTCTTTTTTATTTCAAGTCCTACCGTGCTATTCAATTGCCCAAATTTCTTACAAAAGCATCATTATAGCGTTGAAAATAGGAGAAAACAAATGTTGTAATGTTGTTCTATGACTAATGACGTTATTGTGAATGAGCACACTACATTACCTCACAGATTAAAGCTTTCTACACTACTGCGTAATCAATGCCAATTTGAAGGTGTGATATTAAAGATACATGTATGCTCATCTTCAACAAACTTACACTGATCTTACAGACCGGCTGTCTCGACCGAGGGCCTCTCTTAAGGATCTCCCATGTCTTGTACAGGGTCTCTAAGTCCTTCTGCACCTCCAGTTCTGTAAAAAAAGAAGAAAAAAATCATATTATTACAATCAATAAACAAGGTGCTGTACATGTTTGTCATACAATTCACAACAGTTAGATGCAAAAATGTACGGTCTCATCAAGCTTTTAATATTATATATGTATTCCAGTATTGTGTATTTTCTTGTCAACTTAAACAAATGAGAAGCATTTGAAGTATGGGCACACTTGCCCCCCCCCCCCAAACATAAAACAAAATCACCCAGGGTAGTGAAAGACCAGATTTCACTGAATTTGGACCAAAAGAATACACAAACCCTCCTGATCAACCTGGACAGGGCACTGAACTGGGCCCTGTTTCATAAAACTTGTCATTAATAAGGAGTCACAATAGAGTGGTGAAGTGTTACGTCATCAAAAATCTATTTTTAGAATTTCTCAATTTTTTCATCATATTCCGAAAGAACACCAAAAATAATGTCCAAATGTAGAAAACCAATTGAATATGTTAAATATTGGCTGAGTTATGACCATCCGAATGAATATATGTCCTATGGGAACTCAGTGTTATATGCTCTGGCTCCTAACCATTAGGAGCCAGAGCATATAACACTGAGTTCCTATGGGGAGTATCTTTATTTAGATGGTCATATCTCAGCCAATATTTAACATATTCAATTGGTTTTCGACATTTGGACATTATTTTTGATGTTCTTTCGGAAAATGAAGAAAAAATTGAGAAATTCTAAAAATAGATTTTTATGACGTCACAGCTTCGGTACTCTATAACTGTTATTTGATTGACCGAGGGGCAAATTTGTCATAGAAATTTAGCATTTGTTATTAATTACATGTTTTATGTACCAGGGCCCTGTTGTCCTTGTAGCCTATCGTTCATAATTGTGTACGATACACAACTATGTTTCTTTAGCATAGATTTATAGAACCTATGACTTAGCACTGACAAATTCGCTATGACGCAAAGAAAGGAAAGGTGCTTGAAGGGCTCACTCATACGTTTGTACCTGCCGTAACTGACAAATTCGCTACTCGATCATGCAGCCATTCAATGCAACCAAATACGTGAAATCTCAAAAAGCGGCACATGATAAAACAAGCATAATTTGGCTTTAGCAAACACACAAATTTTGAAAAATAAGAATATTCCCAATTTTCAGGTCCTAAAATCCAGAAAATCAGAATATTCCAGATTACCGTAAAGGTTGGCAGGTATGCTTACCCTTGCGTGTATTCCTGCACATCTCTCCAAACTGAGCCGCGTTCCTCGACACCGGATCGTGGAGCAGTTTGTGCGGCGAGCCCTGGAGAGGGCGCTTGATCCTGGTGTTCTGGAGCGTCTGGTCAAACGGGGGCAGAGCAGGGTGCAGCCTGCGCAGGTGGGAGGGGCGCGTGGTGGCAGGGAGGGAGCGGGTGGAGAAGTCCCTGGAGGGCAGGGTGGGCTGCTTCACGAGCGACTCGATGGGCTCCAAAGAACGGGAGAAAGGGTTATCACCCTGTAAAGAGTACAAGAACATACATGTTTGTTCAAATGATTTACTGACGTTATTATGATGCTTATCAATGTTTATTGATCTCTATAAACTGATGATGATTGTTGATTGTTGATTATTGTTCTCCTTCAATGCTTGAGAATTGGACTCTTCTTCTTCTTCGCTACATCAGATGTATAGTCACAGATGAGATTTACAAGTACTTTCTTTAACAATGACATGACACCCCTGTTCCTTCTCTCCCCCAAAAAAACAAAACAAATCTAAAATTTGATAAAGTTTTCCCCAAAATTAACAGCCAATCTCGATCTCAAACTGCTATGATTTTATCCATTATCAATGACTTTAAAGGTAAAGACCAGTATTGGAAACGCCCCAATTTCAAAAAATGAAATGGAAGCTCTCATTACCAATCATGAGAAAGAATATGTTTTGACTAATACATGACGATAAAAAATTTGCCGGGAAACCGCCTACTAATTCATATATTTGGTAAATTTGTTTCTCTCATGGTCTGTGAGAGATATAGGGTAGTCCCATATACATCTTTCTGTGTATAGTGCTTGTAACTTTACGAAGAATGGGCCAAATTTCTTATCATTTTTAAGATTCCAGAACCTTGCAGATGCTAGATGCTAGATGATCAACCTTTTCTGATCGATTCCACAACGTTTCTTTCACAATGCAATCGCATGACCATAACTGGATGCTGAATCTCACCTGATTAGAGCCAAAGTGACAGTGATGGTAGAGTCCCATCTTCTGACTGACCAAGCAGTCGAGGAAGTGCGCCCTCGTGTTGTGCCACATGACCAGGCGTTGGAAGAGCTTGTCCACGGAGCTCAGCTTGTCGTTGGACCAGTTGTAGATGAACACCTTCAACTGTGATGATTAAAAAGATGAGAACATTATATGTATTTTGTTGGAGGTGTTGTTTTCGAGTGGTTCAAGCATTTGACTTGAAATTCAAAGGTCATGGGTTTGATACCCGACACGGCATTAATGTCCTTTGGCAAGGCATTAATCTAGATTTTACACTTCATACACAATAGGATGATGAAAGCCTATGTGCCCTCATGCTGACCATATGGTAGGGAAACTTCCAGGGAGTGGAGATGATGCACATTGTGCGTGAATAAACCCTATTACATTTGATGAAGACCTGAAGACTTACTGACCTGTTTGTTAGTGGCATGCAAGAGAAGAAGCCTCTGTCTGGGTACGACTAGTCTCATGGACTGAGGAGGGTGCTTCAGACCAGGTAGTCCACTGCGCTCACTGCTGCCCAAGGACAATATATCCAGGGGGTCAAACTGCTGGAAACTCTTTTGACCTGTAAGCAAAGATAATCGAAAATGATTATACTGACCACCAAGTTTAGTCAGATGGTTGTCATAAGTATTCGGAAATCAATATTTTGCACTTGTTGTAGTTTATCTATGTGTAATTAAAACAAACTTGCAATATAGATCATGTGAATGTTTAATACTTGAAAGTATATACTGTATTTAAATCTAATATCATCACTCGTTTACAGAATACATTTTATCTTTAATTATTAAATGATATTACCCTAGATTTCTGAATGGAGTGTTTATTAAGACATATATATCTCTCCATCACCCATTCTCAACATTTCTCAATCATTTTCACTGGATTTTTTCTTCCTAAGCATGGAAAAGGGAGCATTGCTGTCATTTTAGAAGTAAACATTTTACTCTGATACTGCCTCTATTTTTCCACACATAAAATACTTGGATATAATAAAGCATAACTAAGAAGGAAGTTTACAAATCAAAGAAATACTCACTCTTAGGGTTGGTGAGGTTCGGCGGTTGAAGAGGTTCATCAAGCGAGCTGGAGTCTAAGCTGTAACGCCATTGGTGGACATTACGTCCAATCAGAATGAACGTCTCTTCACCTCCTGGTAACGACTGCCCGTAGTTGAGCACATCAGACTCCTGGATCTGTGTGTTGAAGAAACATGTCAGGAAATAATAAAGAGGGAACACTCTAGGAACAGTTGTAAAAGAGTATAACATCATTTCCTCACTTTTATTCTTCTCCCTGATATTTACAGTTTAATTTATTTCAGTATCGTTCTTGAAAAAAAAAAAAAAAAGAATTCCTTCACAAATGAAAATACACAGGTAGAAATAATATTATATTGCTAGTTTCAAATAAAAACTGTGTACAGAATTTGTAAGTATTGCCATTTTGATGATGTTACTGCTTCTATTATTTTTTAATTTCATGACATCAAACAATATTTTGCTATTCAATAAATATTGGTGCAATATAACTGAAATATTTGTTTTTTCTGCTAGAAACCCTTGATTATTGTTTTATGACCGTAAATTAAATATAAATATGTAAAACCTCAAAATATCAAATTTTATCATAAGTAAACAGGGTTTTATTTCTCACCTTACTGGGTGGAGGGTCATAAGACTTGAACTCCTGGCCGCTGGCTTGGTAGAGCTTGTGGGTGCAGTCTGTACACACCTTACCAAGTTTGTCAAGGAACTCCTGCAGGAATGTCCCCAGACTGAAGCGACAGGATAGTCTGGCGCTCAGAACCTTGACAGAGGGCGCATCTACAAAAAGGATGGAGGGATATCCAGAATAACAAAATCTGGGATTTTTTACTTCAAAGGGGGGGGGGGGGGGGGGGGGGGGTAGCGTGCCCAAATGAATTTCAGAGGGCAGGGGATCTCACCAGTGTAAATCCCTTCTTATTTCACAAGAATGCCATTATCTTTTTAATTTTGAGGTAAAATGCAGTACCGTATTTGCCGGCGTATAGGCCGCAGTATTTTTGGAAGAGAAAATATCAAAAAGTCGGGGTGCGGCCTATGCGGCGAAAGAGTAAAAAAGTTTTTTTTTTAATTTTTTTTTTAGTTTCGATTTATGGCGCTATGCCTGGCAATGTCTCCCAGCTCAGTAATCAGTGTGTTGACTCACCACTCGGAAACAACAACAACACTAAAATTTGACTGTCATCTTGGTTTGAAAGTAATCTTTCTAATAGATCTCAATATGTAGTTTATAATAATAGTTCCTCAATTTTTTTTCTATAACAAATGGTGTACCACAAGGTACACCACTGGTACCATAGGTACTTTATTGTTTTTAATTCACATTAATGATCTTACACATTCTTCTAAAAACGACATTGTTACTATTATTTGTGACAAGTTTACAAGCACAAATCAGCGCCTTTAACTGCACCTCGATGTTAAATGAAGGTCCTTCCACACGTGGGTTTTCGGCAGCAAAACAACAACAACAAAACAATTTTTTTTTTTTTTGTTTTGTTTTTGGTCAAAATCGGGGGTGCGGCCTATGCGGGGGTGCGGCCTTTACGCCGACAAATACGGTATATCAACGATCTACATGTAGTTCTGCAAATTTTCGATTTCACTTTGTCATAAACTTGAAATTGTTTTTTGTGCTAACACCTCCACATACCGGTACCCATTTACAAGCTTTGCTTCTCAGGGGTCCATAGCCTGTCATCATGTTATAATTGTACCAGTACCAATGTGATTGTAAATTGTTTTTCACGATTGGCTGAATAAAATTGATTTATACTTATTTCTAATGCTATCATTGCCCTCTATATGCAATTCAATTCAATTTCCAATTCATTTTAAAAAGCAGAAATTATATTATACACATTATGATATACACACAGAATAATAAAACAAAATATAGAAATAGAAACAAATCACGAAAACAATAAAAAAACAATGAAATACCGTATGCAAAACCAAGTAGGTTACTCAGAGCGGGTATCTATCAGGCTAAATTTCATCCAGACGTTGGAAAAAGCCCTCCTCATAACATTTTCATTCTCTTCGGTCTCTAGCTTTCCTAGTCCAAGCGGCCGTTCCCATGTATGATGTTAGGTCATCTCTCTTCTGCCTTCCTCTTCTTCTCCTTCCCATCCTTGGTTGCCATTCTGTGTCAGGTACCAACGTGACAAATGCGCACAAAATTTATGAAATGAAAAGTAAAGAAAAAGGAGATCTTACCCAATTCCTCCATGAACGGGAACCACCGGAGAGCGAGACCAGAGTACATGGGATGTAGGATGCCTCTCTTCCCCTCCTCGGCCTCCCGGCTACGCTCCCTTGCCTCCTCCTCCTGTCTCCGCTCCATCTCGATGATCTGCCAGCTTGTCTTGCCTTCCACGGTGGTCTCCTAGATTAATTTCAGGGATTTGTAATTTAGTCATCTTTTTATGGATTTAAACAGTTTTTTTCATGTGTATTCATGTATAAGCAACACATTGATCTACCTGGTAGTCTAATTCAACTACCGGTAGTCCACCTTTTCAATATATATTGGACATTATTTCTATATTTTTATCTGAAATCCAACCTCAATTTTTGGTTGCAATAAAGAAATAATAATAATAGTCAGGGCTCCAGACTAGTTTTTTTGAAAGGGGGTCCGGATTCAACACTTTCAAATTCTGTACTCATGAGCCCTATATAAATTCTTGACATTTTGGGGGTTCCTGAGTTATATTTTGGGCACCCATGTGTCTTGGGCATCTGTTAGTTTTGAGCCCTATCTATTATTGCTGCTAACAAAATTCAGGATTGTATCAGCAAATCAGTAATTTCTGTATGTAATTTTGATTCCAATACTAAGAATGTGTGCACATTACAATGAAATACACAGAATTGACCAAAAGAACATTTAACGTTGTTCGGACATGTAAATATGATGCAATAAAAAGCAAATCGCGAATGACCCTTCAACAAATTCTTATTTAAGTTAAATTAAAATCAAATCAATTTTAATTCCATGAATTAAAAAAAAAATCCTTAAAAAGTAAAACTTTACCACAAAATCAAAAGGGAGTTTTAAAATGAAACTGGTATGAACAGGAAATAACATAAGCAATAACAGTGTACAAGATAAAGCCAATACATGTACATGTTAAAAAACATGTACGTAAATGAAAATATAAATGAAAATATAAATGCAGGGAGAACACATTCTGGGATACGCAATTAGTCCCACAACTCGCTTGGGCAAAAAAGCATAAACAACCAGGCGATAACAACTACCAAAGCATATTAGTGAAAGTATCCCCTATAGTTATTGCCTATACATAAATGCTACTATATTTTAAAGTACAAGTATGCAACTACCCAAGCATATTAGTGAAAGTATCCCCTATAGTTATTGCCTATACATAAATGCTACTATATTTTAAAGTACAAGTATGCATCAAGCAAAAAAGCCAGAAGAACTGGAACTAAACTACATGTAAGTCAAGGCCATCACCAACTAAGTGCAGTATAATATCTCAAGAAAAAGGGAGAAACTATTATGACAACTTTCAAATAAATAACCAAAGAAAAAAATAAAGAAAAAATGGGGGGAAAAAGGGAAATTAGAAAAAACCAAAAAAAAGGAAACAAATGCAAAGAATTCTAAACATTCCCCGTAGTAAATTATACATGTACACATTGGGTATGATATACGTGTACATGAATGTATGAATGTGCCTGCTGTGTCATCATAATTACACACACACACATATATATATATATATATATATATATACAAAACATATATATATATATATACAATGTACGATAAAAATCGTCAAAGAAAAGATATAATTCTATTCTATAATAATTCTATATTAACAAAAAAAGGAATTTTTTAAAACAAGTACATGTATCTAACCAATACAGACTTGATATCAACCAACTTCGGTGCTAAAAACATTTTAGGCATTAATTCCTACCAGTACATATTTAACATCTAGGTGGAGAGTGGCAAATGTAGATTAATGTCTTGCCAAAGGACATTAGTTCTGCAGCGGGACTCAAAACCGCATCCATGTGAACCATTATTCGAACAGGTATCCACTAGACGATAACACCTCTACTATTTACAGTTATCCCTATTTAGTTAGGTTCTACTGTGGAGCTTAGTTACTGTGGAATTTCACACAAATATAATTAAAGGCCTTTGGTACTGAACTCACAATTTACATCTAATCAAAATGATATACATGAAGCCACATACATGTACATGTACATGTAAAGGAATAAGGGTCATTTGAGGACTAGACTCATAATTTACATTACATCTAACCAATATATGAAGGCACTTGCTGAGTACATGAGGAATAGATAAATATACAATAGCCCACTTCAGAGATGGCACTTGCGCAAATGACCCCAAGATATCCACGGATCTTTTACACATGGAGACGTCCCACTTTGTGCACTTTAGAATCATCACTGCCAAAGTGATGGAGGTGCTTTTGTTTTGTTTGCCCTCTTGAAAAGAATACGTCCACCTGTGTATCATTCATGTACATTGTCCCGCCGGTGCATCAATGAATATTGATTGTATAACTTTCATGAGCATGTATCCAGCAGTCGTCTCAATGGGTTTTACAGTTTCGTACAAATGACCGATATCTGGCAATGCGCAGATACTATCTCTGAGGGGGCTTATCGACGGCCTAGATTGAAGTTAAACTCATAATATGTAATCAAACTACAGGTATGAATTCACTGGCTACATGTTTATTTACGTATATAAAGCAGTAAAGACATAAAAATAATAAAAGCCTTTTGATTAAAAAATAAAAAATAATAATTTTCATCTACTACAGGTATGAAACCACTATCTCAGTACAAATTCATGAACATGAAAAAAAAATTGAAAAGGCCTTTTTGGTAATGAGGTTCACTTGCGGTATACCTTTGGACTAAACTCTCTGATAAACTTGTGTTTGGTGGGCGTGTGAGGTCGAGAGGAGGCCGGAGAATGCTGGGGCGACGTCCCCTCTGCAAGACGCCTTGCCCGCCCCAGGGGGCCAGTGGAAGGGGAGCACTCTGCAGATGGAGCGTTTCCGCTGGCGATCAGACCAGGAGTCACTGACTGAGACCGCTGTAAATAGCAGATCCATTACTAACAATAACTACTAATTCCATAACGTGTTTCCTGCTTTTCTCATTTTCTTTCTTTGTTGGGGGGCGTGGTTCACAACAACTACAAAATATCAACAAAAAAATCAGCTGCATGCATTTGCAGGGTCCTCAAGAAAAGCAGTATTAAACCTGGGGGCGTTTCACAAAAGTTGTTACCAGTGAAAAATGACAGTTGCTGTTATAAGCTACTGAAATCCTTGCTTCTGATTGGTTACCAGCAGATTTGTCACTGATAAGTGTCATTTGTCAATGAAAATAGGCTTTGTGAAATGGGTTCCAGATCCGGCTGCTACCAGGGATAATAATAAAATCATTATTTTCTTTTTTCCAGGTGGGTGGGGTGGGGAAGTAATAACTTGTTAAATCAAATTTTACATGGTAATGAAAACGGTATAATTCTCTATTTCAAAAATTGCAAACATGTCCATGCACAAGGATGTAATAAAAAATAGTTTGGCAATTAAGCACACTTTTTGAACAAAATAATAACATTTTCTGAAGTAATGCTGTTTTTCTGTTTAATTTTGTTTTCCAGCAAATGAAGGATGAAGGATAGCTATGATTCTCTTTTCAAACTGCGGGTACATGGAATCTTTTAATCGCACAAGTGACGTTGCCCAGAAATATTTCTGATGTATCGTTCCTCTACAATAAGAACCATTCGTTTTACTTGATCAAACAACTACCATGTAAAACTGGCATTCAAATCAAAACAAATTGGATGGGAAGCATGTTAACAATTTCATGCATGACTAAAATATCATGATACACATTTACAATACATTCTTAATTTGCAAAATAATTCAGTTTCATGACATGGATCAAGTAATCTGAGATACAACAAATAAAGATGCTAATGAATGTGATTTTATGCCGTCTTTTTTAATGTTTAAAAAATTAATTATCAAATTAAAAGTAGCATTCTAAGATTTGCTGCCAAAATCATTGATTAAACAGGCCAACCTTTATTTCGTAATTGGCTACCTACATGTATTTAATAGTTCAAATAATAAGCATGATAAACAATCGCATGGGAAGTAAGTTGAACTTTCAAGCATGGTACGATACAATTTTATTTTTTATTTTTTTATGATGACACTGCATGCACATCCATAATGAGTGCCATGGTGGCAAATATACAATACACAAAGTACAGTTAACAACTAAATTATTCATACCCTTTGAATATCAAGTTTTGTAATTTTTTAAGTTTGTGAAAAACTAATTTATCCTGATTTATGTTTCTTATTAATGCAACATGACCAAGCTCACATTTTAAGTATTTAAAAAAAAAGACCCGAACTCAACCAGTCATTCTTGAGTTCCGGAATAAAAAATAAAAGATTCAAATTATTTTTTTTTTTACAAGGGGTATCAATTATTCAGTTGTTACATGTAACTGTACATGTAACAAGAAGAGATAAATGATGATATGCAAGAGCATGGGACTTGAAATAAAATTCATGACAATTTCTTGAAATAAAAACAGTGAAAACTTTTTCATGCAGGTGTTACTCAAAAAAATTATCACGTGCAAAAAAGTGACAAATTCTATAAAAAACAGCATTGACAAAATCATAAGTTAAAGATAAACTTTAGTACTGGTAATGCGATTGCATTGTGAAAGAAAAGGTGTGGAAAGGATCAGAAACAGTTGATCATGTAGCATGTAAGTATTGGTGTGCACTGCAAGGTTCTGGAGTCATCAAAATCATAATAAATTTGACCGAATCTTGGTAAAGTAACAAGCACTCACATAGAAAGCTATATATGGGACAACACACATGGTGTCGGGGCTGGTTCTACCTTGATTTCCTTGTCTTTCTATGCTCATTACTCAGCCAGTATACATTTTCTTCCAAAATTGTTTGGCACATGTCATTTATTTGTAATCTTGAACATTCAGTGTAAGTTTCGTTTGATTCTGTGAGAATTATTTTTTTTTTTTTACCAGTACTGGAGTTTATCTTTAACTTTAAAGTGTGATTTGACGATGAAATGCAGATGAATTTCAAGTAAAAAGGTGACTTAGTTTCAACTTGAATTTCAACTTAAGTCACAACTCATACACAGAATTAGGTGATTGGGTCATTGCATTGACTAGATGAATTATGATCAATACAGCTTGATTGCGAATTTTTATAAGATAGAGCCCAAAATTGTTGAATCTCTCATCTTAAATAAGAAGGAAAAAAAACACATATATGTTGGTGATCAAAAAGCTGCTGGCAAAGTGCATGAATATTAGACATTTTACAGAACATGAAGTGAATTATACTGAAGCACCTGAAATACAATTATTTGATTTATAGTAAATTTAAAAGGAAAAACCTGTTAAAAATAATCAATAATTTCATTTAATCAATCACTCATATTCGTATCAACCAATATTATCAATTAACGTAAGATACATGTTTCTAACCTATGATCATCAATGTGTAAAAAAAAATCTAAAATTTACAACCCAACTTTTATTTACAACGGTAATAATTATAAATAATAAATGATAGCGTAAAATAAATGATAAATATTAGATTAAATACCCCTACAGAAACAAAGTAGGACAAAAATCATTAACTACGAATTAAAATCTTTACAAAAATAACAATACTAGATTTCCTTTTTACACACATCTTTATATCAAATGCTGTTGAAACGATTGTATTTGAAAAGTGTATACAATACATGTACATTGTACATGTGAAGCTACAATTTTAAATGGACCGATAAAGGTTAAACTAAGTTAAACGGCAAAAACTTTTTTTAAAAAGTCTAAATTTTCTTTTGTCTTTACAACTTTCATTTGCTTTATCATGGAATTATTGAAGAGTTTTCAACAGTAATCCTTCTGAAATCTATAAAAAAAGAGAAAGTAAAAAAATCCTTCGAAAAACGATGAAAACCCTCTCAGAAGTCTGCTAGACAATAGTAGTGACATTTTCATCAGCATATTGTACATGTAACTATCTCACATATGTGGCAAACTATAAAACAATGATAAAAAAAATTGATGAAAAATCTGAACATATTTTGCAATGAATGCTGCTCTGCAAATTGCAAATGATTTGAAATTCATAATGTAGAAGCAGAATTTTTCAAAAATGACATATCAACAGCGTGTTGTCAATATTATCAATATGTGTATACAATACTCAGCTCCAAAGCAATAGGCGAATTATACACAGCTAGCTGTAGCTTATGTGCTTGCAAGTGATAGACTCATTTGCCAGTCACCAGAAACTACATTGAAACTGGTTTAGTATAACATTTCCTGCAGTATGTGTTAATAGTGATACATGCAAGCTGTTAATGAGACTAGCAGCAATTCTCAAATTTGTAACAAAGTGGTATTATCATTAGTACTAGGCAAAAATGTGTTATCCATAAGTTGCACTTTAGTTTTGTATTGCTTTTTTTTTCTACCAGTAAAATATGTGCACTGGCTGAGGTTTAAACAAACTATTTTTTAGCAAAGCTCTGGACATTAGGAATCTACGATTGAAATATTAGTCAATGTGGCAACTAATATCATTTTCAAGGGGGAGGGGTATTATTCACATTCATTGTATAATAAATGTTAATTTCCATATTCACAAGGCATGAGGTAAAGCCAATCAATTCAAACGATATCTCATGATTCTCAATCATTGATTAATGAGTAGAAATTATAAGCAAAGGACTTCTTATGAATACTGCGATCTACTAGTTCTCATCGATAAAATTCATTTTCCTTTTGTTTCTTATCACATCACATTTTTGTCCAATATACCCTGTACCACGATAATACCACCTGTCAACAACAAAAAAAGAATAATGTTTAAGAAAACTTGCTGAAATGCTGATAAAAGAATTACATTCCTTGTACCTTTTGCATTCTCTTGAGAAGGAGTTTTATATCGGTTCCAAAGAACTGGGGACTCTCCCCAACCGACATAGATCGCTGAAAATCAAATCCATCAACTCATATCAGATCATTCTAACATATATTCATACAGTACACATAGGGAAAGATTATCATATCAACTGTATCTGGAGATGAAGAGAGTAATAAATGCATCACCAATCAAGAATGAACTACATGTATAGTATTCCATATCAAATCTGTGAACTATTAAGGATAAGAAAAATGTAACTAGCTGGGTCTTATGGTCGATGCATAATACATAACAAATTACAAACATACATGTATTAAGAATATACATGTTTGCAATAAAATAATTGTGTAATTGTAAATCCAATGATTTTCAAAGCAGCAGTCATTCATGATGCACTAAGTACTGCATTATTCATGTTTGCAGAATACAGATACTACTCTATATATTCCATGCATAGGAAAGAAGAGAGAAGTTGCAACTAAGCCGCAATAATAATACAGAATATCATAGAAATCGTAATAAAAATCTACAAATAATGATATATCAACTAATTAATATGAGATACTTTCACACCATTCATGTTTCATTTATCAAATTTATGAAATATTGGATTGTATGCACTTTGTTATGGAATGACATATAAGGTCAATTATTGGTCATGCTGTAACGAAGCTATTCAAACTAAAATGTATTATAAATTTGATGAGTAATTGATGGATAACTTAACTGGTGTGAAAGTTTTATTAGTTTAGATATTGTACCATTAATTTGTACATTCTCATTAAAATATCTGTTATATTTTCTTTTTCAATATTGAAATTATGTACGCTTTGAATTGACCTATGCTAAAAGTTTGGAAAGAAGGCAATATGAAGCCAAATAAAGGTTATCACTTCATAATTCAAATGAATTAATAAATTAAACCCCAAACTAACCATACAATTCTATAATAGTTGTCTTCTTTTGTCAAAATGGATATTAATTTCAGTTCCTTACCAATCTCACAAAGTGTTGAAATGAACATTGAAGTGCTTATGAAATATAGACATCCATATGGTGTAACCCCCAAAGGGCAATCCAACCTAACTAACAAGTTTATTTATACAAAACCAGAAATTAAGAGAAACAGAATGGCAAAGTTTGAAAAATCGGACCAATAGTAAGAGATTTAGAAATGTCTAAAAATGAGATCACTAAATCTATGCTGCTCTGATCTTTCTGCTTTCTTTGTAGAATAACTGTCTAATAAGGTTGGATTTATCCTTTAACTCTTTAACTAAATTTGATGTGAAAAGTGTGATGAATAATTTCTGCAATGTAAGTGGGTGTTTGCATCTGGTGTTTGTGATAACTTGAAACCAAGATCATCCAATACACTCAACATCATCAACAACATCAAATACTGTTAACTCTGCAAACCCGCCCAAGTCAAATCTTCCAAAAGTCAAATTAATTTTGTTGACAAAACTATGCAAAACTTGTGCTTAAGTCAAACTATTTTTTGGGGGGTCCCAACATATTCGACTTATGCGTTATGCTTATGAGTTACCTGTACATTAGTGTTGCTCAATGTAGAGCTTGTGCAAAGTCAAGGTTTTCTTACTGGTGTTAAAATCAATGAAAGTTTGTGTTACAGGCATCAGTTAACTCTACACCATCATTTGTGTTACAGGCATTGGTGAATTCATAGCATTCTACACCATCATTTGACACAAGCACTGAATTATCCTGGTGTAATAATGATTAATCAATGAAAATTTGTGTTACGGGCATTGGTGAATTCATAGCACTCTACACCATCATTTGACACAAGCACTGAATCCCCCTGGTGTAATAATGATTGGTGTTCTTACCTTCATGTTGACTGGTGAGCTCATAGGCTTCTTCCTTGACTCGCTGGACATGTGTCGGTTTGGATCAGGGCGAACTATATAACACAGAACACCATACCAGATGAATTAGCACTGAATTGTTAACATTGGTGCTGGGAAACACATACATATACATGTATGACTAAAGTGAATTGGTGATGAATTCAAATCATTATTTTGATGAACAGAGTTGTGAAAAATTGTGATCAACAGCAAACCTATGTATCATGACAGGTCAGGCTAAATGTAGGCATGATCATTATCAACATAAAAATATCACCATAAACATCAACATCATCAGCAGAAACAATACTAAGATCAACATCATCATAACAATCCTCATCATTTAAAATTACAGTCAAACTTGTATAGCGAGCGACTAAGGGAAACACAAAAAGTGGTCTTTGTAGACAGGTGGTCTTTGTAGACAGGTTCATTTCTAACATGTTTCAATGGGAAACGATTTTCTAGGAAAAAAAAAGTGGTCTTTGTAGACAGGTGGTTACTTAAGCAGGTTTGACTGTATAACCATCATTAGTTTATCCTCAACGATTATGATCACCATCATCCTAATCATCAATCACCTATCAGGGTAGGCGACAAAGGTGGTGATTCATCTGACTTTCCCTTGAACCTTTCTATGCGGATCGCTGAAGATGTATCGCCACCATTATCATCATCATGTTTCAAATTATGTAAATCATCAATACTGTCACCAAAATCATCCTTAGCATTATCATTACCAAACACCATCATCATGATCATTACCACATCCTTCATCATTGTAATAATCACGATCCTAATATTCATCCTCATCATAAATTTCACTATCATCATTATCGTCTTTATCATATTAACCACCCATCATCATTACTCACCAATCAGAGTTGGGGACAAAGGCGGAGATGTCATCTGATGTTCCCTTCTGGGCCTAAGCTGATCGCCGGGGATGTGTCCCATGGGTGCGGTCAGGACACAGTACTCTGTCAGCGTGTCACAGAGGGCGTGTTCCACTGCCTGCTGGAGCTGCTGGGCGAGGTCCACACTGCCACGCCTCCAGATGAAGAACTGGATCAGAGCTGTTGGTCCTATAAAAAAGAGTCCAATTCAGAGTATAAATTCACAAATGCACGTTAAGAACCCACTACATTATTGGTACAAGTATAGGGGAACCCCTGTGTAGTGGCCCACGTGCACATCCCCAATCACTCATACCGGGAGGAGAGATCCAAGGGTTACAGTGATTCAGTTCCCTTGGGAGGGGTCCCAGGCACAATACTGAATATTCATAATAATAATAATAATAAATATTTGTGGAAGTCATGTTAGGACTTGTTGATAACAATGGAGTACTTTAAAAGTTGGACACTGTATTTGTAATATCTATCCATTCCAGAACTCTTTTTTTCTGCAAAAAAGAAAGAGTCAAATGCAATAAACACATGGGATAAGAAAGTTATGGTTGTAGATGTAAAATGAGGAGTTTTCTTTTAAATGTCAAGATTAGTAATCATCATCACCATCAGATTAATCCGGAGGTTGATAACATTCTTGAAATTTGCCTAGGAAAGCTGAGAGGATGAAGAAGGTTTATGCCAGTCTACCAGTTTGAATGGATTGCCGCACCCATCCTCCTCCTTATCATCCTATCAGTCTTCCTCCTCCTCCTAATCATTATCACAGGCATCAACACCACGACCACCACCACCACCATCATCATCATCCTCATCATCATCATCCTCCTCCTCATCATCATCCCCATCATCATAATCATCATCATCATCATCATCTGATTCTCATATTCTGAGATATGGTGTTCCTCAGGGCTCGGTAATCTAGCCTCAACTCTTCACAATGTACATCAGAACTGTTGGAGATATCATCAAACGCCATGGTCTTCGAAATCATCTGCATGCAGATGACACACCATTTTACTGTAGTTTTGATCCACATAATCCTGCTAGTCTGAATGAAGCCCGAATCGTTCCAAACAATTTTTTTATTTTATTTGTTGTATCAGGGTCTGATCAGTATTTTGTAAAAGCACTAAATAAGAAACAATTATTATTATTATTATTATTATCATCATCATCATTACCTGGTTTCTTGGTCTGCACTGGTTGGTAGATCTGCGTGGTGATGAGGTTCTCAAAGTCAGCCTGGGAGAGTTGTGAGGATGTGGAAGGGGTGGGGCAGTCTACCAGTACCACTGGGTTGCCACACCCATCCACCAAGCTGGTAGCCACACAGGCAGTACCTGCAACATGAGAGGGGTCATATGTTTCTTAAAGGTTGAATTTTTTCATTTTAATTGGGCTGTGACATAACAATAATCCAAGGTGATACAAATGCCAAAATAATCATGAACAGCAAATACTGTGTGTAATACTTCTGATAATAGAAAAAATCAAGTATTCAATACCATTATGGCCTCATTTTAATGTGTGCTTCATACAACAACAAGAAAATAAAGATTAAGGAATTCACTCTTATAACAAAGTCATTTTGCTCCAAACATTTTTTCTCTCAATAATTCAGAGATATGTTCATGCACACTTTAAGCAATTATAGCATTCGTAAATGTCCAATGTTTTCTTCATAAGGATCCTAAGTGCACATCCACAACAACTACCGGTAGTCTACAAGTAGGAAACTGACAAAGCTTAGCTAAACGAAGTGGCACCAACAGACGCATTTGGAAGGCAAAACACACAACAGTTAGCAATGTTTGTGAACTAAAAGTGCTTTTTGTTAACGTCTAATAGTGGGAACCCTGCCTAACTTGCCTGTGCCTCCTTCAGCCTTGTGAGGTCTGTTGTATAGGAAGACATCCATCTCTGACGGTTCCAGGACAGCTACTGGTCCGGGTCCAGGTCCTGATCCTGCCCTGCCGGCCTTCCAGGAGTTACAGTCCTGGAAGTGGTGGTCCGGCTTGGAGTCGATGTACTTGGGAGGGTGGAGGAAGGGGTTCTGGAGGAGATTCTGGCGCAGGTAGTAGCGGACAGAGTAGAGGTATTGAACAGCCCACATGGGCACCGTGAACTGGAAGGACTCGGTCGGAGGCTTGCTCTTCGGTTGAATGAACTGCAGTTTAAAAGGAACCATTACAACGTTACTTATCACACATACAAGCACTATAAGGCCTAAAAAAAAAAAAGATATTGTATTGCCCTTTAGGTGTCAAAACATGGGTTGATTGTTTAGAAATCTTCTTTTTTTTTTTACTCCCTCTTTGGGCTGATGATTTTCAGTTTTGAATGGTTTAATACACATTTTTCTAAAAAAACACGGTAAAAAAAAAACTCTTTTAAAAAGCTTACCATAGATTTCAAGATTTTTAGGGCGGTCGCAAAGGCCTAATGGTTGTGGACTGAAAGGAGGATTTTGCATTGTTTTAAATTATTTCATTTACTTCATTGCTTGTATCAAGCCTTCGAAAATGAATGAAGTTAGTAGTCAACAGATTAACAAGTAGAGGTACTGAACGGGCCCAAACAGGGACTGTGAACGAGAAGGATTTGGTTGATGCCTTGCATCGGTTGGATGTACAGGGTGTACTGCAGAAGAAAAAGCAGTGGAAGAAAGAAAGAAACTAAAGTGTGTCTGGAAAAGACATCAGAGCCAGCAATACTCCATCAGTGTCTTCATAGGGAGTAATTTTTAGTGTTCTTCTCACGTTATTGGTTCTCTTAATTTTCTCTACCCCCCTTCTCTTTTTCTTTCTTTCTTTCATTTCTTCTTTATTTCCTTTGATCCTACATGTAGACCTCCACCTCCCGACTGCTTCTGAACGGAAGATGAACTCAAATGACAGAATACGGGGCTGGATTCTGATACAAATGTAGACAATCAGTACGCATAAACAATTCTTGTGAGGAAAGAATAAAATCTATAATCTATAACCCAATCCAATCCAATCCAACCCAGGGGTTTATAAAGTGCCAATATCTAGTTGCCTAATCAGAGGTGCTGATGAGACTGAAAAACTACCGAAATTTGTCTGTTCATGATTCTAACTGGGAAAGCCGAAAAAGCAGTGACTAATTGTAAGCAATCTGGAATAGGTATTGATGAATACAATCAATGAATATGAAAGAAAGTAAACAACACTGCATTGTAAGACCGAACTACGAACATACCTGTACATCATTAGGAGTGAGTTTACAGAGTGGGTTCCTAGCCAGCATATCGGCGATCACATCTAGAGTAGCCGACTCTAACTTCTTGTTGAGTAGATCCACTAGATCATGCTGAATCTCGGGGCCTGAAGTGACAGGGTACATGCAGATAATCATTGATAATTAAAGGGGGTGTAGCCAGCATGGCAAATACTGGTTAACGCCATCTACGACTTCTTTTGGACAACTGCACGTAAATGAATGGACTTGATTATAATATTAATAATAATAATAATACATAAGATTTATAAGGCGCCAAATCCACTTGACAGTCAAATGCTCAAGGCGCAGCTTGTGCAAAAGATGAAATACATGATAAATATATACAAGAGTGTATTAGGAAAGGTACATTGTACAGACATGAAAGGTAATGGTAATGAATTATAAGTGAAATTAAACAGATATTTCTTAAGATTGTTTTCTAACACTTCAGCAGAACTGCTATGTTTAATCCATTGAGGTAGAGTATTCCATAATGAAGGCCCAGCTCCCCCCACTTTCTTTTAACCCTAAGAGTAACAAGTAAGCCAGAGTTTTGAGAACGTAGCTGTATGATTCAACTGACTTTCATCTGTAAGATAAGGATGAGGACTGTACCTGCTTTCGTAACGCCATGCACTTGGATGCTGATGATGTGTTGAGCTCCCTGTATGGTGGATGCTTTAGAGGCTGCCGATGTAATAGACTGAACGTCAACTCCAGAATCACGGAGGGAGTCCTTGCAGGGAAAAAAATAATATTTATTTTTCGGGGGCTACTTTTCAACCTTGCCTGCATGAAAATAACATTGAACTCTATGCAAATTTAAGGGGGCTCTTTTCTGATTTTGGGGAGCTTTTTGGGGAATTTCGGGGGCTATTTTGCCCTGAGCCCCCACATATTTTTTTCGCTGATTCCTTGGTAGTAATGATAATAATGATTTTAAACATTTGTATTGTGGCATTTTCAAGTTTTTTATGTAAAAGTATTATCTATTCCAAAGCCTATAAAAACAACTACCCGGTACAGTAAAATCTGCCTTAGTGGCAACCTCTCTATAAAGGCCACCTGTCTATGGTGGTCATGTATGTGGTCTCCCTTGAGAAAGAAATGTGTGTTGTAGAACCTGTTTAGAAAGACCACTTGCCTACAGTGGCCACTTTTTCTGTTTCCCTTGAGTGGCCTTGATAAACAGGTTTGACTGTAATTGAATCTAAAACAAGGAACAATTTTCAACATGTATGCATTAGATACATGTACTAGTGTGTGTATGCTATTAAAAAACATGTAATAATGTGCGCAATGAACCAGAATTAGACAACCTTCCCAATTTGATTCAATGCCGAGACATCTAATCTACATTTGCCACTCTCCACCCAGGTTTTAAATGGGAACATGTTCGGATCAAGTTCCTCAAATCCTGGGAGCACTAAAATCTAGTGTGCCTGTGTCCATGACTGGTAATCTAAATAACGATCTTCGTGAGAGGCTGCATAGCCCTTTATGAAGACTAATAGAGGAAGAAGGGTGAAAGAAATTCAATAGCCCACATGTACATGTATCTAGGGCCAGGTTAATAGTGAAGCCTCAAGTGCATGTTAAAAGAATCCAATATTAATAGTACAGTGAAACCTGCATACAAAGACCGCTTAAGGGAAACAAGAAAAGCGGTCCTTAAAGGCAGGTGGTCTCTATCTACAGGTTCGTTCAGTACAGGTTGCAAAGAGAAACCATATTCAAGGACAATGAAAAATGTGGTCTTTATAGACAGGTGGTCTTCATGTACAGGGTCTTTTAGTACAGGTTTTAATTACAAACCATATTCAAGGGAAATAAAAAGTGTTGCCTTTACAGACAGGTGGTCTTTCCATACAGGTTGTTGCAAAAGCAGGTTTAGCTGTAATATCATTCTGCCAAATACAGTTCCTTTTTTTAATTTGTTTTATTAGCAGATGTTTCTGCATTTATTGATAAATCAAATATAAAACATTCAAATAACAATAATAAAGGGTGAAGTATATAATACAATTGATTTACATAAAGAGTGACAACTTAAATACACACAAATATAAATGCATAATTGAAAGCTTGAAAGTATGGAGGTAAGTAAAAATAATCAAGATAAATGCAGAGGCCAACTATAATAAACAAGAATGCTTGAGCCGATAGCAGCCGGGAAGGTGGGGGGGGGGGGGGGGGGGGGGGTACATGGCGCTGTTATAGGAGTATGTAGGGTAATAGAGTGTTACATATAAAGATTTTGTTCAGAAAGTATCTGAATAAAAAGTCGAAAGAAATTAAAGAAAGAAAAAAAAATCAAACATACGTACTTGTACATGTTAGAATTAATAAAATAAATATGTGTATTCTCTCTTAAAGGCATCGTTTGAAAATGTTAAATCTGAGATGCATGGAGATGCATGTATGTGTTATCAGTGTCTGTTATATGGTATAATATTGAAGCCCTAAAAAAAAATGTGCTTCAAAATGATCATGAAGTGCCTCAAAAAAGAAAATATCTTTGAGTGACCGGTTTTGTTTCAGAATCTGAGGCAATGTTACTGAATCACTTTAATGTTTACTCTATCCTACAAACCCTATACAACATATACTTATATACACAACCATAATTCACACATTCAATTGTTCATGAACACAAGAAAACAATGACTGATATCTTACCATAGATGGAGCACCTGTTGATGTTGTTGCCATAGAAACCGCATCCTCCTCTAGGTTGATAGGACCGCCGATGGTATTCAGAGACTGGTTGGAGGTTGCTCTCGAGACTAAAGATGGGGAGAGAAATGGGTCAAATATAGATATCATGTCAAACTCAAAATAATGAAAGATAAGATAATTAGTAGCAGTTCCTAGTGCATGGTAATAGAACAACAGAAACACCACAGAGGGTTTGTATGCAGTTCTGATTCATCTAGGAAACAATGAATATTCACCACATATTAACCAAATCTTGGGGGGGGGGGGGGTGGGGACGTTAGCCCTTCGTCATTAATAAACAGCTTGTATATTTCTTAGAACTCTCCTCCATCTTTAGAGAAACGCAAGATAAAATTGTGGCAAAACATCAGATGTCAACTCAAGTGAAATTCCCTTCTATCTCTTCATGAGGCTTTTCAGTTCTCATGAGTTTCAAATTTCATGCTGAATTAATAACAGAAGTGACTAATAAGAATGACAAATAGAAGCAATAATGTTCACTTCATTGCAATTTCTCTAGATGTCCTTCACAAGTGGATCAGTTACCAACATGTTTCTCAAAAGATAAGATGGAAAAGAGTTGTAAGAAATGTACTAGCTGTTTGTTAATAAAGGGCTAATGTTTTGTGCCTAATAGTTGATCAATATGTGGTCAATATTCATTGTTTAAAGGCCATCTGTACTAGTTTGGCCAGAAGGGATTAGACCACACAGCGAGGTCACTGACAGGTGGCTATCTCATTAACTCAGCTCTCAATTAACATAAGAAAAAGAGGATCGTGGGGAACCAACAGGCACCGATTAGGGAATTTTTCTATATAGAGTAGCTTCAAGTAGTACAGTGGGGCTTTAATAGATGAATCATAACTTCGAGAAACCCTCATTATTATTATTTCTACCAACCTGACTGAGAGGCAGGCAGTGAGTTGGGTTGGGAAGACGTGTGGTTAGACTCGGCGATAGAACACAGTCGAGATGTGTGCTGGTGACCACTCACCACGGTAGACTCGTATAACCTGGAAGATTATCAAATGAAAAACCAGTGTTAGATTAAGGATTATAATTTCATGCTACAGCACAGATCTTTAGGACCTTTTAACATTAACTGTAAATTCTACCACACATCCATGTGTAATTGTTGTAATCTGGGGGGCCCTGTTTTTAAAACAAAACTAGATGGAACTTTGACTGCGCGCAGTCGAAAATGATGCCTCCGGCATAGAGCAATTTTAGAAACCAAAACAGAAGAAATTTTTCAAATTCAAGTTCGATAGTAATCCATCAACAGGTTCTCAGAATATCGAGATTACAAGCTATTTCTCATATATACATGTATGTATGACCCTTTGATATTTGACCTCATGACCCCAAAATCTACTCAGTTCATTGGCTCTGCAAGATATGTACATACATGTACATGTCTTGAGTTTGATGGTAATCCATCCATCAGTTCTAATGATAATGCGATCACAAGCTACTTTTGCATACATAATGAGCCCCATGACCTTTGACCTTGACCTCATGACCCAAAAATCTAATCAGTTCATTGCCTCAGTAAGATACATACATGTCCTGAGTTTCATGGTAATCTGTCCATCTGTTCTAATGATAATGTGATCACAAGCTGTTTTTGCATACATAATGAGCCCTGTGACCTTTGACTTTTGACCTCATGACCCCAAAATCTAATCAATTCATCAGCTCCTCATGAACAAAGTTTGGCAGGAATCCATCAATAGGTTCTTCAGATAACGCGATCACGAGAACGGGACGGACGGACGGACAACCCGAAAACATAATGCCTCCAGATACATCGTAACGGAGGCATGAAAACATTTCAAATCTTAACAGCACAGGTTTGTCAAAATTACAACTGCTTCAATATGTTTGGTTACCTGAGATAGAAGACCTCCCCTGAACTCTCTCGATAGACAAACAAGTTCTTACGGTCGTGGACAGCAAAGGCAGCCAGGGCTGTCTTGAGTGCCTGTAAACCTAACATATAAAAAAGAAACTTTCTCTCAGTACATAAATGTAAAAAAAAAAATTTGTGTTCAAATTAATGGAAATTCAATGCAATGATCCTACATTTAGCCTGAATTTTAGATTTCCCCCCTCATACAAACGAACAAATAATAATAATAATAATAATAGGCATTTCTATAGCGCTGTCTATCTAGAAATTCTATTTTTATTTATTATTTATTATTACCTGGGCTTTAGCCTAGCTGCTATTAAAGCGTTCTAGCATTTCAAGGAATTAATTTCTACCAGGTACCCATTTACCTCACCTGGGCCAAAGAAAAACTTTGGTATCTGAATATAATTTGCACTGTGGAAGCATTACAATCATTCTTAATATTGACAGTATGTTGACAATGCAAAACAATTTTTCGCAAAACTGGCGTTTTTTCTTGAATTTATTCGTTTTCAAATAACAATAGTCTGTTTTTATAAGCTCCATACATGGATGATGTCTCCAAACGCATAACATATCATTACCCCAGTCACTGATCCTGGCTTGCCAGAATACATTGTATGTTCATTCTCCACTCCCTGGGGAGCATTCCAGCCAGGCGTCATTTTTACAGACGCTGACAATGCTGAGCAAACTACAATGACTTTCACATCCTAACAGGTACCCATATGACACCTGGGCGGAGAGAAGTAATGTAATCAAAATGCCTTGATTTAGGACCTAAATACCATGCCAGTGATCGAACCCATCACCAGGTTTTATCACAAATATATACCTATAATGAAATACAGCTGTTTTCCTGATTTGAAAAGTAAAATGGGACCCATCACTCCTGTAGGAATTGCTTTTCTTATTAGGTTACATAAGGCCTGTCCTCATCAGCTCGAGTTTGCCAAATAAATCCGCTATTTTCAGACTCGAGATACTATCCTTCTTCACCAGACTGATTCGCTCATCACAAACTAGCTCGGACGAGCGCACATTTGCCCGCTATTTGGAAAATAGCGGGATATTTTGGAAACAAGAACAAGATTTCTTGGGATATTTTCTCGTCCAAATATCCAGCTAATTGTAACTAATTTGTGATCGGAATAGTTAAAATAGCGGGTTATTTTGCAAACTCGAGCTGATGAGGGCAGGCCTATAGATGTGGGTGATCTTACCCCTAGATGGTACGTTAGGTCTATGGGAGGGTTTGAGTCTTGAATGTACAGGGAGATCCTGACTCAAGACGAGGTCACATGCAAAGTGGCCTTGGTTGAACCATAGCTGCGCTGCCAGGTAGTCCCCCTTGCCTCCTTGACGATTGTCATCTTCATCTGAAATGAATGCAATCACATTTTGATTGAACTCAATGACGTATACATGATTGTTAACTGTCTTTGTTTTAAATCTCTTGGCATCATTTCATCATTAGCATTACCACCATAAACACATCCAATATAAAATAATTTTCATTTTCATTACCACTATCAACATTGTCATCTATATCATCATCATTAGCACTATCACAACCACCATATTCAGAATCATCATGACCATCATCAGTAGCATCATTGTAATCATCGCCATCATCACTGTCATGGCCATCATCACCCATCACCATCAACATCTTATCATTACCACCACCGCTACCATCAGACTCTTTATCAACTTAACCATCATCATGGTAAGCATAATCATTACCAGCATCAAATATCATTATCCCCATCATCAACATCATCAATATAATCATCTTCATTGTCGTCATCATCATCACCACCATCATCGTCATCATCAATCATCATCAATCATTATCATCATCATCTATCATTATCATCATCATCATCATCATCAAAAGTCAGGATTTAACATTCCCCCTTTTGAGTAAGAAAATTGGGAAAAACTAGGGAAAATAGGGGTAAAATCAGGAAAATAGGGGTAAAATCAGGAAAATCTGGAAACCTAAACCGATTTAAATCAGGTAATTATCAGGTCTGGCAAAAGCAAAATCATTTTCTCCTCCATCGATATTACCATCATCAGTTTCTCAGAACCATCTCCATAATCAACATTTTCATCCTTTCTTTACCTTCGTCTGAAGAATTTCTTCTGGCTGACGGAGGCTCGCTGTCTTCCTGCTTCCAGATGTCTTCATCGCTCTCGGCAACCAACAGAGTACTACACGTCTTATTGTTATCAAGCTCCTGAAGGAGTAACCTCTGTAATAAGGGAATTAAAAATAAATAAAAAATCCCATACTTTATTTATTTAAAATAACAAGAGAAAGCATGTGAAAAGGAGCATTCAAGCCTAGGCTACTGCCTGAATACACACGATAGTAGAAGACGGAAAAGTTATATATACATATAATTATTCATGTACAGAAAAACCCCAGGATAAACCTACAATGGACAAATAAATACCTCAGATTATTACAGTATAAATCAGTAAACATCAAAACTGACACAAACATCTGTGATTAACTTTCACAGTTATTCACAAGTATACACCTACTTTTACAAGAGAGCAGATCTAAGGTACTGATGTCCAGTACATGTACATGTGTATGTAAACAAATTGTTGAAGATTTTATACCATAAATTGACATAACTTTTGTCTTCTTCATTTCATATTGGGTCTAACCTAAGCCCTGGTAGAGCTATTACCTTAATAAAATGATGAGGTAACCTAAAATCTGTGATGTGGTCAGTAACATACCCAATAGAATAGCTTGGATTTTCTCTATTGTAATGGGATATTTATCTTCAAAAAGTTGTAATCAATTTTAACTATTCCTTTTTTTTTTGGGGGGGGGGGGAGGGGGTTAGATATGCATAATTCAAAAGGAAATCAGAAACTATGGTAAGGAAACATATTGGATGCCAGGGAAAAAAGACAGATATTGTATCAAATCATTCTGCAGAAAGGTTGCACAATGTAATACCTGGTTGACTAGACGACAGGTGTTCCTGATGGCCTCTGAAACCTGCAGATAGATATCCTTCTGTTCTATCAGCTTCCCGCTCTCATTCCTCTCTCTAAAAAAAAAAGAATAACAAAATCTCCAAATAATGATACTCCTGTCTGACTAACACTCTTAAAATGTCTTTTCTTACCCAATACTTGGTTTTGTTGGCTGTCATTTAATCAGATTTGCAAGGACAGTAGCTAATACATGTACATGTAGGTCTTAGAAGTAAGATTTCATGAAATAGAAAAAAAACAAATTGTCTATGGCCACTCTTGCTACGGGTACGATGTCACTACAATTAGTAGCCAATCAAGCCTTTGGTACTCTTAGGGCTAATAATATTTGTGCTGTGCAAGGGATTCAAACCCACAATCCTTGTAAATACAATGTTTTTAGTGTTTAATGCACTTAATGAAAGGTAGACTGGTTGAATGCTTTTAGATGTAAGTTTTAATATGCAGCATTCTCAAGAACCATAAATTGGGTCAAATCAGGTTTCACATACTTATAAAATTACCAATCAATAACAAATAGTAATTACGGATCTTCACGAGGTTGCCTAATATGCAACTCACAAAGATTTGAGACATTACCTTGTGTGGAAGAAGAGATTGACTTTGTCCCGACAGAGCTTGAGAATGAGCCAGAATCCTGGCATGGAATGGTTGAAGACGTCTACAAACAAGTGAGATTCCTCATGGTCTATGTCACTTGAACTGGCATCATAACCTAAGAGAATGGGAAAGGACAGAATAAGGTTTTAATGATGATGATGATGATGATGATGGTGATGGTGGTGATGGTGATGATGATGATGATGGTGATGATGGTGATGATGATGATGATGATGGTGATGATGGTGATGATGATGATGATGGTGATGATGGTGATTATGATGATGATGATGGTGGTGGGATGGTGATGATGATGGTGATGAGGATGATGGTAATGTTGGTGATGGTGATGATGGTGATGATGGTGATGGTGATGATGGTGATGATGATGATGATGGTGATGATGATGATGATGATGGTGGTGATGATGATAGTGATGATGATGATGGTGGTGATGATGATGATGATGATGACAATGATGATGATGATGATGATGACAATGATGACCATGATGATGATGATGAGAACGAGAGCAATAATAATAATAGCGGGTTCTTGTATAGCGCTTATGTCTGGCCAAATCATAGACTTGCTTTATAGCAGTGAGATAAAATTAATGTTAGGATAAAAATAATCACTGATCTCTGATTGTTCTACAAGTAAAGACATTACCTTTCTATTTTATATAGCATACTGAACCACCTTGAAAATGTCTCATGAGTAAAAAGTCACTGATACTTTCTTTCAAAAGAAAGATAATGAACATCAGAGGAAGAATTAGTTCATCAATGTATTTAAGAAATTAAGTCTTGATATTCTGTTTCCCACTTGAGTACATTTGTAACATTGTGTTATTTTGTTAATAAATTCTAATTCAATTCATTTCAATACCTTCTTCATCGTTGTCCCCAGCGCTGCCGCTATGACTCACATAGCTCTGGAAGAGACTTGAGGGTCCACTGGACACGCCCCCGCTCCCCTGTCTGCTATGGGTAGGGCGCTTACTGTGCCCCGCCCCTGACCCCACCCTAGCCCTGGGAGGAGAGCTGGGGGCGGAGGAGGTGTGGGGCGGGGAGGAGGGGTTCGGGAGGTGTGTCACCGGAGATGAGGGGTCCTCCGGGCCTGAAGCTGTGGCAGTCGAGGCAGAATCTAGCTGGTGCTCGGGAGTAGCTGTTCATATTAAAAGAAAAAGAAAATTGTTGTCTAAAGACTGCAGTACAAATAAAAAGTGGGGGCATGACTGTTAATTGTACACTAATAAAACATACTCCTTAAGAATGGATTTTGATAATTTCCAAATTACTTTCACTGCACATAAAGCCTGTGTGCGATGATTGCTCTGTGGTTCCCTTAAGTGCTCATTTTGGTAATTCAAGGAAATTCTTCCTACCAGGTACCCATTTACTTCACCTGGGTGGAGAGTGGCATTTGCAGATTAATGTCTCACCTGGTAATGTACAGGTAGGGGTATCCAATTCAATCTCAGTCTCTCCGATGACGGAATCATCGTCCCCTATCCTCGTCAGCACCTCGAAGCTGGTACTCGCCCTCCGTAGGGTGCTCTCTCCTTCAGACCCCTCCCCGCTGTACACCCCCGCCTCCTCCTCTTCCTCGCTATTGATGCCTTCCCTGTCGTTACCATGGTAACGCTGGAAGCCCACGTTATCGGTTTCATCCATGCCCAGCTGGATGGAGGCTTCACTGATGAGCAGGTTGGTGGCATCTTCTTGTAAAGTCTCTTCTGAAAGGACCTGAAAATGGAATAACAGAAATTGTGATTATCATTTCAGAATTATTAAAGGTCATGTACAGTGGTAGGCCCGCAAAAGTTTTTGTCATTTTTCTTGGATTCTAGTTGATAGGTAGGAAGATACTAAAAATATTACACTAAGCACTGTGAAGTTTTTTCCTCCTAAAGTGAAATATTAAACGAATGAGAGTTGGAAAAAAATGTAGATACCACCATGGGAAGTAAATTCTAACAACGGCAACCTGCACTACACGTGAGTAAACCTATGAGGCCTGTGTTTATACGCTAACGTCTACACACATGCCCTCTGTCTCTGAGCGAAGCGGTGAGATTTATGTGCGGGGAGCCATCGGGGGTCTTTGACATAATCACCTGTATAGAGCTGCCGCTGCTTCTTGAGACGTTGTCCTCAGCGTGTCTAGCTCTGACCTCTGACTCCTCTTCTTCTTCCTCTTCCTTGGACTCTTTCTCCATCCCTCCCTCATCCCCTCTCTCTTCCTCAGCAGCCTCTCCATCTCGTTGCTTAGCAACATCCTCGACCGTTGCACCGGTTGCGTTCGCCTCCTCTTCCTTCTCAGCCTTGGTGTGGATTTCGGTGTCGTCCTCGATGATTGTCGTGCCTTCCAGCGTCGCTTCGTCCTCCACGTCTTCGATCTCCTGTGTGACATCGACACCCACTTCGATGTCGGCTAGGGTGCCCGATTTTGAGCCTTCATCCGCGTTTTGGGGAGCTTTGACCTTAAAATTAAAAGGAGAAATATTACAATTCATTACTGGTAATGAAAGAAAAATACTAAAAGTTCATGTTTCTTTGCAAAAGAAAACATTGGCAATAGGTAAGTGATTACTTTATCCATGTAGCCCTGCATGAACAATAGGTCATAAAAGTGTCTACAAAGTCAGTAGCACAACGTGAGGCCTATATAAATGACTAATACATGTACAATCACTAGCCTCTCAACTACTATGGCTTCATTACAAAATTCTGTCAATAAAGACAAGAACGCTCTAGTCTGTGTACCTGAGGGTCATCACTAGCCTCTACCGTGGGCAATCCTTCACCTTTGACCTCTCCCTGACCCTCTTTACTACCGGTCCTCTTGACCGCATGCTTCTCAGGGGATGGCGGGGTGTAGATGATGGTGGTCATTGGTATGATCAGACCTGCATGGAAAAATTAGGAATACATTCATTTTGTTCACTTTTTACACAAAAGTTTTCCCAAAAAAGAGAGGCATCTAAGATGCATAACAAGGGCCAATAAGTAGGAATCATTCCTCCAAAAAAGGAATGGTTGGCAGCTGTGCAGTAGGACAAGAAGCAGTAAAGACACAAAGCTCACAAAACAACACATCATCAAATTATATCTTTTCAAAAGAAGATCATGTCTTCAAATAAGATCGCTAAAAAGAGTATAATTTGTCACATGACATACACATATTTCTCTGTAACTGACGGTTTAAAAGATGAAGGAGTGAATAATGATTTGAGAGGTAAGTTAATCCTAGCTCAATGTAAGACAGGCAATTTCTTACCTCTCTACTATCTATTCCCAAGTCAAAGTTAAGTATTTATTGAATGTAGTACAAATTTTCAAGTATAACCAAATCAATTCAACTACATAACAAACTTGCAACTCCCTTGGATCTACATTATCTTTTCCTAATCAATTCAATAAACTATCCAGATCTTACCTTGGTCATCCTTGATGGACCCATCCCCCTTTCCCGTCTGGTCCTGGCCTTGCTGCTGAAGCTGGTTGTTATAGGACTCCAGGGCTGTCTTCAGGGCCTGGCCTTTCCTAAGGGTCTCTGCATGAAGCTGGTCCAGGGCCAGGTACCAGTAGTCTTGGACCTTGCAGAACTGATGCCTGGGGATACTCAGCCTCTCAAACTCCTGTATCATAAGGGACATAAACGTGAGAAAGATTTGCGAAAGACAATGCAATGTATGTCTTTACTCTATTTTGACATATCAAACATTTACTTGTTGTGTGAATCTACACAGACTGGACCAATTGAAAAAAAACTATCAGCTTGATTACTGTCCCTACTGTAACTTTGACTGAACTCAACCATGACCTTGAACCAACCTTCCTCAAAGGTCATTTATGCAATATTTAACTGCACCTTCATATCCTTCAGGTCTTCACAAAGGGTACATGATGAATATATTTGGTGTGCTACATTCTTGCTTGAGTAAATCCTTACCAGGTACTTAATATTTGTTATTTCCTTATACAGCGTAGCCAATGTACTGTTTTTAAGGAATGGATGTCTTGAATAAAAAATCTAGTGGTGAATCTTTGCTGTAATCTTTTCAAAATAATATTTTTACAACAGTATACAAAAAGTTCAAAACTAAGAGAAGAAGGAGACTAGAAGGCTAAAAAGAAGTCAATATTATCCTCTGTCATTCCAACTTTCATGAAACACACACAAAAAAAACTTACACTGGTGAACTTTGCCAGGCTGTGCTCTGGTCCAAACACAAATTGGAGGGCCAGCTCCTCCGCTTTGCAGTTGGGCTTGTCCCGAGAGTCTTCGACGTGCTGTGCAACCATCTCAAGGGTTGCCACGGTTACACGCTTGATGTGCAACATGGCCGACACAATCTCGTCCCTCAACAGCCACTTCACCTGTGAGTAGAAGAGAGACTTGTGAGAAAAGATCGACCATCTTGCTACAGAGTTATTTTTTAGGTGAAGTCAAATTCAGCCTTTCCATGCATGTACCAATCCCTCGTTGCTGCTCATGTAGCAATTAATCCTACCATCAATAGGGTATGGCTGTTCTTGACATGCATCTTTAGAGTTCCCCATCTTAGACCATGACCCTTCCTCTTCATGAACTGGTTTACATTTTGAATTATATGGCATTGCATACAGTTAAGTTAATAACTAAATTATATATACCCCTTGTAAATTTGATCTTTTTTAAATGTTTTTCGCTGCTCAAAAATGAAAGGTGGTCTGGGTGAATCAGGGCATTTGTTTAATACTGTTAGATGTAGACTTTATTATGTCACATTCTCAAAAAACATAAATCGGGACAAAATTGATTTTCACTCACTTAAGAAAATAACAAAACATGTTAAGGGGTATGAATAATTTAGTTGCTAACTGTACATGTAAGTGTGCTGTGTAGAAGTGAGAGTGGATGACAATTTTAGTATTGAAATGAAAAAATATCATCAAAAGATAAGGCAAGGCTCATAATGAAGGCAGCCTCAAATGGAGTTCAATTGGATATGTTTACCCCATATTATGACCATATTATGTTCAGGTGTCTGGATCGAGATGTGATCAGTTTATTGTCATGCCAATTAACCAGATTAAATTAGATTTCACAGTATACTGACAGGACTACTTTGTAAGTAATCATAATTGTAATATTTTGATTCATTATATTTCTTGTGATAATCATCCATATATAATTATTTTCCTAAAAGAAATGTTAACTAGGTTCAAAAAGTGATTACTTATTAATATGCAAGTGTATGAATATAACAATTCGAAAAATGGTGAGAACATCGTTAACTAGTTAAATTTTATAGCTGAATAATTACAACACATAATATTTTCAATTATTTGATACTGGTTGTTCAGTTAATTAGAATCAGTAATTAATATGAAGATTGCTTACTGTATTGATTTCTTATATTCTTGTATGTACATGTAATTTTATAACTGAATTGTACGAGTCTCCAGACTTTTTATTCAGGATGTCTTTATTTACAATAAACCAGAATTGAATAGAAAAGAGATCATTCCTTCTTCCTCACGTTATCCATTGGCGAAATGACTCAAAGTGCATAACTTTTCAGCAATCAACCACTGAATATACATGTACTTCACCTCTTTTTCTGTTTCATCAATGGCCTTCCTTTGGCCAACAGGTATCATGTCATTGTTCATCATGTCACTGTTTAGCCTGCAAGAGAAAAAATATCAATTTATTCTTTCCACAATTGGACAAAAATGACAAGAACATAAATAAACAACCAATAAACATAGAAATGTAATAAAGGTATGAAGAAATTGAACAAAAATGAAAGGTATGGTACAAATATTAGAACAGAGAGAAATAACAAAAAAAGTGTTCCTCTTTTGATTTTGGTATGTGACATGCAAAATATTGTATATTTTAAAATAGATGTTTAAAGGTGAAATTCAAAGAAAATCACAAGTATGTCAATTAATGTATCACTAGAAACTAATAAGCTAACAGATGGCCATCGTACAAGTTTCAGGTCAACTACATATCGGGTGATTTATAAAAATACATATACAACCACCTCCATAGCAGCTGGGATATACGAGAGATTCGCCAGAAAAATAACAATGTTTTAATGACGTCACTATATGGACCAATACTGCCCAAGCAGGCGACATCCCACAAAGAATGAACATAATTGCAAAGCTATTATTTGTCAAATTATAATGAGTTTAGTGTATATAAATGTAATGGCATATCAAACCATTCAAAAGGGGATATGACCTGTTTCTGATAACTAAAATCTTTTGCTTGTAAATACACAGGATAGGGGTTAATTAACAATCAAAGAAACCAGACTTTCAAATTGAAACCCCCCCCCCCCCCCCCCCCGGAATGATATTAAGGACGGCATTTGTTCCCTCTTGAAACGCCGAACATACCGCAGTGTGTGCAGCTGAATATACAATGGCGTCTTATTTTGTTTACAAGGGACAGATTCCTTTATTTATGTATCGCTGCATTTGTCATCCAAATAAAACCATGCGTGGGGTTTAGAGTGAAGCAATAGATTATACATTTAGCCTGACGGTATTGAAGTAAGAGAGAGAACTAAAGAGAAGATGAAACACAGGCACTGAAAATGTGTGAGATGTCATGGGACATTGTCTGCTTGTGCAAATCATGTCCATACTGTGATCTCACACATTTCAGCAGCGTTTGGAGAGCTCTTCAGGTGCTTTGCCGGGGCTGTATTTCAGCGTTTTGTAGTTTATAATAATCATTACTTCGAATGTTTCCAAGCATTGAATTTTGATAACCTTGTCGAATCAAAGTTTCAATTTTGCAATAATGAAAATAAAGTTAGTTTTTAAAATCAATGAATATCTACTTTAAAGGGATCTATATAATTTCAGTCTTTACAAATGAAATTAAAATATCATTATGAAGTTGAACAAACAATCTATACGGAACAAGAAAGGTTAATTTTATTTCTTTTGATAGATGGACGCACATTCAATTTATTAAAAAACCAGTACTATTTTATCTTGCTTTTTATTGTGTACCTTTGTTTTTCAAATGTATGTATCCATCATATTGTACATTTGCTTATATCGTTTTATGCTTTGAGAAAAAATGAATAAACAGGGAGGTGTTTCACAAAGATTCTAAGTCAAACTTAACTTTAGGTTGGACTTAAAAATTATGGAGAGCCATTTGTAGCCTTAAAATAATATATATTCAAATGCAAAAATTCAAGTATTTTAGACTTTTCATAAATTCCACATCAAGAACATAAAATATTGCATAATAATAGAAAGTATGAATGATTTGAATCAACATTTTTTGCCTTTTGAAATAACTCTTACAAAATATTTTCACAGATGCTAACGGCTTTCCATAATTGTTGAGTCCAACTTAGAGATACAGTAAGTTCAACGTAGGATCTTTGTGAAACACCCCCCTGTATATCTATACACGTAGTTTCTGGGGACGGTTTCACTCACTCTCCTGCATCCGAAGTGGAGAGCGTATTGGCCCTGAGGAGCCGATGGTCAGGGTGTGGCGACGCCGGAGGGGAGTGCTCCGTGAACGAGACTCCTCGGTACGTGTCCTCGTCGTCCATGTCCCCGATAGCCGGTTGATCGTCCAGGTCGGAGGGCAGCGACAGGCACATGAGGTCAAGGGTCACGGAGAGGTCATTGAGGTTGATCTCCTCGGCGGGTTGGGATTCAAGGCAGCTGATAAGGTTACCTACATGTATAGATCAAGAACAGTTTTATTGCAGTAGTTGTCGTAACCTTGTATCTTTAAAAATTAGCAGGTACTTGATGCTAAACGTATCAATGTTCTGAAATTTTTTAAATTTTGACCATATTTAATATTTCATTTTTGCCAAGGTAAATCCTCATTGAAATATACGTGAGACGCAATGAAACTTTGCCAAATTAATCTGTCCATGAGCACAATTGATGTACATACATGTACTATCAACAATGTACAATGTTCAGTATTGATATGACAACTTAGTGAGTCTTGAACTGAAGGTACTGGTATGCAGTCTTCGGGTCATCTCTGCATAATAACGTGTATATATATATATATATATATATACATATACATATACATGTATGATAAGGTGAACTTAGGATAAATCTGTTTCAGAGGTACATGTAGAGTGAATGCATGGTACATCCTTTAAAAAGTAATTTCTGATGAAAGGGTTAAAAAAACACTTTTGGATTCAAGCTAACAGATACACATAGGACTCCTAGTTTGTATGCACTCCCTTCAGAAAATCCTACAATCAACATACAGTCAAACCTGCTTTAGTGACCACCTGTCTACAACAAGCACATTTGTTGTCTCCCTTGAAATAATTTCTCTTTGAAACATGTACTAAAGGAACCTGTCTACAAAGACCACTTTTTGTGTTTCCCTTGGGCGGACGCTGTAGACATGTTTGACTGTGTATGCATAACATCTGTAAATCAACAGCATTTTGGGGCAAAAGGTGTCCAAAGATGGACACCGAAATTATGCTTCTGTGCAGTGTCCAACAATTTTCTCTCTCAAAAAAAAAATGGCCACACCGACGGACTCACCTAAACAAGTTGGTATGGTCCACATTAGTCTTGAGCTTGACGAAGCATACCAATATGAAGAAGAGGGGTAATTTTCTCTCTCAAAAAAATAATGGAATCACCTAAACAAGTTGGTATGGTCCTGACATTGCAGTGGCCCACATAAGTCTTGAGCTTGATGGAGCTTACCAATATGACAAAGAGGTGTGACAAAAATTAATGGCCACATGGACTCACCAAAACAAGTTGGTATGGTCCTGACTTTGCGGTGGCCCACATAAGTCTTGAGCTTGATGGAGCTTACCAATATGACAAAGAGGTGTGACAAAAATTAATGGCCACATGGACTCACCAAAACAAGTTGGTATGGTCCTGACTTTGCGGTGGCCCACATTAGTCTTGAGCTCGACAGAGCATACATATAAGACAAAGAGGGGTGACAAAAATTAATGGCACATGGACTCACCTAAACAAGTTGGTATGGTCCTGACGTTGCGGTGGCCCACATTAGACTTGAGCTTGACGGAGCATACCAATATGACAAAGAGGGGTGACAGCTCCTCCTCCTCGCTGCCCATTACCGATTCCTCCGAGCTGCCCCTCCGACTGTTGGCATCGGGCACGGGATCGTAGCTCCTCTCCTTCTGGTACACATAGCTGATGGAGTTGATGAGGCTGTTGCTGTCAAGGCGATCACGGTCATGGTCCATCTCGTCCCCGTAGTCGTCCAAGTTGTCGTCGTCTTCGGTCCCGTCTGCCAACGAGTTGACCTCTGCAATGCCAAAGGCGAGATGAAAAGTAAATAACAGTAGAATACATAATAATCATTTAAATTACAGTCAAACCTGCTGTAGTGACCACCTGTCTACAAAGACCACATTACTTTGTTATCCTTGAAAATGATTTCTCATTGAAACATGAACTAAAGTAACTTATCTACAAAGACCACTTTTTGTGTTTCCCTTGGGCGGTCGCTATAGACAGGTTTGACTGTACTTACATTCTGTTAACAGTCTAATCTTGCAAGGCTTCACCGGAGTGACCGGACCCCTCATTTAAAGTGAATACACATTTAACTTGTATCTTCCTGGTTTTACTCTTCTAAAAATGTAAGAAATGAATCATACATGTACGAGTACATCCTCTATCTTATCATTTTAACAGATGACAATCCACAAAAAAATTGTAGATATTTAAGGATAAACAGTGGCAAATAATACACTGAATGTATGGGGGTGGATAGCCAAAACAACAACATGATCATTAACAGTTAGATTTAGATTTAGATTAACCCCTCCCCCCCCCCCCCAAAAAAAAAAAAAATAAATAAAAATAAATAAATAAATAAATAAATAAATAAAAAATAAGTAACATAAAAAAGGAAAAAAAAGAAAAAAGAAATAGATAAATAAATAAATAAAATAAAATGATAATACTAATAAACGCTTTCTGCATTTTTAAGCTCTTTCCATTTGGGCAAATCCTTATGAAGGCCTATGAAAGGAGAGTAACAGTGTTCCTACACACAAATGATAGGATATATATATGATTGAGACTAATGTGTCTCACTGATTAACATTGAAAGCAAGGTAAAAGTGAATCAGCAGTAAGAAAACATGACACAATTGATCAAGCGTTTCAATGTCTATAAGATTAAATATTCAATGAGGAAATAGAATTTGAAGAAAACAAAAGGGAAAATACAAATTTGGCATTCCTCAACACTGCATGCTTCATGCACAACTTAGAAATCATAAAGAAACATACTATCAGTTACATGGATATGAGTGTTAGTTACAAACACTTGGATAAAAATCTTTTGACTATAATCATATTCCATATGAGGTCAATATTTTTCCACATACTCCATGGGTAAAATTCACAGATACAATAATTCAGTTAATAGTATTCCGTTCTGTGTACATGTTCACTGACATATTTAAGTACAACTCAGGGATAAACTAATTGATGTCCACCATCTTCTCTCCTCTTTTTGTTATCTTCTTTTTTTTCTTGAAAGATGAAATGTTGCTAATTTTAACTCATGTTGATGTTAGGAGTAAGTTTTAATATATTCATTCTTAATATATTCATGATGTAATGAATTCACACTTTAATATTCTATGATGCATGCCTGTGTGTTGTGATGAGTAGATGAGTAGTAGTATAATAGGAATATTCATGAGGAATGCAGAAAATCAAGTTTCAAACCTGAGGGTAGTATACCACATCTGAAATTGCTTACATTATTGCTTTCATTTTATTTTTAAATCTCATTTTTTTTAATGACATCAGATTCACAATCACTGCACATTGTATCTAATACATGTACAATGTACCAGACAGTACATTTTGTAATGCATGTGTAATTTGGTTATAAAGAAAATGTTTCAATCAAATCTCATCTGTTTCGCAGGAAGCAGAGCGTGTGCACTATCATGCTGCAGATACATTGTAGCAATTGAATCCAATGACTGGGGTAATAATAATTTCAATGTAAAATGCTTAGAAATGTAGTATTAAGTGCTATACAAATATGACTATTTTATTATCATCCTATTACATCTGGGGACCAACCTTTAACAAAACAGTATTTTTCAAATAAGGGTGTATCAGAGTGGTTTAGTAGGCAAAGGCACAGTGCTGGCCACTAGTTTAACTTGCTCACATGTGTACTTTGGTACCAACTCACAGGTTTGAGTAAATATAATGAAACAAGCCACAAAAAAATGTATGTTGGATATCTGATATGTAAATGACATGTACAGTGCATAAGGGCTGGCAATCAATACAGGGTTGCAGGCATGTGATTTTGGGATTAAAACAGTCAAATTTACTCTTTCGAGGAGTAGAAACAGTTTCGTTGTTAGGTTTAGTTGGTTTCGACACCTGCTGAGCTACAAGACATTAGGATTATAAGAAAGAATAAAGAAAACAACAGATAACATATCAGAAAGAAGAAATGGTGTCATACATTTCAGAGTAAAAAAGAAAAGTGATTGTATTTTTGAAAGCACAAAGCCAACTTTGTATTCTTGAAAAACTTTAATGTACACCAAATATTCAAGCATAAAATAATTCAAAGTTTTGCCCTTTCTATTATCTGTTATCACTATAAACAATTTTTATTTCTTTGATTAGATTAATGTGATGAATACTGCACACAGTCCTTTAAAAAAAAAATTGTTTAAACCTTTGATACTGAAACAAATTTCTTTTGACATAGTAAACCTAAAGGAAAAGTTAGTAGATTAATCCTACAATCTTACAGATCACCTTGTATGAACACCATGTTCAAGACGTTCCGCAATAATGTTTGTGCGCATCTTAGCTGTCCAGTCTAGTCTGATCTTGTATTTACTATGCACAATACTAGACACTCCGGGCGTTGTACAGGTTGAATACAATTTGAATTCTAATTTTAATTTCTAATTTTAATTTTAGCTGGCCCTGCACAGGTAAGAAAGGCACATAAATTACTGCGGAACATCCTAACAATAATAAATAAAAAAATGAAATAAAACTGAAACAGCAAAAGAGCAACTCGTATCTGAGAGCACTTCTGTATTCCTATGAAAACCTTAAAACCTGAAGGCAAGTTCGGATATGACACAGCAAACCCGTGGCATCGTAAGTAAAATACGCTTCACGTTTCTGTATCTTAAACACAGCGCTCAGTAAATAAGCCCAAGTCCTTTGTTGAGGGCAGTTGGCATTCAATCTCACAATTTATTAATTACATAAATGACCAAATATAGACATTTTCCCAAAGCAAGCAAACAACCCAACGGAAGGACCCTATAAAACCATCCATCCAGAAATGCAGATAATCTGTTGAATATAATCACCTTCCATCTACATGTGTACAAAAAAAAAAACGCAGCAGCTATCTTGCGGCGGTTTACCACGCTGTATCTGAACAAGCCCATACATATCAAAATCACATTCAACTCAATCTGAACAATTTCTCAGAGCAGAAACACAAAAGCAGAGGTGCCAACCTCCAGAACAGAAAATCAGTAATCACAAGGCTCAAAATCAGTAATTTAGGGTATAAATCAGTAATTTTCTATGTGGCGCTATGAATCTTAAAAAAACTGCACGCCTACACTGTGCGGACGCGTGTTCGAATGATTATCTGAAATTTTTGGCGATTGTACTCACACAAAGTTGATAAATATTGATTTCAGGTCATCAAATGGGGGGGGGGGGGGGGCGGGATTTGTAATCCCTAACTTTAGACAGCATTCCGTACTGCCGTAATGATCGTTAATTTTCGTACCAATTACGTGAAATCCGTACTAGTTGGCAGCTTTGCAAAAGCCCGTCTCTGTCCTCTCTCTTTTGAAGAACATGCTCCCAGTCACAACCCAAATTACAATAGATGCAGCCCAAGGAAGATAAAATTAATCACCAAATATGGACATTTTCCCCAAGCAAAGAATTAAACCAACTGAATGACAGAACCCCCTGAAACCCTCCACTAAATGCAGACACACCTGTTGAATATAATCACCTTCTATTGATCTGCTTTTATAACTATCATGCCATTATTAAGCACCAACCCATCTATATACATGTATATATCCATCCATCTACATGTACATGAAATTAACTCTCCATCTATCTATTCCATTCGACTATTTATCTACATCCGTCTCTCTTTCTCCCTATGTATGTATCTATCTAAGAGCATCTTCCACATCCCTATCCCTGATCTTTACCAGTCAACGAAAGCAGCAGTCAATGACTTGCCACTAGGGTTGGCTGAAGAAAAGACTTCTGGTGTACGAGATCCATAGGACTTGGCTTCAAACCTTTACAATGAATTGTTTATATACACCCTATCTGTCTCTATCATATCTATTGATCTATATCAGTCTAACTATCTATCTCTTTGTCTATCTCAGTCCCTGAAAGCACATGTTAAAGCCCCACTGTACTACTTGCTCCCTCTATATAGAAAACAATGCCTAATCAGTGACCATTGGTCCCCCATGATCGTCTTTTTATAATGTTAATTGAGAGCTAAGTTGATGAGATAGCCACCTGTCAGTGACCACCCTGGGTGGTATAATCCCTCCTAGCCAAACTAGTATAGACGGCCTTTAAAGACTTACCACTGGGGTTCTCTGATGAAAAGACTTCTGGTGTCTGAGATCCAGAGAATCGAGGACTCGGCTTCAAACCTTCCGACTCAATGTCATCACTCCCACGGTACACTCCTTCCGCAAACACCTACGTAAGGTAAGCCGAATATTACATGGATTTGGTTTGGTTATTTTATTAGCTTTGAGATTCAGGCACACTTATCCATTTGGTAGCCAATTTCAAGATTGGTTCTTAAATGCCTATTAGACGTCAGGGTTAGGGTAGCAATCTGGTTTTATATCAGTTTTAGGATTATTGTCACCAAAGACTGAAGAGTCTCAACGTCATTAACACGTTAACTAATGAATTCTCTTAGTCAAATAGGCAACAGCCAGTTTCAATTAAATGCCTCACATGACAGCTACTTTCTGGCAGCCAATCACAGCTGCTTACTTTTTTCCCGTTTATATTGTTTGATTGCTTTCTATTCTTTTTGTGATTAACTCAGATGAGAGAAAGACGAAAAGTTTGAGTAGTAATAATCATGATAATAATAGCTGGATTCATACAGCACCTTTTCTAAAGGAAACAAGGCTTAGAACAAATTAAGGATTGTAGAGGTATGTTGAAGATGTTTTTTGGAAAAAGTCCAGCAGTATGTCAGTATTCCTTGCTATTATTCCCACTGGCTTTATACTCTGTTCCCGTGGGCATGAGGTTTAACCCTATTTAGCCCGGGCTATTTTGAAACTGCATAGCCCAGGGGGGGGCTTCTCAGGCCCCCCCCTGTGATCTCGGCCGTGAAACGCCCGATCGCCGCGAAAATTTGCATACATGTCAAGTGAAGTGTATAGAATACTATGGTAATTTCAATTTTTTTGAAAAATTCACTCATTTGCATATTTATGGTAATTTATGCAAATAAGGTCATTAAATTCACATTTTTGCCCATAAATCAGTCATTATTCATATTTAAGCATTCTTTCTCACTACATATATTTGTTAGACCATTTGGAATAATAATACAACACAAAAATTTGAAAAACCAGGGTTATTCCTTATGTTATCTATTGTTTTGATAATTTCTTATGTATTTCTTTGTTTTTTTAACTTATGTATTTTATTGTTTTTGTTGTTTTATTTCATTTCCAACTATAATTCAACTATTTTGACCCCAAAATAAACACCTAAAATCTAAACAAGACCAAATAACCAATGTTTTACCTCTTTATTTGAAAAATGAGATTTCCATATGTTTTGTACACAAATCACAAAAATGAGCGATTTTCGGGCTGACATGCGAAGACAAAAGGACACGTGACTTTGTAATGGTAGGTCCGATTTTCGAAAAATTTCTTTCAAAAGTTGCGCAAGACTCGAAAGAAAAAAGTCACAAAATTTCAGTGCAAGATTTTCTTGCGTTAAAAAATTATCGCGAAAAATGTCGAGGGGGGGGCTTCTCAAGCCCCCCCCCGGGCTAAATAGGGTTAACACGATGTAGTTCCTTTCAGTTACCTGATCATCATCTTCATCATCTCCATGCTCGTTCCCACCATCATCATCCCCTATCCCTTCTCCCTCCTTCTCCTCATCCTTCTCCTCCTCCTCTTCCTCCTCTCCTCCCAGACGGTAGAACCAGATGTCACGGTTGGATGGAACCGGTTTGAAGTGGTTCCCCATGACCTGGGTGAAGCGCTCCCTGACCATGGCATGGAGGCCCTTGCTGACCTCACACTGCCGGTTGGGTGAGGAGGTCAGGAGCTCAAGAGGGACCATGACGCCGGGAGGTTTCTTGCGGCCGGCGATGCTGGACTTGATCTCTTGGCTGATGAAAGAAGAGACAGAAATCAAGCAAATAAGACTATACATGTAAATCAATTCTTCCAAATTTGAAAAGGTTAATAAAAAGAGGAACTACACATATCCTTGAATAAAATTGATAATTAAAATCCAATCCCCTGAAAAATTTCTTCAGACATGAGATGTGTTGATAAGCGGGGGAGAAACAATTCTCTAAAAAATCATGCTGAACACTATAAAAATGTCACACATGCAGTGGTCTCACCTATGGCTAGCAAAGAAAGCAACACACTGCACCAAAGGTAAATTCTCCTTAACAGGGGGAATAGATTTTTCAACACTAGGCTCTTCAACTGCAAAAAAAAATGCTTTAGTTAATCCCAAATTCCTCACCCCTTGGAGAATGGTAGGCTAATTCAATCAATACCTACCAGATCTATTGAGGAACATTTTACTAAGAACACTGGTCACTTGGATAAAATGCAAGCTCTGCCGAAAGCCAAAAGAGCATTAACATCCTGGTAACTCTAAAACAGACAAAATCTTGTGAAAGAGTTTTATCAGGATGGTCGTCATAATGGTGTGAAAGTTCTTGCATGACATCCAAAAGGGAAATAGGCGGCTTACTTCAGTCTACGGAAGATGTCTGAACTCTAGAAATCAAAACTGTTACAGGTAATTTTTCCTTTTGGATGTGATGCAGGAACTTTCAAACCAGACAAAATCTTACTTTGGAGTTTTCTCCGGAGCAGGTTTCTCAGCCGTGTCCTCCTCATCCATGTCGGCAAACTTGATTCTCTTCTGGAGCTTATCAGCGACCTGTTGCTCGGCATCAACCTAGGTACAGAGACCAGAGAAAGACAGATGGAAGAGGAGAAGGGGAAGGAAGAGGAGGAGGAGGGAAAGAAGGAGGAGGAAGAGGGAAGGAAGAGGAGGAGGGAAGGAAGAGGAGGAGGGAAGGAAGAGGAGGAGGAAGGAAGAGGAAGAGGGAAGGAAGAGGAGGAGGAGGAGGAAAGGAAGAGGAGGAGGAGGGAAGAAAAAGAGGAGGGAAGGAAGAGGAGGAGGAGGGAAGGAAGAGGAGGTGGGAAGGAAGAGGAGGAGGGAAGGAAGAGGAAGAGGGAAGGAAGAGGAAGAGGGAAGGAAGAGAAAGAGGAGGAAAGGAAGAGGAGGAGGGAAGGAAGAGGAGGGAAGAAAAAGAGGAGGGAAGGAAGAAGAGGAGGAGGGAAGGAAGAGGAGGAGGAAAGGAAGAGGAGGAGGGAAGGAAGAGGAGGAGGAGGGAAGGAAGAGGAGGTGGGAAGGAAGAGGAGGAGGGAAGGAAGAGGAAGAGGGAAGGAAGAGAAAGAGGAGGAAAGGAAGAGGAGGAGGGAAGGAAGAGGAGGGAAGAAAAAGAGGAGGGAAGGAAGAAGAGGAGGAGGGAAGGAAGAGGAGGAGGAGGAAAGGAAGAGGAGGAGGGAAGGAAGAGGAGGGAAGAAAAAGAGGAGGGAAGGAAGAAGAGGAGGAGGGAAGGAAGAAGAGGAGGGAAGGAAGAGGAGGAGGGAAGGAAGAGGAGGAGGGAAGGAAGAGGAGGAGGGAAGGAAGAGGAGGAGGGGGAGGAAGAGGAAGAGGGAAGGAAGAGGAGGGAGAAGGAAGAGGAGGAGGGGGAACGAAGAGGAAGAGGGAAGGAGGAGGAGGAGGAGGGGAAAGAAAGAGGGGGGGGGGGGGTGGAAGGAAGAGGAGGAAAGGAAGGAAGAAGAGAACGAGTAAGTAAAAATGTTGATCATAATAAGAATAAAATAAGAATAAAATAAGAATACTATGATTGCAGGGCCCTCAGGGAAAACAGTATTAATACTAATGAGGTTAGACGGGGTAAACAAGAGTTTTTTATTTTTTATGTTGCTGTACAATTGTTGTTGAAATGTTATGTACATATCAATGGTTAAATTAGAATGCACAATGCATACCCAATCTTCGTATGAATTCTGAATATCTTTTAAAGATTCTTTATAAAGTATATTATAACAACAACAACAAAACATCCACTGAGCATACTAAAGGCTCTTGAATAAACTGATAAGCTCTATCAAGAATCATATCTTATTTTTCATGTTTGCTCACAAGCCATTTATATGATAACAAAATCACCTGAACAAACTTGATAAAATGAGAGACACTCCCCTCACACAACCCCAATGGCTGACGACACATTACGGCATCAAGCTCTATCAAGATTTTCTTGTGCTACAACTCTAGATCATTAATATCCTATCACTTACTTTGGCTCGCACGCCGTAGACATGACCGCAGACTACTTGAACAAATTCAGTGATGTCAATTTCATAGAGTGACTCCTCGCACACCTGTTCGATGGCCGACTGGACATCATGACAGTCAACCCATTTACCGTACTGAAGGCTCTTGAAGAGGCCGATGACAAAGGCCTGGTGGACCTTGTTGGCAAGACTACCGCAGAACCACTCCATGGCCTTGCTCCCTCTCCGATCAGCAAAGGGCGGAGAGAACGAGTCTTCAGAGATAAAATAAAATATGTTTGAAGAAAGATTAGGGACATCACATCCTGCACACAGGAGCATGTACATGTACATGCACACCTGTATGATGTAACAGAAGCTGTGCTCAAAGGGTCCATACAGAGAATTTTGCAATGGTGGTTGTATATTGCATTTTCCCAGGCCTCTTTTCATTTCTTTGATGATGACATTTCATAATTCATGATTCAGTTATTCATTGCTATGCTAGGTGCTGTGCCTTGGGTAAATTTTTTTCATTTTCCATCAAATTTTTTATTTTTTATTTTTTGGAAAGAAAGATCAATATCTTACTTTATTGGGATAAAAAGGTGGTTAGATGCCACAAAGTAAGTGGCAATGCCATAACCAATTGTGTGTTGTCACCCGAAGGTGAATTCCGTCTTCATCAAGGGGAGTGTAAACTTTCTCTCCTTTCTACAGTTAATTATAATAATCGATTATATGCCTAATCTCTCACCATTCTGCTCACTGAATCCTCTTGTCCTGTGTCTAGGGATGTTCCTTGGCGTGGTTGGGACCTGGGCACCCGCATCCATTGACGCAAAGGTCAGATCCTTGAAGACATTCGTCACTGAACTCTCATCCAGGCGACCCAGCACAAAATTGGTCAGGGCCGCCAGGGAACAATCGTAGACGAAGATGGGAAGGGGGAGGCTCGTATTTGTTTTCTTCTCAACTCCAGGTGGCACTGTTTTTCTAGCCGGACACTCATCCTCGCTGTCTGTCTCATCCAGATTCTTGCTGCGATGGGACTCACGGGATGGTTTCGCTTGATCCGATTCAGGTGCCATGGATAAATCCGCTTCAGGATCTAGATGAAAATTTGGGGTTTGCATTATAAACTTGGAGGGCACTTTAGATATCTGTTCTTGAAATGCGAAACATTTACTAGTATATTCAACCTACATGTACAACTACACCTTTGTCAAACGAAATATGTGTACATTACAAATTAATTGAATATTTAAAGAAAATGCCCTTCATAATTAATAAAACCACAAGAATACAACGAGAGCCTAAACAATTCAATTTGATCAAAAGAAATGAATCACAGAGCCAAAGTTAAAGTGAAATGTACAGGAGTCAGTATTTGCATGTAGAAAAGTGCCAGCAAGAAGAAAACATTAGAATATCAATGCCAATCAAATCTGAGGATACCCAAATATAAATAGTGGACAATTCTACCCTGAACCATTCCCCCCCCCCCCCCCCTCCCCCAAGACAATCTTATTCACCAGATACGATACATGTATGAATCAGTGGCCAAGTATCAAGAGCACTCACCATCCTTGGTTGCACTGAGCAGCCCTAAGTCCTGATAGGAAGCTGGCATGAAGACCAAGATCAGATGATCCTTCCCGACACTTTTCACGTACAGCGTCCACTGCGGCACCTTCTTCTCCCGGTTCTCCTCCATCAACGGAGTACTCGTCCTGTTCTGCGGAACAGGCGTCTTCTCTAAGCCTTCCGCAGCGCTGTCTGCGAGTTCTGACAAGAGACTGGAGATGTCCGAGGAGGCGAGTCCGAAGGGACGAGGCGCATCGTCGTCTTTGCTTCGATCAAGGACAGACTGGGCAAAGAGCAGACTCTCCTTGTCAGAGAGGTCCAGCTTGAAGTCCGTCATGGATTTCATAGAGTCAGTGAGGAGGGTGAAGAGGGTGTCATTGGGTTTGGGGTACCCGAGGCGGGGCCTGGACCTGGTGTTCTCTGTCCCATCTGCACCTAAAACATCAAACAGTAGATATTTGTATGGTGAAGCCTGAATATAATGAACACTCAAGGGTTACATGAAAAGGCAGGTGGTCTTTATGTACAGTTTCCTTTAGGACAGGTTTCGATGAGAAACCATATTCAAGGGAAGCAAAAAATGTGGTCTATTCAGACAGGTGGTTTTTCTATACAGGTGGTCACTAGAGCAGATTTGACTGTAACATGATAACACTCCATTCTTGTACAGCAAATACCACATTCGCAATATTTTCTCTTTGTGCTTCTAGACTTTAAAGCCTTGCTGCCTGGTTAAGGTACTGTAACATGCTAGGAATTTCTTTCAGCAATTACCTATTCTTGTACCTCACCTGCAAGTTATAGAGACTTGTTTACATTCATACTGCACAGTAAATTTTTAGATACAATTGACATTTATTCTATGAGACAAATGATGTGCACATAAGAAAACATATCTGTTGAGATGAAGAATCCTTGGAATAGATATATTATCTAAATGAGATGCACCAGACAAAACTGTTTTTTCTGCCATCTTTCATGTCTTACTGTATCACATGTTGTTTCCAATAGTTGTACTCTTCCTGCATTTTACTTATTCCTCAGCAATCACACATTTTTTTTCAGAACGATTTAGGCGAGGCGTCAAAAATATCGATACCAGCAGGCTGCCGCCTCACGTATTGGCGCATCGAGGCTGCAATTACGGCCAAAGCCTGGCTGGGGCAATTATTTTTCTTTTATTAGCCCAGCCGGCTTGCGCCAGGCTGGGATCTGAGGCTCGGTTTCCATTCGAAAGGCGGCAGCCGGCGCATGCTTTTGAATGCCATTTCCTACCGCCAGCGGTAGCCGGCTGAGCTAATTTAAAAAATGCAGCCAGGACGCACAAGTGCAGTTAGCTGCTGCTGGCTGGTATATTTATTTTTGACGCCTCGCCTTAGCAGACACACCTAAATATTTTTTGATTATTGTACTGCATTTCTTTAGAATATATTCTTTTTTTGATCGTCACCAGGACTCAAGAACTTAAAAGCCAAAGCACACTCCGATACGATTTTCAAAAAAAAATTGCAGTTGCATTGAAATGTTGAAACTCCATCAGACGTAATCTTCTGGACTGGGGTTATGAATATTGATTAGAATACTAGTGATCAACATTTTATTGCATTTCAAGCCTTTCATTCGGAATAAAAAGGTAGAATCGTAGACAATCGCAAGACTGGTCCGACTCACTGTGATTTGGAGTTGTTTTAAGCTTTTCCTCCGACAAGGAAGCTTGCCATCCCCAAATTTTGAATTTATCAATGATACATGTACGACTATTCAGAACTTTGATCATTTACATTTTTACATGGTTGAATGGGCTATAGGTTTGCTGTGTACAGTCTTGTACACCCATCAATGGTATTTCCCAAGTCTGGTGTCAGCGAATTATGACCTTCTGCACATGGAAACTGACCGTCGAACCACTGCCTTTAAGCTCACCTGTGATGAAGGTTGAGCACAGTACATGAGCCTGCTGACACATGGGTAGGAGCGTCATCACGTCCAGCGCATAGGGCAACCGCTGAATGGTCTCGCCGAGCGCAACCCCTTCAAAGGAAAGCTCCTCCTTGGACATGGTGGCCATGTCTCCGTCGATGGCGGAAGAGCACATGACGTGCAGGTGCTCAAAGTTGAGGAGGACGGAGATGATCCGCTGGTCCATCGGAAACATCTACATGGGGGTCCATAAAAAGCGTTAATCTATTAATAGTAAACTGTTGTAGTCAAACCTGTCTATTAAGGCAACCCAAGGAAAACAGACAAAAAGGCCACTGTTCACATGTGGCCATCTTAGACAGGTTTCTACAAAACACATTTCTCTCTTGAGGGAATCAAAATGCAACCCCTATAGACATGTGGCCTTTAAGGAGAGGTGGCCCACTAAGACAGGTTTGACTGTATTCATCAATTGGCCCTTCTATTCTCCTGGAACATTTATCTACATTTGTTAAACTTCTAAGCATTTTAATCTAATTTATGTACATGTATCTTAAACATTCAGTTCTACATGTTTTCTTCTTGTTGCAATTTGTATATATAATTTTACTTGCATACCTGCCAACATTTGAAAATGAGAATTAAGAATTTTTAGCACGGTATGTCTTCAAAAATAAGAAATCTGTACCCTTAACAGGCGTTCGCACATGCAGCGGCAGTGTAACTGGCAATACGTGGTAAATCTGTGCAAAAAAGCAAATACAAATTCGCTGCTCAATCATGCAGCCCTTCAACGCACGCAATACGTGAAATCTCACATCGCGGCATATGATAAAACAAGCTTAATTTGGCTTAAGCAACACCCCCCCCCCCCCACAAAAAAAAAAAAAAAAAAAAAAAATTGAAATTGTGAAAATCCGGGAGATTCCGGATTTTGGGGTCCTAAAAATCCAGAAAAACAGGATATTCCAGTTAATCGGGAGGGTTGGCAGGTACGTACTTGCACTGTAAAAAATGCGGTAATTCAGTCCGTGACAGCAAGTTATGTTATAATCAACCTTGATGGAATTGAATTAAACTGAATTGCATAGTCATACCACTCTTGGGATGGTTTGGTAGGTGAGGCCGTCCAAGAATTGACACTGCTTTGGAGGATCGATGATGGTACCACTCTGAGGCTCTATCCAGCACTCAGTCACAAGCTGCAGTCTTCCATCAGCTTCAGATGTGTCCTGATCGTCACCATCCTCCTCGTCTCCAACTCTGCATCAAAATCAAAATAATAATAATAAAAACGTTGCTTATAAAGCGCTTACCACCAAAGTCTCTAAGCGCTATAATAAACAAAATAGACTGATAAACAATTGCATATTAAACAAAACAAAAAAGTGCAAAAAATAAAATAATAATAATAATAATAGCTAGTTCTTATATAGCGCTTTTCAAGACCGAAGGCCCTCTCAAAGCGCTTTACAGATATATATATTATTACCCCGGTCATAGGATTCAGGCTTACCCGCACACAATGTATGCACATTCTCCACTCCCTGGGGAGCATTCCAGCCAGGCGTCTTTTTTATGAGCGCACACTTGCTAATCTAACCACATTAGCTTTCGCATCCTACCGGGTACCCATTTAACACCTGGGTGGAGAGTGGCAAATGTAGATCAATGTCTTGCCAAAGGACATTGGTGCCGCAGTGGGACTTGAACCGCGAACCTTGTGATCCACAGTCCGGTGACATATCCACTCGTCCACGACACCTCTACTACAAATTACAATACATATGAAATTCACATCAACGTGAACAGAGTAAGTTAATCATCAAAAGCAATTTTGTATATCAAAAGCATTTCTGCACACCAATTCATAATTCAAATCAAGGTTTTGCTGAAATTGGATGACTAGGTAAAAAGGAATTATCTGGCTACACAATGTGAATGACCTACTCAATTGTAATAATACAAACATTAATATCATAATAAAGTAACCAACACAAGTTCAATATCCGGTGCATGAAAATAACAACATTCCTAATGGCCAAGTTGTGATATATTTGAAATGAGAGGGGGAGGGATACAAAAACACAAAATCAATTTGGGGGTATGTAGAGGGTTTACATAAGAAATACACCTTTACCTGACTGCAGTGATTACAAGTCTCTAATATTGACAAAATTCCCGACTTTGATTTTGTCACTTTATATGTGACTGCTGTTTTTATGCAGCCTTGTGCATTTTTTTTACTTGAGAAAACTGCACCAGAATCTGCTGTTTGATGATTGAATTATCAGTCATGAAGACTTGATCCTGATTGCTTCTTTGACTTGAGAAAATAACCATCATTATCATACGATATAAAGTTCACAACAGACGGTACTCACGATGTAGTCCGATCCCTCTTGGCTGTGGCTGAGTGCGGAGGGAAGACGATGTACTGGAGCAGACATGGGAAGACCTCTTGACCATTGGAGGATAACTTCTGCTCCGTGCCCTGGTCGCTCTCAGTGGCTTCATCCGTGCCTTCTTGGTCCGAGGGTTTGGAAGGCCCCATTGTCTCCACGATGCTGCCCAGAGGATTCTGAATACCGTAGTAAAGAAAAAAAAATCAGTCAAAATATGAGATGTTTAATAATAAACACAAATTATTTCATTTATCAGTCATATGTATCCCCCTGACAGGAAAGCTTGGAAAGCAGCCATTAAGGAAATGAAATGTCCAACCCCACAAAATGGGACAAATGGACTTTAAACGCTGAAGATGACATGGTCTTTGAACATTGTTGAAGGTTGATGAAAAAAATTACTTACTATATTCCTTGTACTGTACTAACCCTCTGACATGCAAAAAATCCTGAAAAAATTCTCAAACCACAAAGATATCTATGGTTTTCTTTGAAGGCGTTGATGTACGACACCCTCTAACAGTGATTAACAGTAAATTCTCCCAACCATTTTCGAATTTTCCCAACCGTTTTTCCATGAAGAAAAGACATAAAACAGGCTATAAAAAATCTGTCAACACTTAAATGTCCGGAATGGAATGTAGAGCCATTTTATTGCTTTGTGAGAATTGCAATAATATAGTTGGGAGAATTAAGGAATCGATCAGATCAGTTTTTCCCAATTTGTACGATGAATAATGGTCCGTTTTCACTCAAATTTTCAGATTATCTTTGATTGTACATCTAGCATTGAAATCACTACCTTAGCACCACTATCTCTCATCTAAAAAATGTTACCTAGTCCCTTTAAAGTCAACAATTGCTCCATAGACGATTTTCATTGAACACTGGTTAAATACCTTCCTCTGACCTTTGACCCAACGACTTGCATTCCTCATCCTAGATTTAACCAAAATCCATGATGTACCCTGAATGCATACCTGGATCATCATCATCATGCATATACAGTTAATCAGTAAAAGAATTGTTCCATCATTATCAATTTACAGTCATCTTCACAATTAAACCTCGTGTCTCCTTCGGTGTAACTTTTTCTTACGGCCATTGCTCTTTCTGCAAGCTCCTGCTTAACTTTGGAACAAACTACCTTTAAATGTCCGAAACTGTCAGACTGTTAAACGATTCGAGACTCGTCTTAAGACACATTTATTCATAACTGCTTTTGATGATTAACTTACTCTGTTCTTATTGATGTATATTTCATATGTATTGTAATTTGTAGGTGTATTTGCATTTTCTTTTTGTTTTGTTTAATATGTAATTATTTATCCTTGTATTTTGTTTATTATAATAGCACTAAGAGACTTTGGTGGTAAGCGCTTTATAAGCACCGTTAATATTATTATCATTGAAAGGTTAATATCTTATCACACCTACATGAAATCCGAGTCAACGAGTGAATGATGGTGAGCATATATTCAGTTTAATAATCAACTAAAGATGGCTGGTCAAAGCAGCCTTACCTTCATCTTGAGCTCCATGATGAAGCTGAGTATTCCACTGGTTGAGTAAGCCACATGGAATCCCTGCTGCAACCGCAATCTACCAAGGATGAACAAAGGAGACATTGTAGATGTCTTTTGAATTGAGATATTTAGAGATAAATTGGAGTTCTGGTTGGGCGATTGCATTGTAAAAAAAAGTGTGCAGAAGCCATCGGAAAGGTTGATCATGTAGCACATACTATAAGTATTGGTAAATGATAATACAATTATTCATGAGTCCCTAGACTCTCAATGACTACAAACCTTACAACAGAGATGCCAACCTTCATCAACAACAACAAATATTCTTAAAAGGAAAAAACGGTATTTTTGGAAAAAATCACCCAATCGAGCAGCTTCAAAGAAATAGGCGGCAGCAGTAAAACGTGCATCGTTTGAGGAAATAGGTGCATAATGCACATACGACACAAAGCCCATGATGGGTAATTAAGAAAAACATCAATAATTTTTGTTGTTGTTAAAGGTAACTAAACATTCAAAAAACGTACTGCCATATTCAAAGCAAAAAACAAAACAAATACGGCAAATACGGAACAGTTGGCATCTCTGTTACAACCATCCAAGAATCTCTGGACTCTCCAAAACCTTAGAATCATCCAGGACTTTAAGGACTCTCAAACATTACAAGACCTTCACTCACTTGGTAAGGACGTCCAGGATGTTGGCCACAGCCTTGGCAGCGATCTGGATCCCACTGTCACTCTGAGCTTCCCAGGTCCAGCGTCAAACCTTACAACCACCCAAGAGTCTCAGGACTCTTCAAAACCTTAGAATCATCCAGGACTCTCAAACACTACAAGACCTTCACTCACTTGGTAAGGACGTCCAGGATGTTGGCCACAGCCTTGGTAGCGATCTGGATCCCACTGTCACTCTGAGCTTCCCAGATCCAGCGTCGATGGTGGAGATAGCATGCAAGTCGGTTCAGGTTGCTACAGGGAGCTTTGCTGTTCATGTAGACAGGCACAGACGTGGACGTCACCTCGATGGATGTCTTCAGGTCAGTGAAGTCCGATGGCATTTTCTCATATCTAGGATACAGAGTGATGGTGCGAATATGAAGCTTGGTAAACATTATAACGTCTACAAACCTGTACTAGCAGTACTTACATATAGGTCGTTGAAGGAAACCTCAGCTCAAAGAATTAGTGTGGGAATGTTGAAAGATGTGACTTTCAATTTGAACAAATTTAATTGATAAACGAATTTGCATAGTATGTCATGTTATCGAGAAATGGAGAATTCTGAGATGCCAATATTGTGCTAAGAGACAGTACCTTATGCTTAGAAAATCTTGCAATATACCTCTCTTAATCTTGTAGATTAAAGGGCAAGAATACAATCAATCTCTCTCAGAGCAACTTATTTATAAAAGATATGTCATGGGTTGAGGTTTCACACAAAGTCACAGCCTTTCTACCTCCAAACAAGACGATCAGTCTTGTCAATAGAGCTTTACCTCGGCATTGTGGCGTGCGCCTGTAATCCAGCTAACAGTGGAAGTTACAAACTGATTTAGCCGAGGATGCAGGTTTCGAAACTGAGTCACGTCTTTCGGATGGTGACGTTAAATGTCGGTCCCCAGACGTAAATGATCATATCTGATTGATACACGTCTGTAAAAACCCAAACACACACACACACACGCAATAGAGCTTTACCTCATGAGGATCATCTCGATGGGTCTAGAGAGCAGAACGACGCAGGAATCATCGCCATGTCCAGGAGGCCCGTCTGAGTCAGTGTCCTTGAGGGGAGCCATGGCCTTGGTGCCGTGCTCCTTGTCATAGCCATACTGGGCAGTCTTTTTCCTGGGCATCCTCAAGGCTAGCAGGTCATTCTTTAACCCTCTCACAACCTGCAAGGATTAACACACATGTTTCTGAGTGGTTTTCTCTTGAAGTATTGCAGAGCTGCCAACCCCAAATGAACAAAATCCTATTCTTTTCCCCAAAACAAATCCTATTTTAAAAATAAAAATCCCATTTCTTATCGATAAGTACACTTTCTCACCGTGAACATGCTTTGTTATTTTTTGGAACATCCCAAAATTGCATTTTTAAAAAATTTATTATTAAAAAAAAAAATCATATTTCATTGACAAAAAACACAGTGTCGTATTTACTTCTAAAAAACATACAAAATACGATAAAATTGTACTTGTTGGCAGCTCTGGATTATGGGTGTCTTGGTGGATACCTTGACGACATAGCACAGGGTGGATGGCCCTCTGGACTGACAGAAACATCTATTTCTCTCTCTCTCTCTCTCTACAACTACCAAACTGATACACTACTCATGTACCTATTTCTCTCTCTAAACAAACAATAACCATGGAAGTATTATGGGTGCCTTGGTGGGAACCTTGATGACCGAGGTGGATGGCCCTCTGGACTCACAGAAACATACAAATGTATCCATTTGTCTCTCTCTCTCTCTCTCTCTCTCTACCAATCTGATACACTACTTATGTACCCATTTCTCTCTTTCTCTTTCTAAACAAACATTATTGAGAATTACTGACCTTGTTCCTCTCATGGCCCGGTGTTCCTCCCAGGAAAGCCAGTCTGAGGACGATGGGTGTCTTGAGGGAAACCCTGATGACGTAGAACGACGTAGGTGGCCCTCCGGACTCACTGTAAGATAGCAAACATATTTGAATAAGAATAAAACACTCTAGAAAGTCAGAGAATCAAAGTGGAGATGGGCTGGGCATGTAGCAAGACTTCAGGACAATAGATGGACAAATCGTTTAACAGAATGGCAACCAAGAATGGGAAAGAGAAGAAGAGGAAGCCAGAAGAGAAGATGGAGAGATGACCTAACATCATACATGGGAACGGCCGCTTGGATTAGGATAGCTAGAGACAGAAGAGAATGGAAATGTTATGGGGAGGGCTTTGTCCAACGTCTGGATGAACTATATGGAGACCGTGCCTTCAGCGTAGCTGCTCGGAGGCTTTGGAACAGACTTCCTCTTGAGATTCGGGATGCTCCTCCGTTAGATTCTTTAAAATCCTTCCTAAAGACATTCCTTTTTAATTCTCCCTGTTAATCCTCTGTTAGTATGTAGCTTTAATGTGTTATTCATGGTAGATGTAATGTAATTGCCTTAATTTGAATTTGTAATGTTTTGCCCTAAAATTAAATGTATTCTATTGTTTTTATATGTATTGACTAGATGTATCTGTGCTTATGTATTTTGAATTAATTGTAGGTTGATTAGTATATATTAATTATAGTTTGTAAATATGATATTGAATGTATTATTACCTAAGTTTTGCCAACTTTGTAAAGCGCTTAGAAACATTGAAATTAGTGCTATAGAAATATAATGTATTATTATAATTTTTATTATAGCCTGATAGATAGATACATTGTACATGTAGATAGAACGAAAACACTCTAGTCTGTAAATGCATCTTTTTAGACATATTTAAAGGCACACAACGTGACTTCTCAAACACATGCCATACTATGGAATACAGACACAGTTCAGACGGTATACTTCACAAAATGGACCTGTAATAACCACTTCTGTTAGCCGCATCTCTTGTAGCTCACTATAACACGTATCTTACTTTATTCATGTGGCACAGCACTGTATTTTCTTTCTATGCATTATAAGATGTTAAATGTCATTATAATGTGATACGCCTTTGTATGCTTTCGTTTGTTTGTTTGTTGTAGTTGTTCTTTCAGTATTTTTAAATTGGAAATAAATTATCCTAAATGCTGTTATAAATAGAAAAAAGAAACAAGAAAATATCTCAAATCTCAGCAGTCAATCTAAAGGGTCATAAATGATCTAAACTAAACTGGTAAACTAATTTCACTAGAAACAATTTGATATAATACCATGCAAGTGGATTCTAAACAAATAGTAAAATCTCCTTCTTCTTCGCTTGAAGTACAGGCCACCATTTTGTTGGTGTATCTTCATACTTTTAAAGTTGTGCAGATATGTGTACAGTGCTGTGGAAGATCTAATCTATGTGCAGTTAAAAAGAACAGAACAGTCTCAATTCATTCAAAATAAATTCAATAATTCACGTGAAGTTAAGATTGATGTAGCTATGGTTGTCTTACATGAAAGTCTGAATTAAATTCAAACTTAATTCAATAACTCATGTGACGTTGAGATTGGTGTAGCTATGGTTGTCTAACATGAAAGTCTGAATTAAATTCAAACTAAATTCAATAACTCACGTGAAGTTGAGATTGATGTAGCTATGGTTGTCTAACATGATGAATGTACTCCTCTTCTTAAGAAGGTTGTTGACCTCTTTGAGGGCAACCCGATACTGGATGGTGGCGTAGCGCCCGCTCGAGTTGGGTAGGTGCAGATGCTTCGGTAGCGGCCTAAGAGAAAGATACGTAAAATATAAGAAAAGAATCCTATGAATATACTGTAGAGGTGTCAACGTGGTCTAGTAGATACGTCACCAGACTAGGGATCACATAGTTTGCGGTTAGAGTCCCCCCCCCCCCCCCCCGTGGCACTAATGTCAGTAAGCAAGCCTTTAATCTACATTTGCCATTCTTCACCCGGGAGTAAAATGGGTACCGGTTGGAAGGAATGCCTTGAATACTGTGAGCACCGAAATCGGTAGCCTAGCCTTGCGCACCAGGTGTGGTGGATATGTGCATTATGAAGATATTCAATAATACTATTATTATTAATGCATATGCTTTAGCTTTACCGGCAGAGGTGATGGAACATGTATCCAAGAACAAAAGATGAAGTGAAAAGGTTTTGTTATCATGAGGGGAGGAGGAAGAGGTAGGAAAGAAAGAGGGAGCAAATGAACGAAAAAGAGGTTGAAAGAGGGGATGAGAAATTCGTTTCTTATAGGTACATGTACAGTATATTGTTGTATTTACAGGTATAACCAATTCGAAAAACATTTAATAATCGTAACATAACAATGTCAACTCCATAGGAATAAAAATACAAGATTTCATTCAATATACTCACAAGTCTGGTAGCAGGAGCAATGCAATGCGGTGGGTGTGGAGCCATCTCTGCCTGTAGAATGAAAACAATCAAAACATATTACCATCAAACTATCATGTCCCCCTGGCTTGCACACTCAAACCAAACTTTAATGCTGGCCCTTACAAAATCATACTTTTCTTTCAATGCAACTGTACTAATAATCACTACTATACAAACTTATGGAAGATATTAATAATAGCAGCATTTATGTCAAAATAGACATTGGTACAAATAGTAACAGAGAGATATCACAATATAGGGTACATGGTCAAGGACATTGGACTTGGTTTAAAAGCCCTACCATCTCTTGGAGTCCATGAGAGCAATACGTTTCCAGAAATCAGCAAACTGGTCCAATCCTGAATGCCTGCAGAAGAAATCAAATGAAAAAGATATCTAAAGTGGAGCTGCCCTGGTATAGTGGTTCATTCATTCTCAATCAAAGGAATGAGCGTTCGATTTCTCAGCGTGGAACTAACGTATTTTCCAGTGTATGTAGGATAAAGTACTAGTATTGAAACAATGAAAGTAATGATACATATTTCTCTATTTCTGATTATAGTTTGCTGCCAATCTTTTGAGTGACTTTTCCCATTATGTTTTTATATGGTAAATTGTATAAAGATGCAATTATTATCTGATGTTGTAGTTAAAAAATATGATTTTGTAAAAAAAAAAATTGTTTAAAAAATGTTGAAATAATGACTTACTTTGAAAGCAACTATTGAGATAATGAATTTTTTACTTTAAAAAATTGCTGAAATTATGACTCGCTTTTAGATGAGACTGTTGTAATAATGATTTTCAATTTAAAAATTATTGAAATAATGACTCACTTAAGATGCGACTGTTGAGCGAGGACAGGCGAGGTGGAGTTGGGGGGCATGTAGAAGAGGGGCATCCCTCCCTTCGTACCTTCAGGCAGTGTGTAGTAGATGGGGTTAGCTGCAAAGGACTGCAGGTGTACTAGCAGCAGGTCAGTCTCTCTCAAACTAGGGGGAGAAGAAGACGTCAAATCAACTCACTTATTTATACATTCATTGTGGGAAGAAGGAGTAGGGAAGAAGGAGGATACTTTGGATTGACATTCTGCATAAATTGTTAGAAGAGAGAGGAGTGAAAGAACTGGGAGTGGTATTAATACAGAAGGCTAGGAGCCGAGGGTTGTGGAACAGCATGATCCCCACAGTCAAACAATATGGTACTTAGAGAGAGAGATGTACATTCATTGCCGGTCCATCGTAATAACGATGATGACATGATTAAAACCGCTAGCGTTTTCTTGCATGGCTCCACGGTGAAATTCTGATGGCACTGTGGAATCCAAAAACATTACAAGCCCATCTACTATCCACCTGGTATACATGTAATAATAACTTTGTCTACTTTTAGCTTTTAGCTAATAGTCATTTGGTCTAATTTCCATATGGTCTAAAAAACAATTAGTCTATAAACCATTTGGTCTATTGCTTACTTCAGGGGTGATAGTGAGCACTAAAAAAAAATAGTTTCCCCCCCCCCCTACCACGCCCCCCTTGAGTAACAAAAAAAAGAAGAAGAGCATTCAGGGGGAAAATGGCATCCAGGGGGAAATCGGGGGAAAAGAAGAAAAAAATCTGGTAAAAAAAAAAAAAAATCAGGAAAAAAAAAAATCAGGAAAAAAAATAATTGGGAAACCGATTTAAAGGTAATACAAAGTTTTGGGAAATTTTGAAAATTGGGTGGATAGTGATTCTTTACATTTTTGATATATTTGGATGCCCCTGTGGATGTGTTATAAGCACTAGAAAATTTAGCCTCTACAACACTTCTGCTTTTGAGAAAAATTGAATATAAGAATTTACCGGTGCTCCCGGTAAATTTTGATAAATTTCAAATAGCGCCTCCGGCCATACAATAGTAGCTGTGACCATGAAAATTTCAGAATATGTAGTTGTGATATATAATTTCCCAACGCGAATAGCTAATCGATCGATTTTAGTCAAGAAACATTGTTTTATAGCTTAATTAATATCTTGACCTTGAGAGGGAGCTATACAACATAAAGAGCTTATTTTTTACAATTTCATAACTTTAGACTCTATTTCAACCGCGACAACGATCACTGAATATTGTAGGATCGCATATGCTTCCAATATGTCCATTTGAACCAAATTCATGACCCCATACCAAAACTTTGTATTACCTTTAATCAGGTTTTTATCAGGTCTGTTACTTAGTCTAAATCTCAGTTTGTCTACTATACACATCGTCTAATAATTATTCAATCATAGATAATTATTATTAGACCATGTGAATAGCAGACAGGCTGGGTGTAGGCCATAAAGGGAATAGATCAATTGGGAAATAGACGAATCGATTGTAAACCAAAGGGCGATAAACCCCTTTCCCATCCTACATTTAACACTCACCTCTGCAATGTTTGCCAGAAGTTCTTGACCACCTTTGTCCTGTAATGGTTCTGAGGTCCCTTCTTCATGGGGCACGTGATGTCATGGAGGAACTCGTAGCTACCCTCCATGATGATCTCTATGTCTGTCACATGTCTGGAATTCAATTTGATTTCAATTAAAAAATGGTTTATTAAACAAACAACACGGTTTGCAGCAATAAGCTGAATTGCACATGTATACAGTATATACAAAATGAAAATGAACGTTAAAATTCAAACAACAAGGCAACATGTACAATTGATAATTTTGTTTCTTTACTACAATCATCAATAAAATTATGAAGATAAAATACATTGTTAGAAATCTGGAAAAGTTATATACAATTATTATCAATAAATTGAATACCTATAAAAATTAAAATTGATTAATAAGACTAGGTTGATTGATAAGACCAGAATAGGAAAAATAACCAAATAGAAAAGCGATATCCAAAAGGGCGTTGCAGTCTTCTACGAAAACAGCCCCCCACCCACGCCACCCCCAGACAAATACACCACTTCAGAAATATATCCCCTAAAGAGATAAACCCAATGTATACTAGTCTACCATATGATACATGTCTGAGGTGGGGTAATTGTCCAAGGGGGTAGTTGTTTGTAGGGTAGCAGTTCAGAGGTATTAGTCAGGAGCCTTAGTGGGAGGGGGGGGGGGGGAGGGGCAGTGGAAAGGGGGCAGATAGCCAGATACATTACCAATCAGCTGGTACAGGTTTTTAATCCATGTTTTGATACTTATGTTCATTAATAAGCATTGCCACATTATAGAAACCTTTGGAAACATGTTAAGGTACTTTAATGCATCATCCATAACCTTAGATCACTATATTTTTTTACAGGATTAATGGAAAATACATGGTATACAGAGATAAATTGTACCCTATAAACCTCACAATTGTAAGCATGCCTATATAAATCATTGTTTTAACAATGGGATTTATTTAGGCTCTAAAACTAACAAACGGGTACATACCTGCTGGACTCAAGGGGCCATGGAGCTGTAGCTATATACTCTATCCTCGCATTGTACTTCCAGGGCAGCGCTAGACGCACCTCAATACAGGAACCATCTATAGGTAATCATATCGATTGATAATACAGTCAACCTGCTTTAGTGACCACCTGTCTGCAAAGACCACATTTGTGGTTTTCCTTGAAACAGGTTTCCCATTGAAACATGTACTAAAGGAACCTGTCTACAAAGGCCACTTTTTGTGTTTCCCTTGGGCAGTTGCTTTAGACAGGTTTGACTGTACACTGAAACAAAAGGATTTTATTGAGCTGAATTCATCTGCATTGTGTGACAAAGACTAATTTCAAAAGGGCAATTTAGACAATTTGATATAAAAGGATAGTTAAAGAAAAATGGGTGAAAATTGAGATTGCTGAATGTATGAGAATGTTCTAGACAACAAAATGGTCATTCTTTACAAGCCATTTAGGAGATATTTTGCACTTAGATTTCTTTCTCTGAGATGGGATGCAAGGGGGATTAATGCTGGTAACATTCCTGTTACTCAGTGTGCACATAAGGGTTGATGAATGTGATGACAAGAGTGATAATCGCCTTTTGAACAATTCAAAACAGAATGCATGTAGAGCTTTATTCGCTCGTGAGCAAACATGAAGGTACACATGTTATGTGCAAGAAGAGTGTTGACCTCCCCCCCCCCCCCCCCCCAAAAAAAAAAAAAAAAAAAAAAAAATTTAAAGAAAGACATAAGAACAAGACTTACTCTTGGTTATGCAGGCATCCTTGATGGTGTACCCTTCCCTGAGACGAATAGAAAGCACATTGCCAAGCTCTGTGTGAAGTCTGTAGTTAGTATGCTTCTTCCTGATCAGAGGAATGGTGCATAATCCCTGCTTGTTGACTGCAAATGATGGCAAGATGCTGTGAGAAAAGTTGAGAAAGGATAACATTCAAATTAAAACAATTAGAGAGACATAAAACGCATTGCCATACACTGTGCGTAGTCTGCAGTTTGTATGGTTTTTCCTGATAAGGGGAATGGTGCACAACCCTGCTTGTTGACTGCAAATGATGGCAGGATGCTATAGGGAAGGGGTGAGACAGGGTAACATTACACGTTTCAGAAGCCTCATCTGCCACACTCTGTGTGTAGTGTGTAGCTGTATGGCTTTTCCTGATTAGGGGAAATGATGGCAGGAAGGGTTGAAAATAAACTGTAACCGGTGGACACTGTTGTTTATCAATAGGCATTTTATTGAGATAAAAGTACGATGAAAAAACATGAAAAAAATAAAATAACTACATGTACATGTGAATATAAATGATCCACTGGACAATATTAAAATAGCATCCATTTTAAAAGTTTCTCGATACAATATTATCGATTGTGGTTCTCGGAAAGATTTAAAAAAATATTGTTATATGTACCTTTCAGGCCATCCTGATTCTGATGAGATGACTTGATGCTGACGACCTGATAGCGACAAGAGAGAGATATACATGTACAGTGAAACCTTTATATAAAGACTGCTCAAGGTAAACATGAAAAGTGGTCTTTATAGACAGGTGATTTTTTTTTCTATACAGGTGGTTGCTAAAGCAGGTGTGACTGTAGAAAATCCTTAAGCAACCACCTGTCTATAGAGACAGCTTTTTCCGTTCCCCTGGAATATATCTCTCAGTGATATATTCACAACAGAGACAAAGAGACCAACTGCCTAGAAATACAACTATTCTGGTCTCCCTTGAGTGGTCTTTACATATATATATGCATGTTTTACTGTACAACACAGTCAAAATGAGGAACAGGCAACTACAAGAGGGGCAATTATAATTACAACTACATTTCAGTGACATAATATTTAGGCAATTTTAATATATTCATGAGGCTTCTTTGACAAAAAAGGAATTCCATTTTGAGAGAAACAGGAATAGAGTGATTCTGAATATCTTTTCATGTAGTACATAGGTTGAATAGATTAAAAAACATTGATAGATAACGACAACTTAAAGGGAAAGTCCACCCCCAAAATAAGTTTGTTTCGATAGAGGCAGAATAATAAGAAAATCAGGTGAGTGAAAGTTTGAGCAAATTCTGAATGAAAATAAGAAAGTTATGAATTATTGAAGTTGTGATCAATCAAATACAAATTGGCAACTCTGTGACTTATTATACGAGCTCTCCTTCATTTGCTTTGTGCATAATATTCCATAAAATCATGCTTTCTTCGTTATTGATGACGGAATATATATTTGTTCCTTGCAGGGGGAGTATAGAAACATATTTGCAATTATTATATTTAGGGTGCATGTATGGTTGAAATTTTTCTTGAGGGAAAATGAAAATTTTAGATTTTTTTAGTACTGAGCAAATGGAAGTTGAGCTCGCATGATACATGTACGTCATAGAGTTGCCAATTTGTGTTTGATTGATCACAACTTCAAAAATCCTAACTTCCTTATTTTTAATCGGAATTTGCTCAAACTTTCACTGACTTCATTGTTTCTCTCATTTTTCTACTCCTATTAAAACTAACTTAATTTCAGGGTGGACTTCCCCTTTAATGGAAATCGTATTTACTGAATACATAATTTATATTGTGCGCACACACTGCATATTTTTGGAGGAACTAGCACAATTTTCATAAACTGTACTACCAAAAATCTTTCTGACAAATTGATTCATTGCACATTTAAGTTTCACTCGCTTCTGTGGAAGACAGCTTCAAATCATTAGTGATTTTCCAGATCCTATGTACATACCTGCCAACCTGAGACAAGAGAAATTAGGAGTAAATTTTTCTGGATGGACTACGAGGTCGCGAACCACCGAAGGATTGGGGTAGTAGCCCGTAGATTGGGGGGGGGGGGGGTACACAGGGGGTGACTGCGGAACTAACGATCACGTTCGGGCTGCGCTGTGTACATCTTCTATGAGCGCGAGCGCGGATGTCGGCGTGATCTGGTTATCAGTGCTGTGTTATGCTTTAGTCTTATACATACATACATACATATTGGAATTTATTGAGCACCTTTACATGAACATGCTCAAGGCGCTTTACATTTCAAAATACAAACATAATAGTTATATACTCTCCAAGTGCATTACACTCTAAAAAAAAAATTATTAAAAAAAAAAAAAAAAAAAAAAAAAAAAAAAAAAAAAAAAAAAATTAAAAAATTAAAAAAAATCGGAGTTTTGAGGCATGCACTCGGAATTCGGAGTTGGTATGTAAAAAGCGGAGGAACTCCGCCTAAATCGGGGTGGTTGGCAGGTATGTATGTATACCTGCCAACATCCACAGCAAAAGAAAAAAGAGGAATCTCCTGAGCCCAAAGTAGGAAAACAGTGCATTTGACATGCTTTTATACAGGGGGAGGGGGGGGGGGGGCGTTTCACAAAGATCCTAAGGCGAACTTAACTCTAAGTTGGACTTTAACATTATGGAGAGCCATTTGTAGCCTAAAAAAAATATATTCAAAAGCGAAAATTTGAAGTAGTTAAGACTTTTTATAATTGCCACATCAAGAACATGAAATCTCCTTGATAATAGAAAATATGAATGATTTGAAACAAAATGTTATGCCTTTTAAAATAACTAAAAAAAAATAATTTCATAGATGCTAACAGCTTTCCATAATTGTTTAGTCCAACTTAAAGATAAGTTCAACTTAGAATCTTTGTGAAACACCCCCCCCCCCCTGATGTTTTCATAAAACAAAGAGGAAGGTCAGGTTCATAACACGAGTTTGAAGGTAGAAAATAAGGAATCATTCCTCCAAAATAGGAATGGTTGGGAGCTATGCAGGATATGTAATAATAATAATAATAATAAAACTTTTTAATATAGCGCATAACACACAGGCAAATTGCTCTATCTATGTCTCTATCAATTTAAGAAAAAAGAAAAAAACATTGCACTGGGTTCATGATTCTGATTATTTATGAACTGGTGAAGAGATATGTCTTCAGAAAATTGATAAGGTTTTATAGGATCCTATGCTTTTCAGTTCTTCGGGCAACTTGTTCCACAAAAAAGCGGCTGCATATGAAAAACACCTTTGCCGTAAGACGTTGTCAGGGTTTGTGGAAGACAAACCAGAGACTTGGAACTGGAACCTAGCGTTCTATTTGGTTTATATGGAGATAGCAATTCAGTAAGATAAAAATGTAGTCCTCAATTTACCTTTGATAAGGTCAATCTTGATGCCATCCAATCCTTTCTGGAAGCTCCATGACAGGAAAGCTCTATGGTACTGATTCATCAGATGGTCTTCATGAGATTCCTACGAAATTAAACAAATATTGAAGTCACGTTAAAACTTATGAGTTCAATACCTTAATATCTTCAATATATTTCTACAGGAGGTACAAATATTGAACAGTCATTGTACTTTAGGTCGTTATCAGTGTACACTGGTGCAAAGGGCAAGATCTGATTTACAGGTTCTCCAGTCAGGAGTACCTCAAGGTTCTATACTCGGACCCCTGCTGTTCACCCTCTTTATGAATGATCTGCCGAATAGCACTGAACATAGTAAGGTGATATTGTATGCCGATGATACAGCGATTATGTTCAGTGCCTTAAACCCAAAGGACATAGAGAGTACATTGAATAGTGATCTAGACAGGGTTAAATCATGGCTTTACCATAATAAACTATCCTTTAATACGGACAAGATCAACTTCTTATTTGTAGGGACGCCCAAAAAACTACGACATATCGAGGCACCAATCGACATAAAGATAGATGGTCTGCAAATTAGACATGTAGAAAATGTGAAATATCTTGGGGTGTGGTTGGACCAGCACCTTAACTGGAATGAACACATGAAGCATACTTCCAGCAAAATTGCTTCAAGGTTGGCACTGTTGAGACGTGTCAGAAAATATCTAACGATAGACAGTGCCAAGTTATTATCAAATGCACTGGTATTACCATATTTTTATTATTGTTGCACCTCATGGTCAAATTGTAATCAAGGTCCTCGGGATACACTGATTAAGTTGCATAAACAGATGGCTAGGATTGTTCTCCAAATGAATGTACTTACACCGAGTTCAGAAATGTTCTCAAGACTCAAGTGGATGAACAAGGAAAAACGTTGGCAATTCCAGATATGTAAACTTATGTTTGATATCGTAAAAGGTATTTCCCCCTCATATCTTCAAAATATGTTTACTCAGTCTGCAGCAACACATCGTTATAGCACTAGAATCGCCGATACTCATGGATTAGTCATCACCAAAGTTAAAACTGAAAATGGTAGAAGGGCCTTTTCTTTTGAAGGTGCAATGATCTGGAACAACCTCCCAAGTGAGGTACGAAATGCCTAAACCAAGCAGTCCTTTTGCATAAGTTATTTGAGAAATATGTAAATATAACCCAAAACATAGTACACGCAAATATGTAGCCTCTATCACAAACTTGAATATTTAGTAATTACCAAATGCAGATCACTGTAATTCTTTAATTACAAATAATTATGTTTAGACACACTGTCACTACAATATAATATTTTTTCTTCTTCAAAATTTGTTTATGTATGATTTTCTTGAGGACTTGATTTGGGGGATTTTTTGTTTACTTGCTGAGTTTAAATTTACATTTGACCATGTAATGATGTTTTCATGTATATGTATGTCTTTATATGTATTTTATGTTATGCAGGGCCCCCAAGTATAACAGTATTTTAACTACTGATGGGGCTACCCTGTTGAAATAAAACGAAATAAATAAATTAATAAATAATAAATTTAAAAAATAAGAATTGTGAATTTAATTTGATGTCAACTCTCTTCATCATCATCATCAACTTCAGGTGGCATCTGTAAAGCGCTGCTGTGGCCTTCACGAGAGTACGCCATGCAACTCTTTCACCTGCCATTTGTGTTGCACCCTTCATTCCTTGTCCAGACACTTTCTTGATATCATCAGTCCAAGATATTGGTGGACGACCTCTACCCCGTTTTCCTTTGACTGCTCCTTGCAGCATTTGCTTCTCCCATCTGACATACCACGCACATTCCACGTGGCTACATTGATTGGTTTCCTTCGAGGGGTGCTGTTCCTTTCCATCATTAGACCTTCAAGAAAAGAACTTCCTGCAAGAGGCTTTGATCCTGATCCGTCATCACCCGCAAGCGTACTACGAGCATTACCTCTCTCTTCCGCAGTAGCTCTTGACGTATCTTCCGGCCTGCGGGTTCCACCTTCCGCTACCCACTTGATTTGTTGATTTTGTACTCTCATGATGACAAACGTGACCAATTAATAATGGTGGGCGGCCAGTTCCTTCCATCGCAGTACAGAAGCCAGAAGCATTGCTGCCAAACTTCCCTCTGCTCCCCATAGCCACCGTTGTCCAAGATTTGGATCCTCCGCCAACTACAGGTACTGCATCACTGCTGCCCGGTGCAGGACGAGGTTTAATTGAAGGCGACCCAACCCGCCTTGTCATGTTCTCGTCATAGGGTTATGAGAGTTTTTCTAAAGTTAACTGCGTCACCTATTAGCTCCTCTCCTCTGTTAAGAACACCGGAATGTGTTCTTAACTCTCTTATAGCGCAAAAAAAAAAAGGTTTTAGTGAAAGTTGAGTTTAAAAAAAAAAAGTTTTATAAACCCGTGCTTGCGTAAGGCATTCAAGCAAGTCATGAAAAAACGAGACCTCACCCCTCACCCCCCCCCCCCCCCATTTTTAACCGGATTTACATCAATCTCAGGGACTGTCTATTTTTTAAAGAAAAAAAAATCATGATAAAAATAAGTTGGGGAAAAAAGGAAAAAAAGGAAACACTATACACTTCTGTCAATTAGGAAACACTGATACTTTCATGTCAATTTAAATCTTGATAACCAGCAGAAACAATGAATTAAAAAGGTTAATTACCAAACTGGGGCATCTGGAGAGGAAGGCCCCAAAGGTTGCCGTGGCGATGAACTGCATGATCTCTGTGTGGGGGACGTAACCGAAGCCTGCGTGGGGATAGAACCCTTTGCCCAGCTGGATGAAGGAGCAGGCCGTGGTGCTGGTTCGTAGGTTCCCTAGGAGGTTACTTAGGGTCAGGGCATCTGGGACTGCACCAACTCCATCACTGATCACTACGATGCCTGCAAGAGTAGTCCAAACCAGACACAATGTTTTAGGAAAACAATCAGGGCATCGTTTCAATAAAACCGACATTCCATTGAACGTGTGTTAAATTTAATACAAGGGTTTCAATGAAATGTCTGCAATCTTGTACTTATGACGGTTTCATGAATATGCCACCTGGATTCTAATCTCCCACAACCAAAGTGCCTTTGATGGACAGAATTCAACTTGGATGATGACTAGGTGTTTTTTTTAGCACATTTTAGCCGATGTTCTTTAACTAGCATATTTGATATCATGATGCTGCCGAACCTCCACAAAATTAATAATCCATAATGCCTTCTATAAAACTGGAAAAACGAACCATAAAAATGCTAACTTATTTTCGAGACAAATTACACATTAACCAGTACCACTAAGATTTTTTTTTGTTGGTATAACATTACCAATCCACTACCTATTATCAGACCTAACCCTGAAACAAATGTGGCAAGGTTTGTTTATCCCCTATAGTCAACACTCATTAGTCAACTAGCTAGCCTGCATAAATTGAGGAACACCTTCCTCAATCTTTGTTATGAAACGTCGTCGTTGTTGACCTATAGGTCATGGCTGACCCGTTGTGACCCATGTGATGAGACCTCTCCATCCAGGGGCCCGTTTCACCATCCAGAAGCAAGGTTTTCAGTAGCTTATAACATAAACTGATCATTTTTCACTGTTAACAAGTTTTGTGAAACGCCCCCCTAATCCAGGTGTACAGATGTCTTGGATGTTGTTTAAACAAGGTGTTGAAAATCACACATTCATTGTCTTGGCAGAATTCTATTACCTGTTTGTTTGTGCTGTGGTTACAGACTTTGGCATTGACGTCTCCTGATAATATCAAAATATCTTGTCTAGGAATATTGTCTATGGTCTGCTGTACATCTTCAGAGATACTCTCAATTACATCTTCTTCTGCAGCTGAAGTTGGTGCAGTAGTCAACAACAGATGTTAAAAATATCTGGAATCCAAATTAACTATTATGGTTTACGATTATTATGTCCGAGGAACGGCCCTTAGTAAATGTTGCCATACAAAATACTTGACTTGGTGTTGAACCAGGGCCCTTCACAGTCAAGAGTCAGTTTATAGACAGAGGGCTGACTACTGAACCAACTCACATCATCTCCTTTACCTTGCTTATGGAAAGAATGATAGTATGGCAATTACTAACACAAAGGCTTTTGTCATCTTACCAGGGGGGTGTTTCACAAAGATCCTAAGTTGAACTTATCTCTAAGTGGGACTTACAAATTATGGAAAGCCATTAGTATCCTTGAAAACATTTTGTAAAAGTTATTTTAAAAGACATAAAATGTTGATTCAAATCATTCATATTTTCTATTATCATGGGAGATTCTATGTTCTTGATGTGGAATTTATAAAAAGTCTAAAATACTTGAATTTCTGCTTTTGAATATATTTCATTTTAAGGCTCCAATGGCTGTCCATAATTTTTAAGTCCAACTTAGTGTTAAGTTCTACTTAGGATCTTTGTGAAACACCCCCCAGGTCCCATTTCTCTCCTGGGTATGGAGTGGCAATGTAGATAAATACCTTGCAATGACGGGGATCGAACCCGCGACCATTGGATCTCAAGCCAAGCGCTTAAACCACTCGACTATGACACCTCTACATGATTCATTTTACATACCTGCACTTGTATTCTCCGGTAGCAGCTGCAGGGCAAGTACTCCACACCACAGCATGTTGACAAACGTTGCCTCAGGGTTGGCCATCTCTACCTTGGTAGGGGGCTGATGGTAGCTGTTGGTGGTGGGGCTGGTAGGGCCCCCCTGGCTGTCCCTCCAGTCACCCCCGACCACAATATCCAGGCCGTTGGTCAACCAGCCGTCCACGCCGTCGAGACCCGAGGCTGATGGGTTCTGAGAGCGCATGGTACCTGGACAAGTTTTAAAAAAGAAGGTCGAGAGTTCCGGTGAAAAGGAAAAAATCATTCGCGAGCTCTCGCATCCTTTTCATGTCAGTTTGGAAGAATATCTGAATGAGAATTGTTCCTTAAATAATTGCTCTTCAATAACCCTCATATTTGAAATATGACCCCTCCCCCCTCCCCCCCCCCCAAAAAAAAAACAACCCAAAACTTAAATTTTTGGACAATTTTTTATGCCATGTGTGCGTGTGGTCCCATATACACATATCTGTGTGCAGTGCATGTGACTTTCACCAAGATAAAATCTTCTTATTTTTCCATTTTGATCACTCCAAAATATCACAGTATACACTAATTCTTATATGCTACATAATCAACCATTCAAAATTGCTTCCAGACAGTTCCTTTAACAATGTGATCACATGATAGGTATCCTACTTTGTCTTTTGAATACATGTACATGTTTCATTATGATATGAAAATCTTCTTAGATAAGCATTGCTGCTAATGGATTCATATCAGTTCTGCTACTTAAAGTGTACCAATCACCTACAAATATTTTGTTTGGTGCGTAGTAGTTCCACGTTGTAATACTATATTCAAAATGTGAGCTTTAAGTTTCATATTTGTCGGGAAGAGAATTTCCAAGTTGAAAAACACTCTCAATTAACATAAAACCCACTTGTGAGTAGACTTCTCAAAGCACCCATACAGGCTCGCATAAAAAAGGGAACACACAGAATGCAAGTCAAACTTGGGTTCGGTGCATGCTATGTTATGTTGTTCTATAATTTTTTCATACTCCTTAGTCCATAGAGTAAAGGGTGAAGAGTAAAGGTTTCTTTTACTTACTGTTATATATCTTGTTCTCAAAGTCTTCAAGTTGTGTAAGAATGCTCTGCAAGAAAACATCCAAATTCTCTGGGGTCAGCAAGCATCCCTGAACCAGCACCTGTATACACAACAGCAAAAGAACAAATCATGATATTTGTTTATAGCGAGTATCCCATTGGATAAAAGGGTGTCACGTGACACTCAACAATTTGTTGTTGTTCTTCTTTTTCCACCTTGAAGTGCTGCTTCAAGGTGATGAAGATACATGCGCTGATAGTGTGTGCATATGTGGAGACTTTCACATATCCTGTTATTCCACATGTTTTTGTTATACATGTATAAGCGGGCAATGTAACAAAAAAAAATTGCAAGTTAAAACCTGTACAAAAGTGATTTAGATTGTGCACCTCTCTTCACTTCCACTGTTGGCATTGTCTTAGCAGCAAGCATCTTGTTTGTTTGTTTGTTTTACCTGACTGCTAAGAAAGCATGTGTATGCTTGTAAGTAAGCAACCAGGGGACCGGCGGTTTCAAGTCCTCTTCGAAGACTGAAACGAATCGAGGGCAAAAAATAAATCCCTGAAAACATATTGTATTTTCTTGTCTATCTACCACAAACCAATCCACCCCCACTTATTTTGAATACCTTGAAAGTGCAATTCTCACTGTCTGCTCATTCTTACCTGCTGTGTTGTGAGGTGAGCTAGTGGTGTGTAGGCAATGACTGTCACATACAAACTGGGGGCAAGCAGGATGCTACTTCCTGGAACACAGAACTGAAACAGAAAAGTCATACAGTAATTAAAAACACTTTCGGTACAAGCATTCCTCAATTTGTTTGTGGTCTGGCTCGGTCACTAATGTTTCAGAGCCCTAAGAACTATACCAGATCGATGCATCAAAATCACTCTTTTTCTTTCCAAGTTGGCTAATTTTTTGCAAATTTTCAATAAAATTGCTACCTGTTAATATTGTTTTCAGAGACATGGCACATAGCTTTAAGATCTTCTAATACTATTAAACACTTTAATGACCATGTGACCTTTGACCTCTTCCACCCCAAATCGAATCAGTTCATTTTTGTATGTTCATACATACTCTATCGAAGTGTGGTTAAGATCCTTTTGATGGTTCTCAAGTTATCGCGATCATGAAAAGCGTGACAGACAGACAACCCAAACAAGTAATGCCTCCTGCACCACAAATCAAACCCGGTGATGAGTGTGAAAAAAACAACTACCGGTAGGTTTTTTGATGGAGCACATGAATAAGTCAAATGTGCATATACTCACAGGCTTTGTGATTCCCTTCAGAAAGTTTGTCAACGCAGTGTGAATCTCTGCAATGTGGATGCTCCCTGACTGAATATCCTGCATTTCAAGAGTAAAAGAGAAAGCCAAATGCACAATACGCTTCACAATTCAATATCTTATAACACGGAGCATAGTAAATAAGCATAGGACTTCTGTTGGGCACTGTTGCCCTTTATTTACATGCGGAATATCTGAAAGAGCGTTTACAGTGGCATTAGGATCATTAACATAGTCAAATCAAATGCTAATATGATCACTTTTCATATTAAATTAAATCTTAACTTTGCAGTCTGAACTACAGTCAAACCTGTCTATAGCAATCACCCAAGGGAAACACAAAAAGTGGCCTTTGTAGACAGGTGGTCTTTGTAAACAGGTTCCTTTATTACATGATTCAATGAGAAACCATTTTCAAGGGAAACAACAAATGTGGCCTTTGTAGACAGGTGGTCTTTGTAGACAGGTGGTCACTAAAGCAGGTTTGACTGTATAACAATCTATCTGTGTATTTTGTATCAAGCTAGAAACTAGTTTTATTCAAATTGGATCATCTGCCTGATGAAAAATTTCATTTAATTTATGTCAACTATATAACTATTTGAAACCAGGGGTAAGAGGTTGCTGTTCATTTTACATCTGTTGAATACTATACCCAATAATTCAGAATAAAATCCATGGGGGAAAAGCACGGTGAAGGAAAGGGTGGTCATCTCCTAACTTGATACTTGATGTTTCACAACATGGTCAGGCAGATGGATCTATCAAACTGGGGCCCGTTTTATAAAACTTGATATCTATAACAAATGCTAAATTTCTATGACAAATTTGCTCTCAGCCAATCAGATGCTATAATTTCAGTAGCTTATAACAGTAGCTTGTAACATGTTCTTGATATCAAGCTTTATGAAACAGGGCCCTGATTTAATACAAACCACAGCAGTCATGGAAGGGCTGAGATCTAGCACAACAACCAGCCTGTAGCGACGGGCAAAGAAGGTCACATGGCACGTCGGCAAGAGACGGTACTGGGTCTGTTTTTCCGTTGTCTTCTGACTCGATGGCGGATCTTTTGGTATGATGGACAGGATTTCTAGTTCCTCTTGGGAACATCGCTGGAAAATTAGTAAAGACAGTCACAAACAAATGTTGTAAGCTTACATGAATAATAAAAATTGTAGGGGGGGGGGAGGGGGGAGCTTCAAAGAATGGTAAAATGATAGGTGCTTATAAAGCGCTTTCCACCAAAATAAGAGCTATAAATTGTAAAAATTGTGGGAGAGCTTCAAAGAGTTTTAAAATTACTTGTTGCAATTTCTGAGGGCTATTATTATCAGTAGTTCAAACTTCAGTACTCTCTGTTTCCCTGTCATCTTCTGACTCAATGTTTGATCTTAGGGTATGACAAACAGGATTTCTAATTCCCCTTGACAGCATCGCTTGAAAGTTAGTAAAGAAAGTCACACAAGCAAATGTTGTTAACATACATGTATAGTCAAATTGGGGGGGGGGGGGAGCTTCAAAGAATTGTAAAATGATAGGTTGTTGCCATTTCTGAGGACTATGTGAAAACCAATTGTAACTAAAGGTCAACAGATGTCAGTCTCCTGCATGAAACAAAGCTAAAAATCAACATAATGTTGAACCTCTTCGTCAAATCATGTTTTTTATCACATTTCTTTCTTTTTTAGAAATTGGTACTACCACACAAACTCTATCGTCGCCTTCCGCTACAAGTACATATATATATAATTGCAAACACAGTTATCCTTGTCAACTGTGTCCAGATGTTGATTATGGGGATTACTGAAACATGAAGCCTAGCATGCTCCACTCTTAGTCTGCAGGCACAGACTCTAAGTCTCTGGCTGTGTCATTGCACCTACAGTACAGGGGAGTGTTTCACAAAGACTAAGATCGACTTTAGCTTGGACTTATTGGCCCGAATTCACAAAGGAAGTTTGTCGACAAACCTTGGTTTTCGTACGTCATATGACGCGTTTTACGCGTTTTTTACAAACCTGGTTTGTAAAGAACAAAAGGAGGTTTGGCGAAACAAAGGGAGGTTTGAGCTCAAACCTTGCTTTGTGAATTCGGGCCTTTGAGTGTGGTCTCTGCATAGTCTTCTAGTGCAGACCCTCTGTTATGCATTACGACTTGCAAGGGTTTGTGCCTGCAAACTACTCTACGCTTGTAAGAGGTTGCATCAGAGATATTAGGAGACTGATTGTGAAGTACGAACACTCATGAAACTTTACCAATTCCTGTTCTTCCTTGACTGAAATGATATTGTTGATGTTCTTGAGAAACCATGATGCTCTGATATTCCTTGAGATGCGATACTCTTCCTTCATGAGAAGGTACACTTGTGCTGCATCGAGCACCTGTCACACATAAAAGAAAATGAAAACAAGAAAACCGTATAAGCATTTATTTTCATAAATTTATTGGGGATAACTCATTGATCGCGAATTTAATTATAGTACTTTCTCACTGCGAAACTGCGTATTTTTTATTTTTTGTTGTTGTGGGGGGGGGGGGTGGGCGGGGGTTGCCAATTTGCATAAGTTCCTACATACAGGAAGACAATTTTGTATGGACCATTGGTTGACTATGCATGATTTCTTCATAAACATAAAAAACTGACAAATTTACTTGTAGAATAAACCACTCCAGCAAAGCATAGAGAGTCAATGCTTATAGCGCTGCGCTACGTGTTATAGTCAGCATTTGCACACATGAATACTCAATACACTTATAATACACAAATGCAAACAATCATGCCGATGTGGCTGATCGGCAAGTTTGACAGTAGAATTAGTCTACAATTTGAATTTTTAAATTATTCTTTCTAACAATAATGTCAATAAGTTGAAAAAATTGTATTTTAGAGCAAGACCGCCAAACTTCGGATGTTGCCAAGCTTCGGACAAAAATTACTTTAACGGCTCCAACGCAAAATATGAGCCTAGCTCGGGCGGTTAACTTGCATGCATTTGATACTTCTACTAACCTATATTGTTAGTACAGAAAGTTAGGGCAGGTTGCCGTCTGCAAAACTCACAAAAAACATCGAATTCAGAGACACATTTCAGGTTACCTAGATTTCTACAGTCCCTTAACAGGGGAGTTAAGGTTTAGAGCCTCCAATATATCGATTATAAACAAATCCTTAGCATATTTCAGGTGGTTTCTGCCAAAATTATGGGAGCTTACGAGATACTTTTCCACTCTATCGCGAAAATTTTCTAATGGCGGCCGTTACCATGGACCTAGGGGTACTAGATAGATTCCCCTACCAGAAGATGGCGCTCTTCCAAGCTTCGGACAGGCAACATTGAGTGTCATTTTGACTACGAAAAAATAGCGCTTTCGTAAGATTTTAGCACCAAAATATTGTATGAGTGTTGTGAAAAACACCTTTCTGATAGTTCTACCTAACTTAAATCTACCCAAAACGAGAAAATAATACTTTTTTCATGAAATCAACGCAGTCAAACTTACCCCCGTCATACGATTTTGATCCTGTTTCCAAACCTCCGATGAATGCACACTTACGTGCGCTATACGTGCTAGATATGTGCGCTATTCGTGCGTTACACATGAACGTCCAAAGCTTGGCAAATGCATCCGAAGCTTGGCATGAAAACAGGTTCGGCGGGTAAGTAAATAATTCTAGTTTTCCATTTCCTTTTACTAATTTTCTTTACATGACACAATAATAGTATATTTGATCTTTCAGTAATTAAAAAAAGAATTTAATGTTTTCCCCCATTTCGTCTTAAGTGTCACTGTGTCAGAAGTTTGGCGGTCTTACTCAATACGAATTAGCATTGACTCTCTATGCTTTGCTGGAGTGGTCTTACTCTACTGCTAGATCTAGATCTATTTAGGTTAGGGAGGCCAATGCCCGGGCGTAAGGCTTCTACACCTACGATTTGTGCGCTCGTCGCCCACTTCAAAAAATTAGCAGAGGGAAATAAATTATGTAAAAATAAAAATTGATGAAAATAAGAAAAGAAAATACAATTATACATTTCACAACATACCTATAATCACGGATCTGTAACAGTCTTTCACCATTTGTTGACGATCTTGCAGATTTTGACGTATTTTAATCCAATAATTGTTCTAGCAGAAGACATTGACGGGCGCGCACAACCGACTAAGAAAATTTTAGAGGGCGTAGAGGTTTGCTCACTAAAAACCTTCTCATTGGCAGAAGGTAGACCCTAAAAATATGGGATCCGTTTTGAGTAAAGAACTTTTGATAGAGATCAACATTTCAGATGTTCACAATTGCCACTTCTAACAACTAGAAAATATAAAGAGAAAAGATTAGATCTTTTTAAATACAGATTTTTACAAACTGAACATTCAAAAGTAGATAGAGTACGATGTTTCTGTCAATCTTGCGTTGGATTGAGCCCGATAGCTACATCCATCTCAACATGAGAAGGAAAACTGTGAACAGTGACGTCATTGTTCGCGCCAAAAATAAAGGGTATTGCGACATACATGTATGTCTGAGCTCCGGTCAGATCGTCTTATTTATAGACCCTATTACCTTATTCTCACAGCACTTGATACGAGTGTCGTGCATTAATGTATGAGAAGTGTTAAAAAAAGATATTTCAGTAAAAAAAAGTCTATGTGAGCAGTCTATACTCCAATTGAGAATTGAAATGAAAGCATGTTACGTATAGCGAAATGGAGAGAGAGAGAGAAATATTAGTACACGTACGTTGCATGGATATGCGCTATGCATGCTGCTGTCCTATTGTACTCCGTATTGTGTTCGCTGCAAGATGGATGTTAATTGGACCTCGTAACTTCTCGATCGTTGATAATGCAGTATCAGATTGATCTTTACTCATGAGGAAATACTATTGGATTTGGAATATCACCTTAAGGTAGGCCTACTTATTAATTTTAATTCTTTTCTAAAATTATTTTTTCTGTCAGTTCATGTTTTGTCCCTCCATGGCTCGATTTCAGGACTGCGGCTTGCCATGCAATTACCTAGCTGTGTCGGTGTGTGTGACTGATTCAAGGCTGGCCACTGATGATGAATGGAATTTCGCGCGAAGTTTTAAACTTGTTGTCCTGGCAATGACATGCCCAATCCCCTCGGGCCTGTATAATTATGAACGTAATTTTGCGACATGAAATATAATTGTTTCAAGGCTCTTACGTATGGATAGGCGTAGAAGGAAGCTGGATAAAAAGAGCTGAATATCTCCTATTTGATGGAACTTCTGGAGTCGGCAGATAGGTGAATTTTCTTAGTGAAAGAAAATACTTTCTTTTAATCTTTGTTTTATTATAAACAAATTAGAGTAAAGGAGCCGGTTTTCGGCCACTTAAGACAAAATCCTATTTTTTGGACCCTTTACTTCCTATTTATTATCATTTTTTGTTCAAATCATGAAGCAAATATTATTATTATTTAAACAAAACAAGAATCCCAGAAAAAAATCACGAATTGCCATGACAATATTCATTTCAATTTTCACTGTTTCGGAGTCAATTTTCGGCATAGCGTACCAGTTTTCGGCCGCATGTACAAAGTCAATAGGAAGCGCGCGCACGCGCCGTGCGTTTCCGCGCTGATCTATAGCACTAGCGGGCGGAGCAGATATCCCACGCCGGAGCTCCCTGGAGCTCGCCAGGCCGAAAACTAGTACTGCGGTGATCAGATATTGGAATCTGAATTAGACAGAGATATCGTGTGTGCGTTGCGGTGTGCGGCTGCATTGATTTAATACATGCGACGAGATACTTTTGAGCTTGCGACTAGCACAAAATCGGGCTCTAAATCTGAAAAATACTTGAAATAAAGCTCATTTTATGGTACCCATATTTCTTACAGACACGCGTAAGATACTCAATTTTTCAGAATCGGGTAGCGGGACCGCCGATTACATCGCTAAAATGTGATATTTTAGGATATATTTTTCATTGCAAATGTGGTTCTTCAGTGACACTGGCATGGTATGGTATGTGTGGGATATGTGTTATGCTATTATGCAATATATTTTAGAAGGATTTTACCTTGCATCCAACCAATCGGCCGAAAACTGGAACTGGCCAATTACCGGCTCCTTTACTCTAGTAATTAAAAAGTTAAATTTGGGCATTGGCCTTCCTATTTAGGTGTCATCAATTGTCATTGAAGTACCGATTTCGAGTGAAATCAGTTGAGTTTTGTACAGTGGTGTTTGAAATGTTGAGAATCAATAGAACAGCTTTTAATACATGGCCAGGATATGCAGCTATGTGTTATTGCAACTTGAACTTGCACTATTTTTGCACAAACACTAAAGTAACCTCCAAGTGCAACGTGCTTTTCCATGCATGGGACTACTAGTACTATTTTACACGCACTTACCACTTGCTCGACGTCACCACCATTTCCCTTATCTTGATCATGATTCCCTATGGAAGCCATCACGTCGTCGCAATTCCTTCATTGAATATCACAATAGCATAATTAAACTCAATATGGACAGGCATCAGCGTTCTTAAAAGTTCTTCTTCCACCTCGGCGAAGTGAGCTCGATGGCGATGTCGATCCAGGGTTTACACACTATGATGACGTCATGACGATATCGCTAAATCAAACCTCAAAACCTGGCAGGTCACTAATTGAAGTAGGGTCCAGGGGGCTGTGTCCCATGTAACTCAGCTTTTAAGGCATTTAATTATGGTCAGATGATCATTCAGGGACCCGTCTTAGGGCCCTTGGTGAGGTCCAGGGTGCGGAGACCCCGGAAGCTCAGGGGTTTTAGGTATTAAATTACGGTCAGAAGAGCATATTTTTATACCTCATTTGTGACACTGGCTGGTCACTCTTTCTTTCTTTCTCTCTTTCTTTCTTTTTCTCTTTAACATACTTTTTCAAAAAAGTGAGGGGGGGGGGGGGGGGGCTCGAGCCCTACCGTTTCGCAGGCCCTGACATGAAGGCTTCTTGCATATTTGTTTGCCTAACTGTAAATTTGGGAGACGTCATGACGATATCGCTAAATCAAACCTCGAGTATGCATCTGTTTACTTCTACTTCTATGGTAATCATCAACGTACGCCTGCATCCACATGAGGGTAAAGCATATAGAGTTGTTATATACAGCTCTATTCTATGCGGTACAGTTCCTGAAAAGGGAACTAAATTGATTCAAGCCCAGGTCGAAAATCCCATAGAGACCAATAGAGACCATTAGAAAAATTCTATTGGTCTCTAATGGTTTCTGTTGGAGTCTATTGGTTTCTGTTGGACCCATAGAATTGAATCCAATAGAGACCATTCAAACCATCAGAAACCAATAGAAACCAATAGCACCCATAGAAACCAATAGAAATAGAAACCAATAGTATAGGACCAATAGAAACCAATAAGACCAATAGAAACCAATAGGACCAATAGAATTAAGAAACAGAGAAACCAATAGGTCCAATAGAAACCAAAAGCTAAATCTATCTCGTGCATATACTCTAAACGTGTTCACAGAAAAATACTTTTATCATAATTTGTTAAGCAACTTATAATGCACATCAATTTTGTGATTTTTATTTCCTTTTGGCAATTAATGACCAATAGATTATTTGTCTGATCATGTTACAATTATAGGGTACGCAGGGGGGGGGGGGGGGGGTTAACCCCATAACCCCCTCTCCCCACCCCCCCCCTTGAGGTTTTTTTTTATGTGTATGTTTTGTGTATGTTTTTTGCGAACCCCCCCCCCCCCCACCCCCTTTTTTTTAATTTTTTTTAATTTTTTAATTTTTTGTTATAAAAAATAAAAAATAAAAAATTGTACCAATGGCTGACCTAAAAAAGGTGACCTTACCCCCCCCCCCCCATCGGACAAAATGTCACATTTTCAAATTTCGAGACCAAAAAAAAAAGTCATGCCGATGTGGTTGATAGGCAAGTTTGACAGTAGACTTACAATTTACATTTTTTAATTATTCTTTCTAATATCGGTAAGTTGAATTTTTTTAAATGTATTTTACTGCTATTTAGGTGTCATCAATGTCACTAAAGTACCGATTTTGAGTGAAATCAGTTGAGTTTTGTACAGTAGTGTTTGAAATGTTGAGAAGTAATAGCACAATAATTAATACACAGCCAGGATAGTAATGCAGCTATGTGTGGATATAAACAATGAACAAAAATAAGAGGGGAACACATACATAGATACAAGAGAAACTAAACTAAACTACTTTAAACAACCTCTGCCGACTGTGACAACAAGCCCCAGTCTCAGTCATATAGAAATATGTTTTCAACACCCTCTATACCTCAGAAGCCAAAATACACCCTAAAAGAGGATTTCTCGTTCCCCCCCCCCCCCCCCCACGAACTTACACCCTAAACGGGTATTTCACAAAAGTGTACTCCTAAACAAGTATTGTAAAAGTGTAACCCCGGCCTTGAGCATTTTGAAGTGCGCGATAGGGATTACCATTTTAGTTGTAGACAATGTATAAAATATACCCCCAAAAAAAATCAAATTTCGCTTCAGATGTAAAATTCACAATGTAAACATCTACTCCAGTTTAGAAGCAATATCATCTACCTTCAACTTCCATGGCATTCGATTCAATGCACAGCCACCATAATGTCCTTGGCTTCGAAAAAAATGATTATATTTCGGGGTCGTCGTAAAACCCCGGTCGTAAACAAGCAATTCACATGCTGGTACGGAAATTATAGTGGTTTCTTTACCTTGGCAAGCTTACGTTACCGTAGGTTGTAGATAACCAGCTTCCAGACCATGCAGCTTTAAATTCGGAATCGGGCTCTAGAAAAATACCCCTAAACGCGTACAGCAGTATTTTGAAAACTACCCTTTTTCTTGAATAAACACGCATTTTCTTGGTCATGCATGCTTACAGTATTTATATTTGACTGAGACCCCTGGGCAAGAAGCTACTGAACCACTGCGCTGCAGGGGCCCGTTTCATAAAACTTGGGATCTATAATTAAAATGCTAAATTTCTATGACAAATTTGGTCTCAGCCATTCAGATGCGGTCATGATTTCAGTAGCTTATAACAGTAGCTTGTAACTTGTTATTGATATCAAGTTTGATGAAACAGGGCCCTGAACTTCCACAAATCTGAGGTGAACCTTGTACTGCTTTGCAATGGGTTAACCAACATTTTAACAATCATATTTTCTGAAGTGTCAGTCAATTCTCTGAATAAACTTGAAAATCAAATTTCTTACAACAGCTTGACATACAGGTATATTCACATATATGTATTCGTAAGAGCATCCTCATAGCATCATTATAGTCTACCGTGAGCTTCTTTATAGGCCTACTGCTCATTTTATACCAGCTTTGTACCTACTCAAAAGATGTGTAGTATATAACGGTGTACAATAAGCTCGAACTAATTCAACCTTGACTTTACGATAGTACATAATTATGAAACTCTCTGCACCTTGTGTTACCCTGTGCATAATGTTTACGAAACTGTCTATAAATATCTCTATCATCACAAAGATCCTCAGTTGAATAATGACCTACGTACTTGGCCTCTTTACAATTAAGTTTAGCCCCACACAAATAAAAATCTTGAAATATCAACTTACAATGTTCTTTACAATTCACAATCATAACGTGATTCTTTTCGCATTACATTTAACACAATTTTCTATACCAAACTGAGAACAAACATTTAGCGAGCTCTGTAAACATGCAGATGATGGATTAAAAATAACAAGATCATCAAAATGATTAACTTTGGTACTACCAACAGAACAGCCAGTACCACAGTTATTCAATTTTACAGATAAATCATCCAAATACAAATTAAATAAGTATGGAGACAATTATACCTCCTTGCAAAACACCATTACCAACATGAAATGTGCCAGAGAGACAGTTACCCCCATCTCACCGGGGTCTATTTGCTATTCGGTATTCGTAAGGACCGTTAATCATAAGGACCGCTATTCATAACGTGAGATGAGGGTCGCTATTCATAATTCATATTGAGTGTCGTAAGGACCGCTATTCATAATACGAAATTGGGGTCGCTATTTATAATACGAGTAGAGGGTCGCTATTCATAATTTACATTAGGGGTCACTACTCATAAGGACTGCTATTCATAATACTAAATGAGGGTCGCTACTTGTACTCAGTGGCTGCCGGGCTCACGATCAATTGGGTTAAAAGAATTTCCATTTTCGGTTTAATAAAATTTGGAATGGACTAAAAGATTATTATTATTATTATTATTATTATACGAAATGAGGGTCGCTATTCATAATATAGAGTAAGGGTCGCTATTGATAATGGGAGTAGAGGGTCGCTATTCATAATAGGAAATGAGGGTCACTATTCATAGTAGGAATAGAGGGTCACTATTCATAATAGGGTCACTATTCATAACACGAAATGAGGGTCGCTATTCGTAATAGGAGTAGAGTGTCGCTATTCATAATAGGGGTAGGGGTTCGCTATTCGTAATAAGAAATGAGGATTGCTATTCATAATATGAGTAGAGGTTCGCTATTCATAATACGAAATGAGGGTCGCTGTTCATAATATGTTTTTGTAGAAAGTAGCTTTTAGTAGGACTTTTGGACCTACAAATTATACAGTGCGTCCCAGAAGAAACGAAACCGAGAATTATCGATGTTTTATCATAACTTGATCACAATTATAATTGATAAATGACACATATTTGGAAAGCTTAGATCATCCTCTTTCATTTGATGCAACTCGTATAGTGTATGTTTCACGCATGAGTGATTACAATGATGTTGAAGAGAAGTAACCAAAAAGTCATTTGGCGGACGGTATCTGAATTTCAAAGAGAAAATCACATTTCTAGAAAGTTGAGTTTCTGCCCTTTCATATGACACCTCAGTCAGGAAGAATGAGCAAGGAATGACAAAGTTCTGTTGGTTTGAAGTAGTGCTTGCATTTCCAAAAAGTTATTAAACGAATTCGTTTTCACTGGCTACCTACCGTAGCAACAAACATAATTAACAAAAGACTTAACCCTAAAAAGGCCAGACTATTTGAGGTATTAGTACGGCCGGGGGGGGGGGGGCATTATGGCCCTTTAAGATCTCGGCCGCAAAGCGGCCGATCGCCGCGAAAATTTGCACGCATGTCAAGTGAAGTGTATAGAATAATATGATAATTTCAGTTTTTTGAAAAATTCACTCATTTGCATATTTATTAGACCATTCTGAATAATAATATTCTTAATGTTATCCCTTGTTTCGATAATTTCTCATGTAGGCCTATTTCATTGTTTGTTTAACTTATGTATTTCATTGTTTATGTTGTTTTATTTCATTTCTTACTACAATTCAACTTTTTTGACTCCCAAAACAACCACCTAAACTTTAAACAAGACCCAATAACCCATGTTTGATCTGTTTTTAGGAAAAATGACTTTTCCATATGTTTTGTACACAAATCACGAAAATGAGCGATTTTCGGGCTAACATGCAAAGACAAAAGGTCACGTGACCTTGTAACCGCAGGTCCGATTTTCAAATAAATTCTTTTAAAAGTTGCGCAAGACTCGACAAAAAAGTCAGCGAGCGGCGGGGCGCCATCCATATGCGTTCCCGAACAATCGGAAAATCGCGGAGGGGGGGGGGGGGAAATAATGCCCCCCGGCCTTATTAGGGTTAACTCCGTTTCA